CAATACAGAACCAATCTGTCACCGACCTAGGAAAGTCGCGCGTTACATGGTTGGTTGGCACTCGCGAATGACGACCTATGTAGTCCTCACCCCACATCGGCCAACATCCTCCCGTCTGTTGTAGCCGCTGCTGTATGCCATCTCCCGGCCTAGCAGTTCTTCAGCACCAAGACCATGCAGCAATGATCGAACATGTCAACCGGGGGTCAGGTCTTTCGATGATCAACCTTTGGTGGTTTCACCTGCCGAAATCAGCTAGATCTCGATGAACGACATACGTTTGCCGCATTGAAGACCATTTCCATTCTGGGAAGGACTTCAGCAGACACAGTATGCAAACTGGAATCTTCGGGTCCCGCGATGCTTGTACGGAGGACGCTCCAACGAATCTTTAACTGCGCTCCCCAAAATCTCGGAGATCATCGAACGATGCAGCTCGCGTCGTTCAGCTCGAGGCCCGAGTCTCTGCAAGTGAGAAAAGTGTAAACTCCATCACTCAACCTCGTATTCCGAGATCACTTCTTTACGTCCGAAAGGTTGTCGTTACGCTATACGTCTATCAAACCTTAACAAGGAGTCGTTCAGTTGTCGTCGGCGCAAGAGAGGTAGGTCCCTCCAACGCCAAGCGCGGGAGCCCATGCCAAGGCAACACTGGATGGAAGGGTGGGTCCCGTACGGAGTGGGTCCGGCTGGCCGGTGTTCTCGGGCCGGTTCTGGGTATCGACGGCTGGAGTACCCTTGACACTGGATGATGAGCTTTCTCTGCCCTTGGTGGTGGGTTTGGGGCCCTATGTTTTTGGGGGACGTCACCCCGCTCTGCATTCGTACGCGGCCCGCGCGTCCGACTGAAGTTCCCTTCGTCGTTGCCTCCGATCAGCAGAAGGAAAAATTAAAACTCGGGTTGTGGTCGGTATACGGTCCATACTGTTGTGTTGGGATGGTGTGGGGGGACGCAGGACATCATCCGGGCCAGCCTGCATTTCGACGCCTACACCGACGCCAAGAATAGTTTAGCCCGCCGGGGAAAAAGACGGAGGGGGATGGCGAGGGGCGAGGGGTAGCGGGTGAGGAAACAGGGCGGGCGGCCGCTGAGGAGGGAGGAGAGAAGAGACAGGAGGATTGAAGGATGTGTGCTTTGTTTCCAGGCACCCGGGCTACGGAGTTGGCGTGGCTTTGGGTTCGGTTGAATATGCAGCTCGTCGATGTTCGGCATTTGGTACGCCATGCGCGGCAGTGAGGTTCTGCATGTTGCTCGCGTGCCGTATAGCCTGATTGGGATGCTTTGGATGAGAGGGGTCGGGAAAGGGGCGGTTTCGCGCATCTCGGTGACCTGGTATGGCTGTGTCACATTTCTCTGCTTGATGGCCATCGCCATCGCTCAGCACAACGGCTTTCTCATGGATCTAATAGCGCACAAGTTAGTTCGCTGGCTGTACGTAGAGTAAGCAGCAGCCAACGTCCAGCTGTGAAGCTCGTGAAGCACTGGAGGATTCGAAGATGTACTTATAAAAGCATCGCACTCGTCTCTCGAAAAGCGATATGCAAACATGTTATCTAGACTAATGATGGAATCATATCCTGAGTCGAATTTGATGGCACTGGCCTTGCCTCCGTCTGCCGATATCTGGGTATCAAGTTTCGAAGAAGTCGGCTAGGGTCATTCGAGACTAAGACATGTTCGCCCGGCCGCGATCTCCCTCCTCCGGCGGCTCGCTTTGTATATTCCTACGTGAATAGATAGAAAATGAAAGGAGCTCTTGGTTTCTTGTTCATGTTCGTCTGGCTCCCAGGCTACATCCACGGGATGAAAGGTTTCTCTACACAAACCATGCGAGACTTTGAACACGATAACGTCGTGCTGGCTGTTTGAGGTTCTTCTGCTCAATTCTCAATTTATATACCTCAGCGGATGCTAGCTGAGGCTGTCCCACGACATATCCCCGAGCACTCACATGTAGCATGCTACGCCGTGTATATATAGGAGCGGTGGGATCGATATAAGGATCCAAAGAGCCGGTGTCGCGAAAGATCTCGGTTCGGGACACGGGCATAATTCATGCTGAAATGTTCAAGGGCAAGCAAGAGTCGAGTGCTGGGCCTCTGCCGATATGTGGGCGTATCACCTTTATTGGGGTACAAGTGAGCAGTTGGTATTGAAGCTGCGCCGTTCATCTTTCTTCATCGTCGTCGTTTTGGGGTTATTCAGGACAGCGAACATAGCTCCAGCTACTCCGGCACTTGGTCCTCCGGATTGCCCACGAGCAAGAGTTCTTGGCTTGCCATTGTGCTTTCTTGGGTTCCATGGCTTTCACCACCTTGCATGGCAGGACTACCTGACCCGAGTTTGATCTGTGCTACAAAACGGCTATTGCGGTACGAGCGGAGGTGTTATATATCTAGATTCGGGCATTGGTTTGGCCTAGGGCACTTGTTTGGTGAGACTGGGATGATAGTGGACCTATCTCGATGGTTTCTGGTGATGTCTTCTGTCGTATTGGCAGTTCCCCTCACCTAAATCCGTAAAGTGTTTGTGAGTCCCTTCTGTTTTGCGAACATGAACTCTTCATGGTGGCCCCGAAGATGCTTTGCAATTTGGATGCGTAGCTCGGGAACGACGGCGTCTTTGATCCCATGCTGGGACTTCATGCGCAATCCGCAAGTTATTTATTAGGGGAGATATTTTCGACAATTTGTAAACCTGGAAGCAACAATGAATCCACTCGCAGATCTTCCTGTATGCGGAATCCGTACCTGAGTTTGGTAATGGTGTCGGAACACGAACGGAAATGTCTCTGGTCCCGATTGAAAAGCTTCAAAGAGTACATCCCAGACTACTGGTTTTAATACGGTTTCTCTTTTCAACAGTTTTGTCTGGCGTCTCTCTTGGAATATTCTTCTGCGTCTGGCGGGCTTATTCTCGCGGTCGTCGCTTCGCTTCGTGAGTTTGTCCAGCATAGCGTGTGTTACAAAAGCTTGGTCTCATAACTAGACATCATACCCATTTTGAAGAGGGTTCAAAAGACAAGAACGCCATGATTTGTCTATAATGTCTACTGGTGACAGCAGACGAGTCAACTTATAGACGTGAAGTTTCCCTAGGGGCGGTAAGGGGATAGACAATCTGCACGAGGAGTGTTGTCTAGTGCACTTGTCTTCGTGAAAGCGCATGCTATTGTGTATATATCCGGCCTATCGTGCAATGTGTAGGTAGCAGAGAGGTCATTGTATCTTCCGGTATGTTGGATTATCTCAAATTCTCGATTATCCGTTCTAAAGCTGCCGGGTATACGATGATTTCTGGTTGAGCCCATGTTTTCACATCTCTGACACAATCCGTGGCCCAAACTTTGCTACTTTCCTGTTTTGGTGTCCGGTTTCGTCATAGGTAGTGTATTCTCTCACCTTTATTCAGAACTTAGTTCGAAAGAAAACTTCTGCTTTGCGAGTAACAGGGCCGTGAGCTGCAAGCTACGTATTTACGTTGGTTTAAGAAGGCTGGGTAAATTTAGTTTCAGCCAAACAAACTTTCAGCTTCATGTCGAGGACCACCAGATCATTATGGCTATGTTTCCCATGGCTATATATATATACATATATAGATGCTGAGAAGCAGAAGTCGGAGCAGTCTTTCCGCAACTACGCTGGGTCGTTTACCTCTGAAGTTTGTAAATGGCTTTGGAGTCCTGAGTAGCTTCAGAGCCCCACCGTGATCTTTCAGGTATACACCGGTCTTTTTCTTCAGCCAGCTTGCTAGTGGCCATGCACCGCCATGGTAACGCAGCGGTTGTAGCTTACTATAATGTTCTCTGTCGGAAAAGACTTGGGCTGATCTCAATGCGAGTGCTCCATGCGAATTCGCCTGCGAGTTCATTGCCTTCGATCTCCCCCATACTAGTATATCTCGTCATCTCCATAAGCTGATTCGTGGCCAAATACTAGAACGATGAACATATTTCAAGGGTTCTGAAGCGCATGACAGTTAATCGCAGGTCACGAGAACCGGCGATGGCTGTAGAAGTGAGCCGAGGCAACCAAAGCGACGCAGATGTAGATTTGCCTCCTAACTTGCTGAGAAGAGTGTGTCGGTTTAAGAAAGGAGAATCCCCTTATAACGCATATCTTCCACGGTTTCTAGGTCGTCAACGGTGGATTTGATGTCAGTGCGAACGTCGGATACATAGCACGTGTAATACTAGATGCGAGCTAAACTTCTTGGAATTAGAAAATAGAAAAGAGCTCTGAGAAGTTGTATAAGCATAGGTTTTCTGGCATGCAATCCGCTATGAAGTAAGCAATTTGACTCAAAGGGAAGAATCAATATCTTGACCGTACTACCTTCATCTCCCATCGTCACTATAGACGCAATTGATCAAAAAGTCTCGCTCGCGGGACAGGAAATTGAGCGATTTTAGAGTACTCCCGTTGTCGTTGTTTCAATGAGAGTTGACAGAAGTCGTCTGTTGTCGTGACTGAGTGGAGCAACAAAACTTCGTACATCATCCTCCGTGGCCTTCTCAGTCATACAGTTCTCCGTCATAGAGATGAGTTACTTGGGCAAAATTGTGAGCCCCTGTCACTTATTGGGCTTCTCTAAGACCAGACGCTCCAGCCGTTGAATGGAGCCGGGAAATAAGTCGGTCAATACGGACAATGAGCAGCTTTCGCCAAGCCTGAGAGGATCAAATGTTGAATGCCAAGCAGTGATATGGGTACGACAACAGCCGCCAAGCCTCGTAGACAGCGGTCGAGAATGGTTTTGCAGGCACACTAGAGCACCATGATGGGGTGCGACATTTTATCAGATCAATAATCAGCAAATCAGATGAATCAGATAAGATTTGGAGGTTGGGGCGAAGCAGCAATGTCCGGCCTTCTGCCCGAGCAATTTCTGGCATTCGTCTACTGATGCGGGCCAGTCGTTGCAATAAAATCACAATTCAGCGCTGTTACGCTTTTCTAGAACTGTCCCTCTTGTCTCTGATGCTCACGTAGTCTTCGTCATGGGTGACATTCCGAAGTCGCCAGTCCTCACAACGGACGCAGAAAAGCCGCTGGACTTGGACGCCAATGACGACAACTCCGAGATCAATGCTCAACGGGATGACGATGATCAGATTCTGACGAATATTCCCTGGTCTTACAAATGGATAGCTCTAGTCTGCGTTGTCTCCCTGCCAATCGGGCACACCTGGACCGGTTCGGCACTCGGCCCGCTCAAGAACACCCTGCGGAATGAACTCGACATCAGCAATGCCCAATTTGGCGTCATCAGCAGCGCGGACGCTTTCGTCAACACGATCTTCCCCATTATCGGTGGTTTGATCCTGGACTGGTGGGGCCCAAACATGGTGACGTTGTGCTGTACGGCGGTCATTCTCGTCGGCTCCGTAGTTGCGGCGGCCGGAGTACAGGTGGGGCTGTGGAGGGTGCTAGTCTCCGGGCATGTGCTTATGGGATTCGGGATTGCGGTCCTTGATTCGGCGACGCAAAAGGTGCGCTGAGAATCGTTATTCAAAAGCATGGGACTTGGAGTGGACCATGTATCGTAACCATGGATCGCTGACTTCATTCGACAGTTCTTCTACCACTGGTTCGGAGCTTCCGGCCTGGCCTTCGCTTTTGGACTCGAAAGCGCCATCGCCAACACCGTCAGTCTGGTGTCCGGCATGGTGGCCATCCCAATCCGAGACGGAACGGGCTCATACGCCTGGACCTTCTGGATCCCGGTGTGCTTTTGCGCATTCTCCCTGTTGGTCAACATTGCATATGTCTGCTTCGAGCGTCTCGTCGTCCCCCCGCACTTCCGTCTGACTTCAGGCCGAGCCCGCGCTATTGCCGAGAAGCAAGGCATGTCGAGCCGTAGAAAGTTCTCTTTTGGTGTTCTTTTCACGCTTCCCTGGGCGTACCTCATGTTGCCGGCAACGCAGCTTCTCCAAAGCGGTGCCGCGGGCGGATTCAGCACTAGCTCGGCGGACATTATCTTCATGAAAGGGTATACCGAAGAGGTTGCTGGATATCTGTCTACGGCACAGAAGATTCTGCCTATTGTTCTGAGCCCGTTCCTCGGTCTGGCTATCGATAAGTATGGTCATCGTTTCCACTACGTGGCTACGGCCCCCATCCTTTGGATCATCGCATGCTCGATGCTTGGCTTCACCAACGTGCATCCAACGGCAGCCCTGGTATTCTCGAGTCTTGCGGGTGTGATAAACTCCATGCCGTTGCAGATTTGCATTCCGTTGCTGGTGGCTGATCAAGCTAAGATCGGGACAGCGTTCGGAGTGTGGCGGGCGTTTAACAACTCTGGCTCTACTATCGTAAGTGTGGCATCGTTGCCCTGGATCATACACTGCACACAATTCATTGCTAACTACCACATGTCAGATGGATGTCGTCTTCGGCGTCCTGCAAGATGGAACCGAAAACAACGGCTACTCAAAGGTGCTCATCGTGGCCATCGCCATCAAAGCTTGGGCCTTCTGTCTCGGGGTGTCGTACATCTTCATCGACTACAAGTTCTTGGGCAAGGGGATGACCATGACGAGAAAACAAAGAGAGGCTAGAGAGGCCCAGATCGTGGACAGACAAACCGATCCCTTGACCAAGCGCACGTCGAAGAAGTGGTTCACGACTCTTACTTTCGGGTTGTTGATTGCCATCATTGCCAGCGCATGGGCTGTCTTTATCAGATATCTCATCTGAAATATCGGGCCCAGGATATTGATGGTGACAGTAGAGATGGGAGTTGGCAAGAATTGCCATGCCGACTGGGCATTATGGTTAAGAATACCGCATTCGGTTTGCAGCGCGCATGGGTTGGGTTTCATTAGACACGGGTGCCGGGTGACTGCCGCTTGGTTGAGCCTAGCGTTAAGTCTTGATTCATGAAATAGCCGCCATCATCAATTCTTCACTTTACTCGCGATCTCATTTCACATGGTCGTTTCAGTAATTGGGGCCAATCACAAACTTCAAGCAGGAAGAGGATGTTCTTGGTGCGCCAATGAGAAGTTCGGATGAGTGATCGTTCCCGCGATGAGATTGTGTGTCATGTGAGCCGTTTCATGTTAATTTCAACCCCCGATCGACGAGCAGTGCTGTTCAGTACGTGCTAGGGTCTCTGCGACAGGTCTCTCGAGAAGGAGGAATACGAGGATCGCCTACCTTCAGCTGTTCTGACGTTTGCTTCGTCTGAACTCAACACAGGAGATGTGGCACACCAATTGTGCCGTTGACGTTGTTCACTACTAACCATAAAGATTTGAGGAACCTTCCAACTCGCTTTCGGGAACTCCTGCCAACGATGACGAGAACATGGACCAAGTTGAGCAGAGTAGCAACGATGCTGGGCCTTCGTGGTGGATCACGCACGCCCAGATGTGGCCATCGGACACACAGTCCGTCAATGTAGTATTCAATATTCATTGGCACCCTACTGGATGTCTGCTCGTTCGCGCTCACTGACTCTGTGCTGTTAAACGGTAACACAGTCAGGCTCCCTCGACAACCTCACGCTTGGCATTGAATACGGGATATGGAACCATCCAACATGATCACGCCCGCAACGTGGTGAGCAGAATTCATCCACCAAAGGACGATTTCCCCTCGTTTTTGGACCACTTTTCCACCAGATCTGAGAACCAAGAGCTTGGGGAGAGCCCTCTAAACAGGAAACAGGCCCACCGAACTAGCTATATGCTTGCTTATGCACCCCTGCATGAGAGTGTCTAGGCGCTTCGAATTGGGGAGGTGGATACTTGTCAAAATGAGTCCACCAAACAGAAATCGAGAGGGAAGAGGCCTCTAGACCATCCGGGGAGTTCGGGACTGATGAACAGACCTGAACAGGCGGTAACCGTGTGGCTGTGGTCTCGGAAAAATGAGCAAAACCGCTAGCTTCCCCTGAAGCTCTCACCAAAGACGTGCAATTTCCGTAGACGGATCTCAGGACCCTTGCATCGTGCACATCGTGTTGTTGCGAATAAAGTTGTTTTTCAATCTACCCTATGGCTTGCTCGTCCGGTCTTGAGTCTTTCGGTAGCCAGACTAGAGCTGGATTGAGCTTATTGAAACGTCAGGGCTGGAGATGCCAAGTAACATGAGGAAGAATGAGCTTGACATTGGATCGATTTGGGGATCAATCGTTCGCCAAGACACGGCTCACCTCCTTTCGGAGGGCTTCTCGAATGTCCGTTGACAATGGTCCGCGGGAACCACGCGACGCGAATTGATAGATAATGAGAAGGTATTCCCAGTCACCTTACAAGTAACTCTCACCTTCTGTTCGTTGTTGCTCGTTCGTCAAGTCCACTTCCATTCCTTACGTCCTCCTCTTCACTCGTTATGTTCTGAGAACATCTTTCATTCTTTTCTATCATCCGATCTTCCAGCTAAGCAACCATGCTCACCTCCTCCGTTCTTTTGCTGACGTCCCTGGTGGCCGGCGCCTTTGGCGCGGCCCGGACGTCTCCCCCATCTGGCGCTCTTGTTGTCGGCAAGGGCGCTCAGTACACCACCATCCAGAAGGCCGTTGACGCCGCCAAGTCCGGCAGTGTCATTTTCATCCAGCCCGGTACCTACAACGAGCAGGTCCTTATCCCGGCCTCCGTTGGTGCTCTGACCATCTACGGAAGCACTCCGGATGACAAGGACTACTCAAAGAACACCGTCACTCTCACCAACAGCCTCGGCGCTGACAAGGCCGGCAGCAACGATGCTTCCGGTACCCTCCGCGCTAAGAACGATAACCTCAAGGTCTACAACATCAACATCGTCAACTCTCGCGGCAAGGGTGTCCAGGCCATTGCCCTGAGCGCCTACGGAAACCAGCAGGGCTACTACGGCATCCAGGCCAAGGGCTACCAGGACACCGTCCTCTCCAACCAGGGCAAGCACTACTTCCACGGCTCCTACATCGAGGGTGCCACCGACTTCATCTTCGGCCAGAAGGCCATTGCCTGGTTCGAGTCCTGCACGCTCGCCATCAGCGGCAAGGGCTACATCACCGCCTCCGGCCGTGACTCCGCAAGCAACCCGTCCTGGTACGTCATCAACAAGGCCACCGTCAAGGCCTTGTCTGGCGTTGGTGATGGCCAGACCTTCCTCGGCCGCCCCTGGCGCACTTTCGCCCGCGTCGTCTTCCAGAACAGCAACCTCGGCTCCGTTGTCAACTCTGCTGGATGGTCCAAGTGGGGTTCCAACCCGACCGACAACGTCGAGTACAGCGAATACGCCAACACCGGCAAGGGAGCTAGCGGCACTCGTGCTAGCTTCTCCAAGAAGCTGAGTGCTGCTGTCAAGATCGGTGATGTCCTTGGCTCAACTTCGTGGATTGACTCCGCTTACACCAGCGGCGCCAAGGCTGCTGTCGCTGTCTCTGCTGAGGTGTCTGCTCCTGCCGTCGCCGCTGATGCCGTGGCCAAGGCTGCTCCTACCACACTCTCTACCGTTCTCAAGGCTGCTGCTACACCTGCTGCTGTTGCTGCCGCCGCCGATGACTGCAGCGGTACCCCTGATGGCTTTGCTTCCCTGAACGGAGGTACCACTGGTGGCAAGGGTGGAGAGGTTGTGGTTGTCAAGACCCAGGCCGACCTCGAGAAGTACGCCGGCGCCTCTGGCAAGGTCGTCATCAAGGTTTCTGGAAAGATCACTATCACTCCCAAGGGCAAGGAGGTCAAGGTTTCTTCTGACAAGACTATCGTCGGTATTGGTGCCACTGCCGAGATCGACCAGGGTGGCTTCAACGTTCAGAACCAGAAGAACATCATCTTCCGCAACATCAAGATCGGTAACACTTACGTTGAGGGTGATGATGAGGGCAAGACCCAGGACTTCGACGGTATCCAGATGGTGAGATAACTTGAAGCTTCTCGACAACAGAACAAATGCTAACCCACGTATAGGACAACTGCACCAACATCTGGATCGACCACGTCCACCTGGAGAAGGGCGGTGACGGTCTCATCGACAGCCGCAAGGACACCACTTTCTTGACCGTCTCCTGGACCATCCTCCGCAACCACAACAAGGCCTTCGGTATTGGTAAGTTCCCAACGTTCTTCACTCACTTATCCCGGTGCAATAACTAACCCGTTTTTCCTCCCTCAGGCTGGACCGACAACGTCAGCACCCAAATCACGATCCACCACAACTTCTTCGACCAGACTAAGCAGCGCAACCCGTCTGTCGACAACGTCAAGAACGCTCATCTCTACAACAACTACCTGGTCGGTCAGACCTCGTACGGACACTACGCCCGCGGAAAGACCGAGATGCGAATGGAGAACTGCTACTTCGAGAAGGTCAAGAACCCCATCCAGGCCGACAGCACCGCCAAGCTCAGCGCCACCGGCAACGTCTTCAAGAGCACCACCGGCACCACCGCTAAGAACGCCGGCACCGTCTTCGACCCCAAGAAGTTCTACGACTACAAGGTCGACGCTGCCAACGACGTTCCCAGCATCGTTTCCAAGGGTGCTGGCCGCCAGGCCAGCATCTGCGCTGCCTAAGTGGCGGTCAAAAATCGTCGAGACACTAAAGATACCCCATTGCATCTCTGCAATCTTGAGAATTGAAATTGCATGAGCAGAAAGGGAAAGAGTTGGAAATTCTATGTATTTATTTTGATGGCACATCGCCGTCGACCAAGTGTATATATTTACACATTATAGCTGTTCATATTGATCACGAACATTGACCTCAACAAACGTTCTCAAGGCGATGGGCGAAGCTCATTACCTCGTTCTCGTATACCTGGTATGCTGCAAAATTGAGGCCTCAGCAGAAGGTCTGAAGGTCATGTAAGGCCCCTGGAGGAAGCGATCTTGATCATGATAAGATGGCTTACACAGAGCCCGCTACTGAGTAGGCTTTCGTTACAGCATCGTTCCCCAACCTTGCAGCGCCTTGTTTCCTACTTGGCGCAAACGAACGCAAACTCCCCTGTCTTCCAAACGCCACTGTAAGAAGTCCCATCCATGTACAAAAGTCCTCGCAAACGCCCCGGTCCACCCAACTCATCTACCGCGCAGCAAACTGCATATTTACTGAACTTGCCCCTCGTCGTTCTCCCGTTCAAGCTCCTGTGAAGCCACGTAAGTGACTTCCCGTCAGCAAAAACGGACACAGTTCCTAGGTCCGTAAACTGAAAGTTCCCATAGTCGTCTGGCTCTGGCAAGAGGTAAATGCTAGACTTGTTCCATTCCGTATAAGCCTCCAGGGTCTTGAAAGTGATTGGAAATCCAGCGTAGCATTTGGAGAACGCCTCGGTCGCCAGGCTTGGGAAATCTCTATCCTCTCTTAGAAAGATGAATGAATACGTCTCAGCAGCTCTTCTCCCATTAACGTAGTCGCCAAATATCGTAAACACCCATGGCGGCGGAGGAACATGCACACTCCTCGCTCGACCTGTGACATTTTGTAAGAACCACTGGGAGGATTCTTCGTCATAAGCCATGACTTCGTCCACGATCCGTCCGAGTCTGAACGCGGGGAATCGAATCTCGCTAGGATCTCTTTCAGACACCGTGATTGGCAAGCCTGCCGCCTTCGGGACTGCACGATAATCTCTCCTGATTCGTAGAAGCGACGAATCCGGGCTCTGAAATGTGTCCTCGGTCCAGTTCGGTACCCATGCTGATTCCAGCACGACAGCCTCGCTCGCGGGGACGGACCGGACAACATCGACAGTCCTCGCAAGCAGAGCCAGCATACCGAACCTCTGAGCAATCCAGAGAGCCGTGGACGTGAATACCTCTGCGGGCGTTTTCGTGTAGTCTGCCGAGAATCCTTCACTTTCGGGGCAAGTGATCAACCCCAAGACCGCGAAGACCTTATCTCGTGGATCCGCCGCCCGGCTGCTGCGAGCTGAATCCAGGAGGCGGAGGATGTCGCCGGTTGTCCTGAAGGTCGGGGTCTTGAACTGAATTACTGGAGGCAGCGGCTGCAGCCCCGGTAAGCCCCCGTTCTCTCCTGGTGTGCTGGGGAGGAGGCCACGGGCGGCTAGGTTTTTGACGTGGATCAACGGCCATGATAACGTGTGGCTGCCGCATACGAGTGTTGCACGTCGTGCCAGCGCAACTTCCTGGATAACCCATGCCCGAGAGAAGTATCGACGAGTGAGAAGTTTGGCCAAGGCACTCTGTGCCTCTTGTCGGCTGTCCGGTGGGCTACCATGCTGAGGCTGCCTCAGATAGCTGAATAACCGGGGTATCTCATTATTCGATTCTCCAACGTAGATTATCACCTCTCGTGCGCGCGAGTATATCTGTGGCATCAACCTGACTTGGCGTCCTCTTTCATGCACATCGTCTTGGTTGACGCAGATAGCGTCGATCCACACTATCCTCGGTGTCCATTCTCGCCGAACACGCCTTAGCACGGCCTCGCAGTTCGGGGTCACCGGGAACTCCTCCGAAGCAATGCAGACTCGGCCCGTCTTTTCAATGATATCGTCGTCGCCTGCCCATGTGTAAGAGATGGCGTCGTACTCTTCGTAACCTTGCGTCGCTTTCGTGGCAGCGAGACTGCAACGGACCGCATCGCCAAAGGACCCGGGCCAGACGGTGAGCAGGCGGATCTCCGTCTCGGCCAGGGGCTGGTAGATGCTGCTGGTTTCGTTGTCGATTGCCGCGAAGCATGCGTGGAGTGAGAATGGGTCAAGCTCCTGAGAGTTTTCAAGTCGATGGTCGGGATCGATACCGAGCTCCGCCCAGAAGTCGTCCCAGTCCCCATCATCCATGATGGAATACCCCATCGGCGGGTTGTTCACTAGACCGACACAATTATTTCGAATCGATGCAGAAAAACGAATCAGGCCATCAGGGGCGGGGTAATGAGGCGGAGCTGTATTGCCTAGCCGTGCTGATTGGTAGGCACTTCCATGTCGCAACCCCCCGTATCAAGTCTCAATAAGTAGTCGTGCTGCTCCACACGTGCATACCATTGTCTCTTTTTTACTATGTGCAAGATTGTATTGGTGTTGCATCCGTTTTCTAACAGCATGCTCTGTAAGCTTCGCATTCCCGAGGTTGAAGTCTGAAAAAGTGTGGACAATTCACTCACGTATATTAGTTTCGATTTGTGTTAAAATGACCATCCAAACATGAGAAGTATACCAACGTTCGAAAAGACGTGAAAGAAACCAGTATTCAATATTGATGCTTTATTTATGCATCCAAAGACGGATACGATTAATAACCCGGTTAGTCGTTATCAAAACACATGTAGGTAGGTGACTGAAGTTTCCAACTAAATATGACATTAACTCTGACAACCATCGTCTACGAGGACATACGCAACTTCTCCAAACCTCTTCAGGCACGAAAAGCCTACTCAATAAGCACCGCAGTTGAAAAATGTTCCATATACTTACCTAGATGGAGGCAATATCAACTAACCAAAACTTTCTACTCTCGATAATCCTAGGTTGACTGGTACCTAGAAGTGTGGTTCCAACAAAGACACCGGCTCGAATAGCATTGAGGTTGGGCACGTCATCGTCGTACCGCAAATCATCATAAACCGCATTGGTGTATCCATTCTTCTGGGTGTTTGGGTAACAAGCTAGATCGGACATCCTGGAGAACCGGGCTCTATACCAAGCTAGACTGCACGCCAGCTCGAGATCTCTAATTAAATAACCCATTGTCTTGGGCACGTCGTGAAGTAAGGGGCCAAGACTTGTCAGCTGCCGAGGCCTCTTCTGATGTCTAAGTCTGAGCTCTTCATTTAGACCACGCCACCCTCTGCACTTGGTGGCAGCAGCCTAAGTGAGGTGCTGCAGCAATCGGCACAATCTCGAGACCCAAACACGCTCTGCCTACGTACATCAGGAGCTCATCCATTTGCCCGTGTATACACGGAGAAAGATGAGAGATTACAACAGCAAGGATCGGCGTTAGATGGTACAGTACAGTCCTTGTATGAGCAACTCAACGTGGTACGCCTCGCACCCATGGACCACCGAAAACCATGGTTCGAACCGAGGTCATCTATCAGAGACACACAAAGCTACCATATGCTCCCTGATTGACATGAAAAGAATATGGAAAGTATACTATGTACTGTTCGTTTCAAGATCTTGGGTTTGGCAGTAGACGGCAGACAACGCTCGAATTCTATTCCAATTCACTAGAAAAGACATAAAAGACTTGCGTCTCCGCCGTCAAATTTGGTATTTCGGTCTCAATGGTCGTTCATTGCGCATTGAGTGTAATTGAAAAAGCACCCACGCGTTCATGTTCTTGTCACAACCTTCACAACTCATAAATCAGTTACGTCAGACCAGCTGCCGAATTCGCAATCTGGCATAAATAGTCGCCCAGCATCCCTTTTATCCGTCATTCTTCCCCGTTTATACAGTTCCTCATCCATCCCACGTGCTTCTGGGCGTAAATTTTGCATGGGCGTTGAGCATCCCAGCTTTGATGACACATGTGGACGATGACAAGTGCGGCCTCGTCATACGCGCGATGCGCAGCTGCAAGGCCCGTAGGCTGAACGACGCCGTGGCCGTCGTGGTCCTCCGATCGCACCAGGCTGCTGATGGCTGCAGAAAGGGGAGTAACGGCCTTTTATAAGAACATAGGAAATGGATTTCATGTGCCTGGCCGTGAAGCGCCTCAAGGGTGAGGCAACACAACGCGGGTTGACGCCGGAGTCAGGTCGCGTTGCATTTGAAAAGAGCAGAGCGAGCAGCACGTGCGGGGAATCGGATTCGGGTATCGTTGATAGATGGGCGCAGATTATTGGCTTTGATGCTGTGCAGGTTTGGCTAGGTGCCACGAACGCGGGCACGGGTTTCAGCACCTTGAGGCGAAGGACTGTAGACTACCTAGGTAAGGTAGCATATATAATTGTTCTATTCTGAACAAGCAAGTATCACAGTGGTAGAAGTGGTAGATCTGTCCGTCCGGAACAGTGATGATAAACATCGAAGTTGCGGTAACTGGCACCTATGTCGCGATCTTATGCATGTGTTTTTAGTGAAGCATCCAACATTGCTCGAGGAAATCAAAGAGATATCATTCAAACGCTATCAACCCAACTTCTGGCCCTGTCATCTAGGTGCCTTTTATGTTCCACGTTTCAGTACAATACATCAGTGCATTTTCCCACCATTTAGTATCATCAGTTCCTCCTCTTTACAACTTGGAGAACACGGTCGGCACGGTTCCGCCCATCTCGACGAGCGTGCTCTTGTTCCGCACCCAGGCCTCGAGACCCTTACGTCCGTTCTCCACACCGACACCGCTCTGCTTCCATCCGCCGACGGCCATCTCGGCCGGCGACTCGCCCCACGTGTTGATCCACGTAATACCGGCCTCGATCTGTGAAATGACCTGGTGGCACTGGTCGATGTCTCTGCCGAAGACACCCGCGGCCAGACCCAGCTCCGTCGTGTTGGCGCGGCGCACCGCCTCGTCGATGGTGTCGTAGGTAAGGATGCACATGACGGGTCCGAAGATCTCCTCCTTGACGATGGTCATGTTGTCGGTGCAGTCGGTGAAGACGCTCGGCTGGATCCAGTGGCCGCCCTTGAGCGCCGAGGGAAGACCCTTCGGCTGGTTGGTGCCGCCAACCAACAGCGTCGCCTTGTCCTCCATAACACCCTTACGAACGTAGCTCTGCACCTTCTCGAGATGCGCCTTGCTGTTCAGGGGGCCAAAGTTCGTCGCGGGGTCGAAGAGGTCGCCCGCGCGGACGTACTTGAGCTTTTCTTGCACAACGCGCTCGAAGTCGGCCTTCATGGATTTGGGGATGAAGACACGGGTACCGTTCGTGCACACCTGACCGGAGCTGTAGAAATTGGCGAGCATGGCGCCGTCGACGGCCTGCTCGACGTCGGCATCGGGAAGCACGATGACGGGGCTCTTGCCGCCGAGCTCCATGGTCACGTACTTCATGCCGCCGGCGGCTGAGCCAGCAACCTTCTTACCGGTGCTGACCTGGCCAGTGAAGCTGACCTTGGCGATGTCAGGGTGGCTTGTCAGCGCAGCACCGACATCGCCAGCGCCGTAGATAACGTTGAAGACGCCATCAGGCACGCCGGCCTCCTTGTAGATGGAGGCAAGGTAGTGAGCGTGAAGGGGAGTGAACTCGCTAGGCTTGTAAACCATGCAGTTACCGGCCGCCAGGCAGGGTGCGGACTTCCACAGGGCGATCTGGATGGGGTAGTTCCAGGCGCCGATGCCTGCGCATACACCGAGGGGCTCCTTGGTGGTGTAGACGAAGGCGGAGGACCTCAGGCGGAAAGACTCGCCGTTAAGACCACCGCTGGCGACGAGGTTGGCGAAGTACTCGAGGACGTCGGCGCCAGTGACGACGTCAACGTACTGCGTCTCAGAGAAAGCCTTGCCGGTGTCGAGAGTCTCGATCTTGGCGAGCTCATCGTTGCGCTCACGAAGCAGAGCGACGGCCTTCAGGAGAATACGCGAACGCTCAATGGGGGGCGTGCTGGACCATGAGGGGAAGGCGGACTTTGCGGCGTCGACAGCCGCGTTGATGGAGGCCGGGGAGGAAGTGTGGATGGTGCAGACGGGCTTCGCCGTCGAAGGGTCGATGGACTGGAAAGTGCCTGGGGATTCCGAGTCGGGTTGGGCCTTCCCCGCATAGAAGGTGTGACGGTCCTGCTCTTGTGGCGCCATTTTTGTGATAAGGATTTGAGGGGAGTGAGAGATGGGGAATAATGCAACTGAAACTTCACTAACAAAAGTTCATAAAGGAACGATGGGAAGGAATGACAACTGGGGATGATTGGTTATAGATTCCCGTTAATGCGGCCAGCAGTAAGCGGAATGGAGGGCAAAGTGACAGGCGGTTCGCACCGAGACTGGCTGTCGATCGGAGTTACGGAGTCGGAGGTCAACGGCCACGGAAGGAGTCGATGGTCGTGTGGTAGAGGGTGAGAAAACTCGAGGCAGATCGGCGTGAGATCGGGATCGCGGAGGGTCTCGCCGGTCAGCTGATAATTGAAGGTAAAATGGGCTTGAGCTGGGGTGGTCGCAGATTTGCCGGGAGACCCCTTCCCAGTCCACTTCGTCGGCGGTGTGATGTCATAAGCAATACGTCATTGGCCGATAATCCACTCGAATGCAACACCAATCCACATCAAAGCCCAGGTCAGGGCCATTGAGAATCGACGACTTTTGTCTCCACTGAAGAAGTTTCAGCCTTCAAGGTCCAACATTGTGAAGAGCAGAAAAAAAAAAAGTTATTCCGGCATTCGTTGCGCGAGGGATGAAAAGGCTGCAACTACGGTCTCGACCGTTCCGGGTCTGGCCGTCGATATCGAACGATGTAGCGGCTTGAAGGGACTTGATCATCAAGGGTCTTCAAGGGTTCAATGTGACAGGTGTCGGTGGTTGGCTGAAAGAAACGGGATGTCGTACCATAAGCGGACAGCAGATACGGTAATAGAGATAGAAGTCAGATAGAGAGATAGGCTGAGCGGCAGTCGTTCAGCCTCACGCATGTCGAGATACCCCCAAAGCCGCGTATCTGCCTTAGTAGCACAGCAATCTGAGGTTCGTCCGCTCTGTCACCTCGACATCGGGCGCCGTCGCCGTGACTCCGAGCACATGACTCTGATAGCGATAGTGACGCAGGCCTGGAAGTAGCCGACAAAGAGACCAAGGCAATGAATGGTTGACTTGGCATGCCATCCCGGGCGACGTTAGACGATACGGCGGATGACCCGGATCAAGTCTACCGCGGTAAACGGCGCAGGCTGCAGCCACTCAGTCGATGCCAGCTCACCAGCCGCGAGGCAGAGTCAGATCAGTCATCGAGTCGTTGGCGTCAGAGAGAGACAGGAGACAGGGCTGTCGGCGACGGATAGATTCCGACGAGCGTTAGCGCGGGTGTCGCATGGGACGCATGACAGCTTGGGGAATGTCGATTGCAAGTCTTGCATATGGCCCCGGCAACCAACAACCTCGCCGCAAGCATGGTCGTTAATGCGCCATGGACTGGCGGGCAGAAAAACGCATGCTGAAATTAGACGGGTTGTGTCGGGATGGATATCTTTTTGGGGTTTGAGAAGCTGCAGAAAGGGACAGCAGTTTTCACTCGCCGGGTCAACCAGGCACAGTCGAGACGTCATGATTGGCCCGTGTCGTGAACTTGTCAGCAGCAGTTAGCTTGCTCTGGCCATTATTCGTAATTCCAACTCGACGACGTCGGACAGTTTCCACTCAAGTGGATGTCGCGGGAGACTTGGCAGGCATCGAAGGCCCCAATCAAGCAGGGAAGCGAAGGTGTGCTGAACAGCCTCACAAACAAAATTCTGCCGAGTCTTGCCTGAGGAGGTCAGCGGTGGCAGGTGGCAGAAACGGTGGTTGCCCAGCTGTGCGGAATGGGTGGGTCACCAGACATTGCCTGACCAGTCAGAAAACCTGGAAGTTAGAAAATCCGGCCCTGATTCTTTACTAATGCACGTCGATTGCAGGGATGCATAAACTTCCATTCCGTCTCCCAGGGAAGGGGACACTGGCGGGGCCACTTGCCTCCCACGGCAGCGGCCACCTGCAAACTGCAGGCTACAGGCTGCAGGCTTCTGCGCGCGAGTTGGCGAAAACTGGGAGCTACGGAACTAGAAGAAAAGAAAATGTTGGCAATTGCCATTGTCCAATGGGCCGTTGCCTCCCACGCTGTTCCGGACTTGGATGCCGCTCGAGCCCGGCGAGTCAGTTTCAATGCTTCGAAACCCGCTTTCTCTACAGGGCCCCGCCACCCACTATCGCGGGGTCCGAATCCACTTCCCTGCGCCTGCTGTACGAAGCGACATGGTGCTGAACGTCGGCTGCCGCTGGTGAGAGAGAGCTCATGAGGGGCCATGGGTCAAAATTTCTCAAAAAAATAAGTCCGTCTGGTAAGGATGAACCGGCTTCGAGGCCTCGTCTACGAGACCGTCAATTCGTTGATAATAAGCCCGGTCGTCCTCTTTTGATCGACACGGCCCCGACATCAAAGCTCTTGCTCTCATTCTCGGTGTACCTTCCCGGCCCAGAATCCTCCAAATCTCACCTCTGACCGCCTTCGCGCCGAGTCTTCCATTGTACAACCAACAACTTTCATCTCGGTCCTCCTTCGTGTATAACTGAGCCCTTCCCCCTCCTTCACTCATTCTATCTTTACTGGCCGGGCGCCTCGTTTGAATATCCGCATATCCTATCCGCCAAAATGTCTACTACTCAGCTCCCCGTTTCCGACGTCGACAGATACGACTATGTCATCGTCGGCGGCGGTACTGCTGGCTGCGTTATCGCCTCGCGTCTCGCCGAGGCCCTTCCCCAGAAGCGCATCCTCTTGATTGAGGCTGGCCCCAGTGACTTCATGGACGACCGCGTGCTGGACCTGCGCAAGTGGCTCGACCTTCTCGGCGGCGAGCTCGACTACGACTACGGCACCACCGAACAGCCCATGGGTAAGCTCTCATCCCCTCACCATCCCCGATAAGCTCATGCTGGGTTCGTCCCATCGTGAGTGACTGAATGTCAACTCAAAGAAGCTCACACCAATCGCGCACAGGCAACTCTCACATCCGTCACTCACGCGCCAAGGTCCTGGGTGGCTGCTCCTCTCACAACACCCTCATCTCCTTCAGGCCCTTCGAGTACGACTTGAAGATCTGGCAGTCCATGGGTGCCCACGGCTGGACCTTCCACGACTTCATGCGCGTCATGGACAAGCTCCGCAACACCGTCCAGCCCGTCCACGCCCGCCACCAGAACGAGCTTTGCCTTGACTGGGTCAACTCTTGCTCTTCCGCCCTCAACATCCCTATCCTCCACAACTTCAACAAGCACATTGCTCAGGATGGCGCCCTGAAGACCGGTGTCGGTTTCTTCTCCATCTCCTACAACCCCGACGACGGCCGCCGGTCTTCCGCCTCCGTTGCCTACATCCACCCCTTCCTCCGCGGCGACGAGAAGCGCCCCAACCTGACCGTTCTCACCAACGCTTGGGTTTCCAAGATCAACGTCAAGGGCGACACCGTCACCGGTGTCAACCTGACCCTCAACGATGGCTCCAAGCGTACCGTTACCGCCAAGAAGGAGACCGTCCTCACTGCCGGTGCCGTCGACACCCCTCGTCTGATGCTTCTGTCTGGTATCGGCCCCAAGCAGCAGCTCAACGACCTCGGCATCCCCCTCATTCACGACCTGCCCGGTGTCGGTGAGAACCTCCAGGACCACCCCGAGTCCATCATCATGTGGGAGCTCAACCAGCCCGTCCCTCCTAACAAGACCACCATGGACTCCGACGCCGGTATCTTCCTCCGCCGCGAGGCCCCCAACGCCGGTGCCAAGAAGACCTTCTTCAACCCCGACGGCATCCCCGACGGTGACATCGCCGATGTCATGATGCACTGCTACCAGATTCCCTTCACCCTCAACACCGGCCGCCTCGGCTACGACGAGCCCAAGGAGGGCTACGCCTTCTGCATGACCCCCAACATCCCCCGCCCTCGCTCTCGCGGCCGTCTCTTCCTCACCTCCGCCGACCCCAACGTCAAGCCCGCCCTTGACTTCCGCTACTTCACCGACGAGGAGGGCTACGATGCCGCCACCCTCGTCTACGGCATGCGCGCCGCCCGCAAGGTCGCCGAGCAGGCTCCCTTCAAGAACTGGATCAAGCGCGAGGTCGCCCCCGGCCCCAAGCTCCAGACCGATGAGGAGCTCTCCCTCTACGCTCGCCGCGCCGCCCACACCGTCTACCACCCCTGCGGAACCACAAAGATGGGCGACGTCCGCAAGGACCCGCTCGCCGTCGTCGACGAGCGCCTCAACATCAAGGGACTCAAGCGGGTCCGCATCTGCGACGCCGGTGTCTTCCCCACCATCCCCACCATCAACCCCATGCTTACCGTGCTTGGTTGCGCCGAGAAGGCCGCCGAGTTCATCATCCAGGAGGCTCAGGAGACCGCCCGTCTGTAAAAACATCTATACCATCAAGCGAAATATGTGTGTGAAATTTGTCTCGGGAGAGGAGAAAAAAGCATCTTGTTGCCATTTTCTATTTAAATGTTAGAACTAGCTATCAGGCATTATACCAATGATATCACGACATGAACCATTTAAACGCAGAGCATTGAGGACTTCATTCTTCGACACTGTATATCCAACTCGAATGTGACCATGCCGAGACGCCCCGAGGAAACCCACACGTTTCCACCACGACGCACCATCGAGCATGAAGAAATTTTCTGTTGAACTTCGAATTTTCGCCATGTTAGCTCAGCAACGCCAAGTGGGAACGATCGAGACGATCGGGGGTCCAAGGGCCAGTCCACATCGCGGAGATCGCGCGTCGGGATATTAACCCGAGGCGCATCGTCGGTGAATCAAGTGCCCGCCATCCGAGGCTTCTTTCATCTCAGTATTGGATTTGCTCACCCTTGATGTCCAATTCAAGGAAACAGAATCGAATCACCTTGGCTTTCGAATCATTAACAGCAGATGGTCCTTCAACGGCGTTCTAGAACCCACAGGTTCGACTACTGCCGCCCAGTGGAGCTTCCCAATCCTTTCGCGTAGTGTACTTCAGACGATCTTGATCGGATATCTATACTAGACCCTACGTGCATCTCAGGAGACCAAGCTTCCTGAAGTCCCTTAAAGTTAAGTGACGTCAAGGTGCTATCATTGGCCTAAATCCCAGGGGGGGGCTTTTTCTCAGTTCGAGTACGAGTAACGAACGGGCTTCTCCTGCTGTCCGGACTGTCGGTACGAGTACCTGCTCTATTCGGATAGCTTCTCAACTCGTGATTGGTTGGGTGTGGAAATCCGAGGGAATGGATGCGGTGGCGAGGGCGTGGTGGTGGCTGCAGGGAGGAGGATTCCGGGTTGCATTTGTGGAAAGATGTGTTGGTTCTTGGCTTCCTGCAGCACTCGAGTTCCAATAACTTAGTATCATTTGAAGGAATGGTTCTTGTTTTCCCGAAATGCTTGGAGTAATGTGGTGTCTGCATTGCTGCTGCGATCGCCAACGTATGGACTTGGCAAGCGAATATTCATCTCAGCTGGTTCTACTAAGAGATTATAAATTGCTAGAAGAGGCTTCAGCATCTCTCAACCAACCATTGATGTGCGTTCCTTGCGAATGAGTTCGCCATGGTTGACGGAGATGCCCCGTCACAGGTAGAGGCCAGCGGGATCCGAACCAGTCGCACGGGATATAGGCTTTCGAGTATGAAATCGCGACCATTCTGCAGCCGTCACCGTCAGGATATTCGAGGTTGATACTTCAGAGACGGAAGTGGGCACTGGTATCGTCCTTCATCCCGGACAACCACTACCGTACTGCATGCACCTAGAGGGCAGATGAAGATGAAGATTCCGGTCCAACTCAGCTGACTTATTGGAACACGGAAGCAATCATCCCCTTCCATTGGCGCTTTGTCGTTCAAATTTTAGACTGTAGGACCCTTTAGCCTTATTTATGCCGTCGTCCGTCGAAATATGGGTGTATTCTGATGAGAGTCAGCCAGGAGACTGGTAGATCTAACTGGAAGGGCTCATCGGGAAAACAACACTTCGCGAGAATCATATGGGTCTGAACCCGTCTTGGTTGAACGGAAGTCAAGCTGGTAGAGTATGTTGATTTATTCGTTCAATGTTCGTGAATTTGGTTTCCTGCTTGTAAAGACTAGCCGGACTAGTGGTACAGATATTTTACACTGACATCATTTCAATTCGATCCATTCATCCCCCCATCCCCATTCATCGGCGGCTCAGCACCTGGGAACGGTTGCAACACAGATTGCGGATTGACCGGCAGACCCCATTCCGCCATCTGCAAGAACCCCGCCGTCATCCAATCGTGGCCGCCTAGGGAGATGTTACCCCAGTCCCCGCCGAACTCCAGCCCAGACATCATCAAGGGAGACGTCGTGGTGGTGGGAGGGACGCCAATGCCGCCTGCGGTCTCCGTGCCGAGAGGCTGGGGATACGGTATTGGCGCCGTCGTTGTCGTCGGCGGAGCCAAGGTGCAAGCTTCGGCGAGGCCCACGACGACTGAAGAGGCGACTTCGTAGAGGACTTTGATGATGTGGTAAGAGGCTACTTTCTGGTGATTGGCGTCGTAGCTCTCGAAAAATTCAAGGATCATCTTGATGAGTTCGAGGTCCTGAAGCGCACTGCACTGCGTCCTGTTTTCAAGGATATTGACGAAGAGAATGTCGACGCTCCATGCGACCTGATACAGGAGGTAACTGTTCCGGTCAGCAATGTCCTCAATCGCTCTGGACGTGGTTCGAAACTTACATTGTGAATGGATGACTGAGCCGCTGATGTCTCAGCAGCGCAATAGTAGCCCTCGCAGCATTGACGCAGAGCGCCACGCTAGGCTTCATAGAGTCCTGCTCCTCATCGAGCAGCGGCAACCTGAACGCCGCCGAGTGGATGGCGACGACCATCTGGAAGTACATGAAATGCAGCACGCTCAGGCACATCATCCGGTTGTAGTCCGCGTCGACCAGATCCATCGACGGCTCGGGGCGGATCATCTCCGGGATCCCCTCGCGCCACTCCTGCAGCTCCGCGTCCAGCTGCGCGATCTCGTGCTCGAGGGCCGCGGCCGAGACGATGCTGCCGCTCTGCGAGTACAGCTTCGAGTAGATGTGGCCCTGGATCCGGGACAGGCGGACCTGCTGGTGGAAGTAGCTGAGCGTGACGTTGCCCGGGAAGTAGTACACCGCGTAGCCGTCCAGGGGGAATTCCTCCGGCAGGTCGATGAGGAAGTCGTCGGTGATGAGGGGGGGCTTGCCGATGCGCAGCATGAGGTCGTGGTCGAGCACGTAGGCTTGCCAGAAGAGGCGGCGGCGGTGGAGGATGTCGGCCTCGGAGAGCATGGACTTGAAGGGGTGGTCTGGGTTGTGGTAGCCTGCGAGCAGGATGAACTGGATCGCGAAGGCCAGAATGGATATCGCGATGTGGTTCTCGGCCTCGAAGATAAAGTACATTGCCTGTTCTCGTCAGTATGAGAATTCACGTGGTAGAACAGAGCGGTGTGCGGGTACAAGTGAAAGTAGAGCCCCTATCGTCATCGGGTTCGGGGTCTCGAGGATGGCGTTCGGGATCAGGGCGAGGGCGTTGTTGAGATAATGCTCATACTCCTTCGAGTCGCCGGCCCAGTCACGCGATCGCATCGAGTGCACGAGGATGACGTTGAGTGCTAGCCTCCATCCCGGCTCGTTGCACGGCTGGCCGTACATGTAAGCGTGAACTGCGGAGCGGACCTTGTTTTCCTGCAAGAGGCGTATGCCATGGTTGAGATTTCTGAAGAAGTCTGTGATGACGAGTTAACGGCGGAGTCCACTGACATTTGTATCAAGCATTGTGAGAAGTACTTACCGTTCATACACCCGATGATGACATCGTTAGGAGGGAAGGGGTAGTCTCTGGGGGAAGAAGCAAAGTTAAGACTTCTTTGGGGCGCGAAACTTCGTATCCTTCGCAGGAGCGCTCGAACAGCTTCGGAGAAGCGCTTGTCACCAACTAATGTGTCGATCTTGGTGATTCCCTCAATAGAAAAGAGAGAGCATTGGCCTTCAAGACGGGTTAGAAGAAGTTCAGATGCCTCTAATAGCCGAACCCGACTTACCCGAGACCCCAACTGTGCCCTCTGACGCCCCGGCATAGTACGGCCTCGTCGTTCGTGATGAGCTTGAGGCTGGTGAGGGTGGATATGATGGTGAGCGCTGAGCAGGGCCTGTCGTGGCCACGCTTATGCTCGATCGAGCCGGCTTGGTGGTGACCGGGGGCTCTTCAGGCGTCAAGACTTGAGTGCTCTGCTTCCGTGTCTTCTTTGGAGTGGATTCTTTCGGCTCTTGAAGCTCCTCTACCAGGCGCTCCATCTGCGCTAGCCTGGTGACAATATTCTCATACAATCTTCATCATTGATATATGACGTCAGCGACATTTCAGTGTGAAAAACTGCAGTTTTTGGATTCACATACTTCTTCTCTCCCCGCCTCGTGCCCTTCTTTCTTTCGGGCCATACACATTCCCCGCCATATTTCTCACATCCAGAACATACAGGCCTTCTATGGTCGCATTTGACCTATCATTGAATCGAGTCAGTTCCCGATAAAAATGAGTGAGGCAAGTCTCAAGCGTAGTCAAAGTCCCAGTACGAACCTTTCGAGTCCTACAGCCCGTGCATGAGAGTGACAGGGCCTTTGGCGTCTGCCGTTGGGCTTCCGACGTCTCTTGCATCGCGTTCGGTCGGGACCACGGAGCTCTGATACCGAGACAGTGGCAGGGCAAAATTGCTATGGAGTAGAAAGATGTCCGGAGAACACGGGGGGGAGTAGAGCAGCGGCGGCGGCGGCGCGGGATAAGAGACAGTACCTTACGGACAAGCCCCCAGCCGGACACGCCGGGTGTACCTGTTAACGCGGCGCGAAAGCACGAGCCGCGAGCCGCGCCGGTCGCTCTCGGTTTCGGTCGGATGACTTTTATCAACCAAACTCCGGCGCTAAAGCCTTGGAAAACCGCCTGAAGTGGAAGCGTACAGCGTGTTTGATTTCTAAGATCCGATCGCGGGCTGGTCCGCACTCGCGCCTTTAGGTTCTTATTATTCGTTATCCGCCGAAATCGATTGGTCATACCGTAGGCTGGAAAAAAGCTTACATTGAGTGCCGGCGGGTTCGTTCATGTCTGTGATGAGTCATTGGAAAGGTGTACGCGCTGATTTGCGGTGGCCTGCCTGCTTGGCACTTAATGCCCGACGGTGATCGGAGTACGGATAGAGTAGAGGTTCCCACGACGTAGCGAGCTCGGCTCGGTTTACGACGGAGATGCGACGCTGTACCGGAGGTTTTAGAGAGTTTCATTTGATATTCATAGGGAACAGAAGGCCGTAAATTAGCCGGCGGAGTTAGTTTGACGAACGAATTAGTAATTCACAGTCACTGGGCGTAATTACCACTTCCAGTCGTGAATAGTCGTTACCAGGACCAAGAGAGAAGCATCCCTGATATTTTAATTACAATGATCTACCGACATGAGCTGACTCATATGCCAACGTCAACGCCCATCTCACAGGGAAAAAAAAAAAAAAAAGGTGAAACCAAGAATGTATAAACTCAAGCATCACTCGTAAGCTCTGTGTTCGTTGCGCTGACAAACAGCAGGAAGGCCTGTATTCTCGGTCTCGTATTTGCAGGTCAAATGGTTCCCAGCTGCGACGTATTTTGGAGTTACTGATTGGGTATGGTTCTACCACAACCCCTTGGCAGCAACTCTATCTAGAGTCGCGCTGCAATGAAGCCGTTTTGCTAAGGTTCCGGATACGAGAGTTACGTTCTTTGGCGGTCCTATATAGCCATAACCTCACAGTGTGACTCCATTGCAGATTTTTGAATTAATAGGCAAGGCAAGCCAACATAACGACGCAGATATATCTGTTCAATCATACACCTACTTTGACACTGGTTAGGTCTGGTCGTTAGATCTCGCCATCATTTTGAATAGTCCCCAAGCCATGGCTGAGGTTTCGCAGATCAGCACTCAGTCATCTCCTCCTAAAATTCAGGCAAAGGTAATAAAGGTTACTCAGCTCACATTTGAGGCTGGCCATTCAAAGTATCGTATCAACATCGAATTGCCTGGAGATGCCACATACGAAGTTGGGGATTGCTTGGACGTCTACCCAAGCAATGTTCAGCAGCCTATCGCAGAGCTTGACGACTTGTTCCGAATTCGCAATGCATTATCTACTACCGAGGGAAACGTCTTAGTCTCTGAAGAGGCTATCAATGAACCTGTGACTTCCAAGGTGAGCTTGCCATGTTAACGCCAATGTTTCAACTGCATGTACTGAGAACCAATGTTTGAAATAATCAGCAACTCGAGGTTTTAATAGATTGTTTCGCCGATCACCAAGACAAATCAACGTTTCAAGCAGCCAGAGAGAACCTCTGTAAAGCACCAGGTCATCTACGACCATCCATATCACAACTACTGGATGCTTATCCCAGTATCAAGATCCAGTCAGATCAACTGAGCGCCGTGCTCCCACCTCTTAGGCCTCGACGATACTTCATCTCGTCATCACCCCTCAAATCTGCGTCAAGATGCTCGCTGACCTGGTCTCTCAAAACAAACCACTTCCCCGGTTTTAACAGTCAAGATCGTGCCATGGAAATCGGAATGGCGTCACACTTTCTTGCTCGACTCGCACTAGGAGACACTCTGACCTGTGCCCCGAGACCCCGATCGATATTGCGACCTCCTGCGGATTTGAGTACGCCAATCATAATGATATGCGACGGTGATGCTATCGCACCTTTCATTGGGTTTGTTGAGCATCGAGCAGAGCGAATCCGGCGGGACCCGGCGCTTTGGGACGAGATCGCGCCGGCATTGCTGTTCGTGGGCTATGACAACCCGCAGCAGGCGATAATACCACTGGAGCTTGGCAGCAGCGGCGTAGTCGATGTGCGCTACGCGTTTCGTGACTTCGGGGAGGGGGGCGACTTCGTGGGAACAGCGGAACAAATAATGTGGGCTGATCGAGAAGAGGTCATGAAGCTTTGGAACCGCGGGGCAAGTCTTTTTGTTTGTGGAACTACGCAAGTTATCGATATCGAGGTCCAGCAGATCATGCTAAGGATCTTGCAAGAAGCACACATAAAGCGAGGCGGACTGCAAACGGAAACTGAAGTGGATGAACGGTGGGAAAGAATCTTCAGAGAGACAAATAGGTACAACGTCGAAATTTTCTGAGGTCGCTATTCTTACGAATTAATCTCATCGTTCATGAGAGACGCTCTCAGGGTAAGTAGGGATTTCTTGCACTCCTAACATTGCCAGGTATACGCGCCCTGTTATCAGGGTCTCATTTGACAATCTTGCGCGCCGCACTAACTGCTCCCTCTCTGTGCTAGCGCCTTTGACGTCATCAACCTATTCACCCAGCGACCATCAGAATCCTCCCTCACCTGTCAATCTTGTTTCTCAAAGGAAACTTCAAATAATGACTTATTGAGTATCTGACGGTACAGAATCACCACAGCTTCAGGCAGAAAATAATCGCATCGCCATGGGAAACACTATCTCGACTTTCTTTCCACCTGCGCCCAGCTTTCTGGAAAAGGACCTTCCGAGCCAGACCGGGCGCGTCTTCATCGTCACTGGCGGGTACTCTGGAGTAGGATATGAGCTAAGCCGTATGATCTGGCAACGCGGCGGCGTCGTTTATATCGCCGGACGAGACGAAGAAAAAGCCCGCGAAGCCATCGCCTCCATTCAAAAGGAGTCAACTGCGGAATCCACCGACGGCGGACTGCGCTTTCTCAAAGTAGCTCTTGACGACTTCTCGAGTATCAAAGCGGCGGCAGATAGGTTCATGGCCGAAGAAAAGCGCCTCGATGTTCTCTTCAACAACGCCGGTGTATCCAACCCACCCGTCGGTTGGGTGTCAGCTCAGGGTCATGAGATGCAACTTGCGACGAATTGTCTCGGCCCTTACCTCCTGACGAAGCTGCTAGCCCCATTACTCAAATCCACGACCAAACTCACGAGGGAGACCGGCGCCGTACGCGTCACGTTTACAACTTCCATCGCGACGCAGCTCGGTGCCCCTGATGGCGGAATCGATGTCAACAAGCTCCTGAAGCCATCAACAGACCAGCAAGTCAACTATGCACTGTCGAAAACCGGCAACTGGTTTCTTGCCGACCACTTTGCCAAGGAGCTAGGTCCCCACGGTGTTGTTAGCCTGGTTCTCAACCCTGGGAATCTAAAGACTCCGCTGCTTCGTCACATGCATTGGCTTGTCGGTGTTGTGGTATCACCACTGTTGTATCATCCGCGGTTTGGTGCTGACACCAACCTGTGGGCAGGGTTCTCTCCAGATGTCACTGTCGAAGATGGGGGCAGATGGGTTGAGCCATGGGGTCGATTTCATCCAAACCCTCGGGTCGACATCATGAATGCCATGAAGACTAAAGAGCAAGGCGGAACTGGCCAAGGAGCTGCGTTGATCGAGCTTTGTGAGAAGGTCACCTCTGATTATTCATGACCTCATCGAAGTTTGAAGCTCGCATATCGTTCTTCGAGAGCAGATAATTCTCAAATACAAATACAGCTGAACCTCGCATCAAATCTACACAAGTCCCGGATCTGTGATATCTTCCGGGCAAACGATGCTTCGTGGCCAGAGCAGCCAGTGCTCCCACTCAACTCCGAGGTATCGGGAAATAATACCAAAAAGATACGCGCCTGAGTCACCTATTTGCCACAAATCTCTGGCCAAGTGTAGTATCGCAGCATAGTGTGCCAGGACAGCGAGAGCCTCTGGTACCCGCTGCGTCAACATCTCTGCAAAGTCTTCGGTTACTAGCAAAGACCAAGCAAATACCATCTGGTACACATGTTTACCCCGAGTAAGCATGCGTACTTCGTGATCATCCATGGCGATCTGGACTAGCTCTATTGCTCCCCGGCAACTCTCCAACGAGGAAGCAGATAGGCTTTTCGAGTCGGTAAGCAATGTCAGAATACCGTCACAATGATGACCTTGAGTCCTCAAGCGTCCGAGATCCATTCCCCAGGCCATCAAGGGGCATAGCTCGGATTCTTTCAGTAGCGGCCACGCGCGGTTGACAATCATCTTGACTCCTCTGCGAATTCTCAAGTAGCTAACGTAGCAATCCAGGAAGGCACCCAAGCCATCGCCTCTGAAGGCGAGAGCATCTATGCAAAGATGCCGGCCGAGGATGGAGGAGAAGAGAACCATCGGGACACAGGTCGACTCGTCTATTTGGGCTCTCTGAGCGTTGAATAGAGAGATGGCTCGTGTTTGAAGTTGAACTGCATCATTGAGATACTCAGAAGTCCTTTCTGGCTCGACGACAGATAGATGACGGGCGGACAAAGCCAGCACCTCATGAAGAAGATAAGGTGCGTCGATACCGGTCTTTAAGATCAGTTGTGTGCTTCGCTCCAGGAGACCATCTTCAAGTTCTGGTATTGCCATTTTGAGGGAAAAATGAACAAGTAACTCCATATGATTCATGTTGATTCCAGCATCTGGGCAAGGTCGGATGGACTCCTTTCCAGTAAGGTGGGCCAAGTCGGGGGTCGGTATGATTGCCGGGCTCCGCCTTCCCGGTGATCCGGTAATCGCATCCCGCTCCGGTGTCGTTGTTTTAGACGAAGCAGCGGACGTATATTCTGCTGTTGGCAACTCGTTTGAAGATGACATTGGTATGGATAGTGGAAATACGCATTTGCGATCCACCATACTGCAGTTGACGCATCTCGGACGGGTCTCATCGCACTGTTTGCCGAAGAGCATGTGTATTAGCGATTGAACTCACAGACTGGAGCAATATTGCTGACCTTCATATGCCGACGTTTACATTCAGCGCAACCTCTGCGTGATTTCCTGTGTGGGCGTCGATGCATGGTTGAACTCCAGACTTGCCAATGCGGGAATTCGGCGTGAGTAAGAAGAATAAGAAGAACTAGGAAGTGAAGATTCGCGGCCACAGCCACGTAATCTCTTGACAGCGTGTTTGCCCAGATTTCTGACAATTTGTAGAAACATATGCATTTCGAAACGATCCACAGATTTTCCGCTAAGCCACCTCAGCTCTTTTTCAATACGGGTTATTTGCCATTGGTGGTCAACACTGCTGATTCTAAGCCACAACCTCTGTGCTGTTGCGGGAATACACGTATTCGGTGAGCACCGAGCGAATGGAACGCAGCTCTTTGGAATCGATCCACTTATCAAATACGTGTATTTGGATATCAACACACTCGACCACCAAAGTCAACAGGCTTTGTTTTAGTCAAGATCTCACAGATCAAGCAAGCATGCTTCTTCGTGATTCAATTGAATTCGAAATTGAACTTTTACGCCTCTTGTCGCTAAAGATGTACTATCTCACTTGGCTGCCAGTGCACTTCTTTGTCTGAGTACCCTTCCATATCGCAACAATATCGGAGGTACGACGCAGAGAACAGTCGCAATAACCGCAAAAACGGTTAATGCGATGTTGAAGTCGAGTGCTTCGAACATGATCCTTCCAAACAGCGGAAATGTGGCGCAGCACAGCGACCGAACCAGCGCCAAAGCAGCAAAACCGCTAGCGGCGTACGTCTGGTAGCAGTCCGTCAGATAACCGGCGAGGACGTGGTCGAACTCGTTGACCGCGTACCCTACCGGTATCAGGGCTGCAGTCGGAACAGCCCAATGTACGGACGAGACTTGTGGCGGGATTGTCCAGGCGAAGCACCAGAGACCGATGGCCAGGATTGGCGCCCCGATGACGAATCCGGCGCATTTCGACTCTGGAGTGATGGGCAGATGTGCCGCGGTCCTGTTCGCAAAGACGCGGTTGTCGTAAAAGCGTGTCAAGAGAGTCAGAAGCATGCCAATTCCAAGGGCAAGAAACGGCAGGTTCTTCCAAGCACCCTCGAAGCCCATCCCGACGTAAACCATTGGCAAGACTTCCGTGAACAGGTAGATCAGTCCGAAGGCCATTGCGCTGATAACAGATACGAAGAACACGATGGGCTCGGTGAAAAAGAGACGCAGTGGCCGAATGATATCGAGGTGTTCGCGCTGGGCGGTGTTGGGGTTGCCCGTCGCCTCAGACTCGATCTTGGCTAAGGCAACCGAGGGCCTGGATTCCTTGATGGTCATCAAGAGAATCGCCAAGACTCCGGTGACAATCGCTGCCGTGTAGAAGATCCATGGCCTGGAGTACAAGCGTTAGCGTGTGATGAAAGATGATTTCATGAATGTCTTACCAACTAAGCTGCGACATTATCGCCGCACCGAATACAGGCCCCGCCAGAATAGCCATGTTGGCCATCAGCGCCCACATGAAAATCCACCATACTCTGGCTTTGGTGTCCCACATATCTTCAATGCTTCCCGTAGAAATGACCGTTGGCGCAGCAGACAGAAAGCCACCGGCAAGGCGGCCAATAACGACTCCTGGAATAGTAGGCATGGCTCCTACTATGACGCAGGAGACGCTGTACAGAGCCGTGCTGGCCACATAGAGCTTCTTGCGACCGAAAGACTCTGACCAAGGGGGCAAGAAGACTCCTCCAATGGCTTGAGCGATGAGGTATGTTGACACGAAGATGCTGGTAGCCGCAACAGCACTAAGCCCAAGATTGCGGTGTTCGTGTTCGGCAACAGGCGTCTTTCCGGAGTCAGAAAACTTGCTGGGATTTCAGACAATTGTGACAGAAAACTTACTCCTGCGGTGCTAATCATGGTGCTGTGTCCAACATTAGTCTCGGCTGCGCTGGAGAAAACAGACGGTCCACCCACGTGAAGAATTCCAAGAAGATGATCAGAGAAGTGTCGTATATCTTTCGTGCCGATCCCCACTGTCGCGGATGGCCTTCCTGGCTGGTTGTCCCATCGTTGGAGCCCGAGTCGATGCATGCTTCCGGATCGTGTATTTGAGTGATCGTGGTTCTCGGAGTACAGAATTCCATTTCTATGCTTTTGTGTGTAGAGAGGCACTTGTCGCGGAAATCATGGACCTCAAGGGAGTCCTGGAAACTCCCAACGGAACCGTAGTCGATAATTAAATGCCTTCATGTGAAGATGTTAGCCATTTCAAGGTTCCAAATGACGAATCCCAAACAAGGCGTTATGTAACTAGAATCACCGCAACAACTCTATCCAATGCGAGTCTGCAACTTACCTCGACATTTTGACTTTGCCCAGCGTTCTCAACGGCGACTGTTTCGAGACTGCTTCCTCAACGTGATTCGGCTCCACCAACCTGCGGAAGATTTCCAAAGGTGTGATCGCGCCATATTGCGAGCGATTAGGATTCGACATGACCTTGAGGCTCTTATTAAATGGTGACCAGATGCCAAGGACAACGCGGGCCAGGCCCAGCAACACCCGAACATTTTCAAGCATCTGTGAGCAAGCAAACCGAAGCGGCTGAAGCCATGGCAGGGGGCCATAGAAGCGGCAGATGAATGAATTATTCTTCGGTTGGTCTCCTAACGGCTAGTATGTTTTACCTCGACAGAAGCCGTCGCCTCGCTTAAGTCGGTTTTCAGGTCAAAGATGAGCCAGCCACAGTAGTGTAGTTTTTCCCGTCTGTGCTTCTAGAAAAAAATGATTCGGGCACTTGTAGGATGCAATATCGGACTTCAACTCCGGGGATGGAGGCTCACCCCATTGCTGCCGCGGAAACCCACAAGACCTCGTGTGTGAAGCTCAAGCCGAACTCCTCCCCTCTCGACGTAATTTGGACAAATTCGTGATAGATCGCCATCGCAAGCACTGAGAGTATTGCAAACATGCAGTTCAGGCAAGTGAAATTAGCGCGTCCCGACGGTCTGGTAGTCGTGGGGGAGGGACCGGGGGCTAGCGTCGTGCTCTCTCCGTCTTTGGAACGAGCCGAGACTCGGCACTTCGGCCACTAGCCATATTAGACAAGCTAGACATGTTTGGGTGGACGTTGAGAACTATTAAGGAGAGGCAAACAATACGGAAATGAACGGAAATTCGTCCCATCCCAGCCCAGTCCGGCCCAGCCGGTGCAAGCGCCGGCTGGAGATGCATACAGCAAACGAGAACCAATGGCGGTGTACGTTTCTTAGCCACTAGGAATGCGGCAATGGAGATCAGCCGCAGTCCACCAACGACAAGAAATGGCCCAGAAATGAGCGTCGAGTGTGGCACAGAGTGCAGCGGATATCTTGGCAGCGGGGTAGCTGATGGGTTCGAGGCAAACAAGACCCCCGGGAGATTTGAAGCACGTTTGTTTCCAACGAAAACAGCAAAGGCCCGTTCATCGGGAGGAGCTACTTACGCGGACCGGGTCGTAGACTGGAGTCTGTGACAAAGAACTCCTTTACAATCTCAATCAGTTCATGCAAGGCCCAGATTAACCCTTACTTTTCAATGGACCCTTCGGGAATCATTGGCATCATTGGTGTCGTCGGTCAAATTGGCATCGCGAGTGGGAAGCTTGGTCTGAACTGGAAAGAAGCACCCGACGATGTGAAGGCCTTCATGAGTGAGCTCAGAGGTCTGAGCAAGATTCTTTTTGAAATCCAAAACAAACTCATCGACAACCCCGAATTCGTATCGGCCTTTGAGGGGAAAAGATCGGCCGTCATCGCCAATCTTGCCACCCCGTCTAGCTCCGACGATTCAGCTGTACTCTTTACTTGCAAGGAGGAGCTAGATGGTCTACTTCAAAAGCTCGAAAGCCTCAGTCAGGGGAAACTTTTCGGATGGAGACGGATGAAGGCCGCGTTCCTCAACGAGCGGCTGCAGAAAGCTGTGAAGGACTCGCAGCGTCGGTGCCAGAGCTGGTTGACAAACATGATTGCTGTTGACAACGCTGCTCTGCTTGCGAATACGAACATCGAAGTAAGGTCCACAAGGAAAGAGGTTCGAGATCAGCGGCAAGAGGAAGAAAAGAAGAGACACCTCGAGAGCAAGAAACGGATACTAGACTGGATTACTCCGATTGACTTTGCTGCGCAGCAAACCGACAATCTGGACCGACGACAGGCGGGTACCGGAGGTTGGCTTCTTGATTCCCAGGAATTCCAGGCATGGGTTGAGAATGACCGCCAAACCCTCTTTTGCCCCGGGCTTCCTGGTGCAGGGAAGACGATGCTATCATCGATAGTCGCCGAATATCTTCAGGATCGATTCCAAACCGACGAGACCATAGGCGTCGCGTATGTCTTTTGTAATTATCGACGGCGAGACGAGCAGACCTCTCGCAATCTTCTCGCGAGTCTTTTGAAGCAGCTATATCAAGGCCTTCGCGGTGGCTTCAGTGACATAGAGACAGTCTACGAAGGACACGCCAGTGGCAAGAGGCCGCTATCGACAGAAGAGATCAAACATCATCTTCGATCTATTACCACGCGATACACCAAAGTGTTCCTGGTTTCGGATGCTTTAGACGAGTGCCGAGTGGAGGGGGAAAACCGGGACAAGTTTCTCTCGAGTATCCTTGAGCTTCGCAAGATCGCAAACGTTAATTGCTTTGCTACCTCGAGAACAAATCCTGAGATAGCAAATCATTTCGCCCACGACCATGCGATAGAGATACGAGCTGCGGATGATGACGTCAGAGCCTACTTGGACGGCCACATATCGCAGCTTCCCTCTTCCGTAAAGAAGAACAAGGAGCTTCAAGATGATATCAAGGCTATGATCGTAAAAGCTGTCCAGGGAATGTGAGTGAGACACATCAGTTTGACAACCGGCTTGTTGAGATCCGACAACTGACGTACTTTGCTCTTTACCATGTAGGTTTCTTCTGGCCGAACTTCAATTGAAGTCTCTAAGAGGAAAGCGCTCAGCAAAAGCCGTGAAAGAATGTCTCAAGAAGTTCTCTGGTGGCTCCGATGCATATCATAATGCATATGACGAAGCCATGGAGCGTATTGAAGGCCAGCTTGAAGACCAGGTCACCCTCGCAAAAGACGCACTATCGTGGATCATCTGCGCCAAGCGACCCTTGACGACGGAGGAGTTGCAACACGCTCTTGCCGTGGAGAAAGGAAGCAAAAGTCTCGATAAAGACAACATACCCGAGCTTGACGACGTTGTGTCGGCCTGCGCCGGACTGGTCACCATTGACGAAGAGAGTCGCATCATTCGGCTTGTCCACTACACAACTCAAGAGTACTTTGAGAGAACCGCTCATCGTTGGCTGCCCGATGCGCAACGTCTTATCACAGTCTCTTGCATCACATACATTTGCTTCGACGTCTTTCAATCGCTTGCGGAACTGAACATCCCAAAGCGATATTCTAGTAACCCACTGTACGGATATGCCGCCACCAACTGGGGTCACCATGCTCGTCTAGTATTCCCTCCATGCGAAGAAATCCTTGAATTCTTATGTGGGACGGAACATGAAAGAAACATTCGTTCATCATTTGAGGCAATTCTTTGGAACTACAACCTTCAACGCCACATGGACGACAGGTGGTCTTGTGGAAGGCCAGGAAGTATAGTTGGAATCCATCTGGCGGCTTACTTCGGGCTCAAGGAGGCTTTAATTACACTTCATGCCTCGCAGAGAGAGGTGGGTGTATGTCTGACGCAAATGTTATACTGCCCAGTCGGTTTAACACAAACCTCAGTTTAACCTAAACGTCAAAGACGATGAAGGCTTCACGCCATTGATCTACGCTATGGCATTCGAGAACTACGATTTCGTAGACTTTCTTCTGAAGTTTGAAGACGTCACCCTCAATTCTGCCATCCTCGATAGCTCAAAGACTTCGATACCCGGCTCAATCAGGACTAACAGCATTGACGTCAATGTCCAAGATGATACTGGCATGACGCCATTGTCACACGCAGTTCGAATGTACCAAGTCAAGATGGCGGAGCTTTTACTGGCCTCAGGTAAGGTTGACGTCAACTTGCGAGACGCTAAGCGTCGGTCGTCATTATCAATAGCAGTAGAGCAAGATCAAACCCAAATGGTTGAGCTTCTCCTGAGAACAAATGGAATTATCGTCGACTCGAAGAACCCTGAAGGTCGGACAAGCTTGTCGGTCGCAGCTGGGACAAACAGCCTGAAGATACTGTCGCTTCTCGTCGAGACTGGAAAGGTCAACGTCAACTCAGTAGACAACTTCGGTTGGACACCTTTGCACTGGGCTGCAGAAGCAGGACACGAAGAAATCGTCTCGCTACTAGTGGAAACCGGACACGCCAATCCTGTAACATTCGACAAGAATAACGAGACACCGCTTTGGACGGCCATTGATTCGAGGAGAGATGGAGTCGCCAGGTACCTACTGTGCAAAGGGAAGGTTGATGCCTGTTTACATGTAAGACAAAAGAGGTTGAGGAGGACTCCGCTGGATTCTGCGGTCAAATGGCTGGGTCTTGAGCACGAGATCACCAAGCTTCTCCGAGAAAGAATGGAAGTGCTCGCGCAGAACAAGGCAGCGGAGGCGGGGGAAGGCAACCAGAAAGAGCGACGAGAAACAGACTCGAAGACGTAAAAGAAAACAGAGGAAACCTCAAGAAAGCTAGAAAGACTGTTCTCTGGGAACCTGTCGCGGTCTTTAGTCACAACTATTTGTACTCGTTTTGCACGCCTATAAGCGGATTCTGGGTCGGCTGGGGTTGAAATACCCCTAGCAGCGTCAGATCAACCCCAGCAGGAATCAAATGAAACACGAAAAAAGCGTCTTGTTATGATGATCTTTCAAGTGAATGATTTCGTTTGCTTCGGCGGTCTCGCGGATTGATGTTCCATCAAGTTGAGATGCGCTTATCCTTTTCAACAAAAAGACAATCAAGGCCCGCTCCGCCCGGCAGCGCGGGACCAGTTGAGTGCTTCAAAATACACCACTTCGCTCTTGTATAGTAATGTTAACACGTTTAATCAGGAAGCCTTACATGTTCTAGGAGTTCTAATAACATCACACCGGATTGACTGATGAGAGATAAGTGACGTAAAACATAAGGTATGGAAAGACGAGTTGTAGAAGTAGAAGCAAAGAGAAGCAGAGCAAGAGGTTTGGAGTCAGCCGCACTACGATACTGGCCCACGGCCACATTAATGCACAGGCAGAGGCGGACATAAGACACAAGGAGACGTATGGTATAAGAGTATCATGTTTGCTAAGGAAAGTCTGCATCATCTGCTAATTCTAAACACAAGGAAATGACATCAAAACGCCCAAGCCCAATGAATCCAATCTCCATCTCCTCCCACTTCTTTCCCATCATACCGCGATTGCCAGGCGGTCTTCCATATGAAACAGAGAGAAAAGACATACACATAAGATAAGAACACTGTTTGACACATACATATTCATAACAATATAGAAAAAATAAGAAAAGGAGATCCAGCATTGTGGTCTGGTCGCCCTTGTTGTCCCGTGTGACCCTTTCATATCTTGCCAATCCAAATGCGCCCCTTTCCACCACCTTTGATAATTATGATCCCTTTCGCACTAATCCGAACCCAAATGACAATCTATCATCTCTTCATGCATAATACGGTTTGTGGTAGTTGATGTAAATGAACAATGCGGCTGCAAATCTCATTGCGTCTTTTTCTTCGTCTAACTGCTCCAGTCGAATCCGACGCAAAGCTTGCTCTTCTTGCAGACGGCCTTGGTGAGGGTCTGGATGCTGCCGGAAGAGAGCAGCTCGAGAACCTGCATGTTGGCCTCGAACTCACGCGTGATGAAGTTACGGATCTCGATGGCGACGAGGGAGTCGAGCGGGTAGTGTGACAAGCTGCGGGTGACGTCGAGATCCTCGGTCTCCATCATCAGGACGGCGGCGATCTTCTCGACGAGACCGCGGCAGACAACCTCCATAGCCTCGGCCTCGCTGCGGGAAGCCTTGAGGGCGGCGTTCAGGGAGATGGCGCCTGAGCCAGCCTCAGCAGCGGCAAGCTCCTCAGCGGCAAGGCGCATGGCCTTGAACTTGGCGTCCGGTGTCCAGAAGGGTTGCACAGCAGGGGTGATGCGCATACCGGTGATGACGTGGTGGTTGGCGACGGACGTCTTGCCGGAGATGGAAGCGCCGATGAGGGCGAGAACCTCAGCTTCGCAGATGGTGTCCGAGCCCAAGTTCTTCATAATCTCGGCCGCACGCTCGGCGTCACCGTCGGCGACGTAGCCGGCGTCGGAGACGGCGGTAAGGTCGAGAGAAACGGCGGGAAGACCCTGGGCAAGACGGTGCTGAACGAAAGCGTTGAGGAAACAGTTGGCGGCGGCGTAGGCGGCCTGGCCACGGTTACCGACGGCTCCGGCAGCGGAGGAAATGGCGACAAAGAAGTCCAAGGGGACATTGCGATCTTGCAGAGCGTGGTGGAAGTTCCATGCACCTTGCACCTTGGACTCAGTGACGGCAGTGTAGTCGGAGTAAGTCATCTTCTCGAAAAGAACATCCTAGAATCGGTTAGTCGATGTTGAGAAGAATAGCGAAATAATTTTGAACTTACGCGGAGGACCATGGAACCGTGGATAACACCACGGACGGGAGGAAGACCCTTGAGACCAGTGTTGAACAGCTGCTCAACGCTGGACTTGTCAGCTACGTTGCAGGAGCGAACAGTGATGTGAGCACCCTCAGCAGCAGCCTCGTCGATGAGTTCCTTGACCTTGCCGGTAGCAGAACCGCTACGAGACAAGAGAACCAAGTTCCTGGCACCGTGAGCAACCATCCACTTGGCCATGCTGCGACCAAGACCACCAGTTCCACCGATGAGGAGGTAGGTAGCATCAGCCTTGAGCAGAGCCTTCATCGCCTTGGAGGGCGAGGCCATGACCACATCAGATGCGCTGGGAACAACCACCAGCTTGCCAGGACCCTGAGTGCTTTGGAGTGTCTTGAAAGCAGTCTCCATGGTAGAGACAGGGAAGACAGTGGCAGGGTCAATGGGGCGGAGTTCGTCATCAGCCAGAAGCTTGGCGACATCCTTGACGAGTCTCTCCATGATCTTGGGCCTCTCGGCGGCAAGACCAAAGATGTCGACGCTCAGGAAAGAGGCGTTGCTGTCAGTCTGGCCCATGTCCAGGCGGGTGGCGCGGGAGCCATCCTTCCTCCTGACATCGACGAGGCAGCCGAAGCGGCCGAGACAGGCCCAACTTTCCCTGAGGGCATCGGCTCCAGGAAGAGTGTTGAGAACGACGTCAACACCCTCATCGTTGGTGGCGCGTCTGACGGCCGCTCTCCAGGTGGTGTTGCGGCTGTAGAAGATGTGGTCCTCAGGAACATTGTAGTGTTGCATGAGGAGCTTCTTCTTCGCTGCGGAGCTGACAGTGACGAAGATCTCGGCACCGATCATCTTAGCGAGGCAGACCGAAGCCTGGCCAATACCACCACCAGCGGAGTGAACAAGCACACGCTGGCCCTCGCGGAGACGAGCCTGCTCAACCAAGCTGTAGTAGGCAGTGCAGTAAGCCAGGGGGAGAGTCGCAGCGTCCACAAACGACATCTTGGGGGGGATGGGCATGATGCTGGCAGTGGTGGTGCGAGTGCGAGTGGCATAGGCGCCGTGGGTGATGGTGAGAGCAGCGATGCGGTCGCCGGCCTTGTGAGACTTAACGGCAGAGCCGACCCTGGTGATGATACCAGCAGCCTCAACACCCAAAGCGTGCTTGTCAGCGTTCGGGATCTGGCCCTTGGCGAGCATGACATCGCGAACGTTCATGCCAACAGCCTTGACCTCGAACTCGACCTCGTCGTCACCGAGAGGTTGAGTGGCGAGAGCGTCGTCAACGAAATGAACAGTCTCAATCGCGCCAGGTGTGGAGAACTCCATTCTCAGGGAACGGTCGTCCTTGCCAAAGGGTTGCATCTCAACAATGCTGGGGTTGGTCTCCCGGTGGACGAACTCGTTCATGTCCTCGTCGTGGACGATACGGGGAGTGAAGAACTTGCCGGAACGCTCCATGAACTCAAGCTCGCTGGTAGAGGAGGCATTGGTGTTGAATGCCATCTTGAAGATCTCGTAGATGACGGCAGAGGCATCGTCCTCATCCAACTGGTTGGTGTCATCCAAGTCGAGCGTAGCGAAAGGCAGAACAGACTCCGAGCGAACGGTTCTGCTGAGACCGACAATCATGTTGGCTTCGGGCGAAGTAGCCTTGTCGTAAGCACCGCGGACAACCCAAAGGCAGCCCTGGACACCGGCAATCATGTTGCGGATATCAGCAAACTGCTCCTTGGTGGGGTTGGCGAGGAAGGGCTGCTCGATCTCAGTGAGGACGACGCAAAGCTTGCCCTCGGTGTTGACCTCGTGCAGAGCACCCATCTCCGGGAGTCTAGACGTAGAACTGGCCAAAGCAATAGCCAGACCGTTGGCCAACATCTGCTGGGAGTTGGATTCTCCGTGGATGATGGCAACGTCAACATCGGGAAGAGGAGCATCGACCTTGACGCCGTTGGAGGCGTTCTTCTTGCTCTTGCCAGAGATAGACTTCAGGTCACCGCAACCCTCCCACTCGAGCTTGTAGCAAAGCTCGCGTGCAGGCTTGTTGCCGAGATCAGTCTCACCGTCAATGATGGGAGAGACGGTGAGCTCGTCAATCTCAATGACCAGGTCCTTGGCCTCGTTGGTAGCGAAAATAGAGACCTTGGTGGGACGGGCCTCACTGGCGGAGAAGTCAGCCTTGGCGTAGGCCTTCAGGGAGCTGCCAGCTGCCTTGGTGAGAGAAGTGACGTCGCGAGAGATGCACATTCTAGCAATCGAGGACGGGAGGTAGACAGTGTTAATGTCAGTGCGGCCGGCGCCAAGAATGGGCCAGTACATCTCAATCAAAGACTCCAAGAAGGTAGGGTGAAGGACAGTGCTCGTCATGTAGTGGTTGGGCATATCCGCAGCGATGTCCGCGGATGAGATGCTGCCCACGGAGTACTTGTTGGAAGCCTTGCAGTCCTTGATGCCCTGGAAGGAAGGACCGTAGCCAACACCGAGCTCAGTGAGGCGCTCGTACATCTCAGTCTCGTTGACGTTGACGGAGTCAGGGCTCTCGCTGGCCTTGATGGTAGCCTCGGCTCCCCGGCGGGCGGCAAGCTTCTGCTCCTCACCATCAACCTCGTTAGTCTCGAGGCCGTGCAGGGCGATGAGACCGACGCAGTGCTCTGTCCAGCCGCTGCCGTGCGTCCAAGAGCAGATTCTGAACTCCTTCCAGGTCTCAGAAGCGGTCAGGTTGGTCTCCTGGTGAGGGCGGAGGTTGATGGTCATCTCGACATCAGTGTCGTTGAGAGCCAGAGGCTTGATGACGGAGACGTCTCTGAGCTCGAACTTCTCAAAGGAACGCTCCTTCCTCTGGGCCCATTGAGCAGAAGCCTCGAGGGCCATGCCGATGAAACCAGCCATGGGGAAGACCGTCAAGCCCTGGATCTGGTGGTGTCGCAGCCATGGGAGATCGTCAAGGTGGACAATGTTTCTCCACGTGGGCTCGATGTCACTGGAGTAGATAGCCTCAAGACCGATCAAGTCGTTACGGGGCGACTTGCGGTACTTGTGCATCTGGGTCATACGGGACTCCTGCCAGTACTTGTTCTGGTAGTTCCACGCGTAGCGAGGCAGATCGGTCAACAGAGCAGGCTTCTTCGTGGTGTGGGCGAAGTTGATGGCGTCCATGTTGAGGATGGCACCCTTGGTGATGACATTGGCGGCCAGGTCCATCGCAGATTCAACGGCATCCTTCTTGCGGATAAGAGGGGCGGCGTAAGGAATCTTCATGGCGCTATCGCCGACGTGCTTGAGGATCTGCTTGATAGGACCCTGAAGAGCAGAGTGGGGACCCAACTCAATGATCATGTTGACACCGTGCTTGTGCTCACCAACGGGCTCAAGCATGGTCTCGAGAGCTTCCGAGAAGCGGACAGCGCAGGTCAAGTTGTTGACCCAGTAGTGGGCCTGGCACTCAAAGCCGTCGATCTGGTGACCGTACAGGGAGGAGTGGAAGCGGACGTCAGTGGTGCGAGGGTGAGGAAGCTCAGAGATAGACTCTCTGTACTCCTTGGCGACCAGGTTCATGTGGTGTGAGTGGTAGGCAGTCTCAACCTGAAGGCGTCTGTTGAACATCTGCTTGTCTTCCAAGTTCTTCTCGAGCTCGGAGAGGGCGTTGACGTCACCGGAGATGGTCAAACTCGAGGGACTGTTGTAGCAAGCAATTCTGACCTGCTGCTCCTTCAGGGCATCGATCATGGGCTGGACCTCCTCCTTGGTGCCGCCAACGGCCATCATGGCACCCTTGAGTTCAGGGTGTCTCTTCTTGAGAATAGGAATGAGCCTGCCACGGTGGTAGGCGATGGCCATGGCGGCATCGAAGCCAATGATGCCAGCGGCATAGGCAGCACCAATTTCACCACTGGAGTGACCAGCGACGGCGACAGGGCGGATGCCCCAGGTGCGAAGCAGGTCCGTCAGCGCAAGCTGAACGGCGCTGCACGCCGGCTGACTGATGTGGGCATCAGACACCTTGGAAGTCTCGGCGTCCTTGCTCAGCTCGGTCTTCAGCGACCAGTCGGCGCCAAGTTTCCTGAGGCACTCATCGGCTCTGTCGATGGCCGCAGTGTAGACGGGGTACTGGCCGTACAGCTCACGACCCATGCCCCACCACTGCGCACCCTGTCCGGTGAAGACGAAGCCGATTCTCAAGGGCTCGCTTTCCTTGCCAGGAATGACCTTGCCACTGTTGAGGGTCTCGATGAGCTCGAAGGAGTCGTCGGCGGGGATGGCAACCCTCCAGGGAAGCAAAGAGCGGCGAGATCCAAGAGTGTACGCCATGTTGTCCATCAAGTCGTTCTGGAAAATCTCAGGTCTTTGTTCGAGGTAGACAACGAGATTCTTCATGACGGCCTGCACGGAGTTCTTGTCGTTGGCAGACAGGATGTAAAGCTTCTTCCTGCCCTTGGTCTTCTTGGCCTCGACAGGAGGGAGGTTCTTGTCCTTCTTGGGGGCGACGTACGGCGCCTTCTCAAGAACAACGTGCGCGTTGGTACCGCCGAAACCGAAGTTGTTGACGGAGATGTACTTCTTATTCTTGGGCCACGGCCTCTGGGTGGCGGGAACCTTCATGTTCCACTCCTTCCAAGGGATCTTCTCGTTGGGCTTCTTGAAGTCGTGGTTGGGCAGAAGGAAACCTCTTTCCAGCATCATGGCGGCCTTGATGACACCAGCAATACCGGAAGCAGCCTCCAAGTGACCGATGTTGGACTTGACGGAGCCAATGAAGAGAGGGTCCTTGGCCGACCTGTTGTGTCCAAAGACATTGTGCAGGGCGGTTGCCTCAATCGGGTCGCCAACCTTGGTGCCCGTACCGTGAGCCTCAACGTAACCGGTGTCATGAGGATCAAGACCGGCGTTTCTGTAAATTTGCTTCATGAGTTTCTCTGCGGTTCTTGTCAGCGTTCTGTTTCAAGGCCCTGGATACGGGTCTGCTGCATACCCTGAGCTGCGCCACTGGGCATAGTAATGCCTGGTGTCTTGCCATCCTGGTTGATACCAGTGCCGCGAATAACGGCACGGATGGAGTCGTTGTCCCTGATTGCCTGGTCAAGGGGCTTCAAGATGACAATACCACAACCCTCACCACGACCGAAACCGGTACCACGCTGGTCGAAGGCAATTGAACGACCAGAGTCGGCAAGCAATCTGCGCCACACGTATCAGCACAAAAGCACTCTTTCAGCCGGTTCTGGATCGACTCACCTGCAAGAAGAGAAGGAAATCCAAAACTCAGGCAACATGTTCAGATGGCAGCCACCAACGATGGCCGATGTGGACTCGCCGGCGCGCAGACTCTGGCACGCCAAGTGAAGGGAGACCAAACTGGCCGAGCAAGCAGTGTCTGCTGTGAAACTCGGTCCCCTGAGATCGAAGAAATGTGAAAGCCTGTTGGACTGCATCGCATGGGCACATCCTGACAGGGCATATTAGCGGGAAATAACGTCTGGGGATACAGGGGTGATCCTCATACCTGTGGCCTGGTGCATGGGTATCGTGTCGCTATCCCGGAACAGGTGGCTCTCATACTCTGCGAAACTACCACCGACGAAAACACCAACGTCCTTTCCCACAATCGTGTGCTTGGGAATACCGGCGTTCTCGAGCGCCTCGAAAGTGCACTCAAGCAGCAAACGCTGCTGGGGGTCCATGGAGATGGCCTCCTTCTCTGTCAGGCCGAAGAAAGGAGCATCGAAGGACTCCAGGTCGACGTCCAAGAAGTTACCACCCTCAGCATGGTAAGCTCCAGTCTTTCCCGGGTTGGGGTGGTAGAAAGCCTCGTGGTTGAAGCGCTTCTTGGGAACTGGAGTGAAGCCGGTTCTGGCGCGGGAGCACAGCTCCCAGAATTCGGCAGGGCTCGAGACGCTACCGGGCATGCGGCATGCCATACCAACAATGGCGATGGGCATCTGCTTCAAGCCGGCGTCGCTACCGCCGACCGGGTTGGTGTACGATGCGCCGTTGGCGTGGCCGTTGGATCCATTGCCATGGCCATTTGTCGGTTGGCCGTTGACACCGAGACCAACGCCGTCTAGAGGACCGACAGAAAGGCTCGTGAAGCCATCGGAAGTGGTATCGGAGTGGTCGATCGGGGTCATCATGACAGGACTTGCGGAAGGCGATGTCCCGGAAGAGGAATAGGACAGTACGCCGGGCGCCATGATGGATGACGGGAGGAGGAGGATCGCGGAAGCCGCTTTTTGTGGTGGTTCTCTATACAGCAGGCATTCGTCGAATCAACGAGAGATGTTGCAGCGAAAGTTTGGCGCTCTAGGCGTTCCGTGTGAAATGAAAAAAAAGGGAGAAAGTTGAAGTGAAATTGGGAGGAGGAGGAAACGAAAGGCGGACTGCTGCGAGGGCTCTCAGATGTGTATATCTTTAGAGCTCGAGAGTGGGCAGACCGAGTTGATATTGAGTACGTACCAAGCCTCCTCGATGGGATGAGTGAGTGTGACGAATCTTCTGTTGGAGGCGCCGGTTGGGATACTTTGTAGGCTTTTTAGCTGATCAACGGCATGGGAAACATGATGGTGCTCGCTCCGTCGCGGGTGAGTTGACATGGAAGGGACTGGTTGGTGATCAGATCGCCAAGTCGGCCGGAGTTCTTCGCACAGACTAGCCTGTGTGATTTAGATTTGCTTGACGGTTAGGTAGATCATAGGAAGATCCCGAACGTGCATATGGGCGCATACACAGTACGGCGTAGTAAGGTACTGCTGCATGGAGCGTCTGGTGTGAACTGGGCCATCACGGAGAGGTGCCAGGGCACATCCGATGCCGGGCAGTCCATGTTGGTCCGGAGCAGCGGAGCAGCGGCAGACCTTGCTCGCCACGACGTCGCCTCCCCTCCCCATCCTCTAGGAGCAGGGAGGTGGTCGTGGCGCCGGAGAGTGAGAAGCTGGTCCCATGCCCTCTCGTCTTACGGGGTCTATAGTTATTTCGGTCAAAAGCAAGTTCGATGAACTGATTATGCAAATTGACGGATGGCCAGGTCCTGGGTTGGTGTGGTCCATCAGCTCACCGAGGCGCCTTTCTCCGGGAGGGTTTGTACCGGAAGGTCACCAGGCGAGAGTGTAGTCAGGTACAGGAACAGAAATCCCAGGAGAGACAGGCAGACCCAGGCCTATCTGCAGGTCCAATCGGTGTCGTGGATTCGGGGTACGAGGCGAAATGGGTTGCAAGACCGGTTTGTTTGTCTTTGATGGAGCGACTAGCAAGAGTACGTCTAGTTTGTTTGCAGTTGAGCATCACTGCCCAGGCTGCTGTGCAGTTTCCATGCATGCTGCAGAAGACGGACGTTTGACTCGGACCAGGAAAAAGGAGCGCAATGAACCCTCGAACCTCCCGGACGGGGGCCCGGTGGCGCGGTTCGGAGTTGAGGTGGTGGAAAGGTGAGCAAGGCTGGATACGATGCCCGGGTGCTGGTGCTTTTGTTGGTGTTAGTCTTGGTCTTGGTGCTAAGAATTGAAGTAGTGGAGTCGGGTCAGGGCATGTGGGGCTCACTCAGGTCCCCAAGTCCGGAGGTGGAGCAGCCGTAACGGCAGCAACGCAATAGCGGCAACAGCACGAGTACGTGCAGCAACTGGACGACCTGATGTTGCAACAGAGCAAGCGTTATGTCCTTGGGGGAGGAAGCGCATCATTAGGTGAGCGCTATCTGCGAGCGGCTCGGTTTTGCGGGCCGGAAAGGCAACGGCGACGGTAGTCCACGGGTGACAATACCCAAAGCACCTGAGGTAGCAACGGCAACCCCTGTTGTCCTCTTTCTTGGTCTCTTGGTCTGGTGTTGGTGTTGGTGTTGGTTTATTGGCTTGGCCATATCTGGAAGCATGATTATGTAAGATAACCCATACCTAAAGAAAACCTGCACCTCGACACTTTGGCACTTGGGACACTGGCAAGACTTGAGCCGACACCGGGTGAGCGTGAGCTATTTGCGGGAATGGAATTTCAGGCCCGATGTTGGGAGATCTGGAGATTTCCGCCGTAGTGGCGAGCCAATAAAGCAGTCCCAAAGGGAAGGATGGAAGGAATCCTGCCTCAATCAATGCTGCCCGTAGACGAGATGATGGGGCGGAGTCCCCTTCGCTGCATCTTGGCCTCCGTTCTTTGGGTTCAAGCTGAATTGGACTGGATTGAAGGAAAAAAATATGCCCTCCAGGCTGCCATCGTCTGGTCCTCGTGCAGCAGTCGCTGGAACTCTGCTCGACTCGATGATTTTCCCAGCATGCAGAAGGCGGAAATGCAGGTCCAACCAAGGAGGCGGTGCTTGTCTCTTCGTCCGCTCTCCATGTTTTGGTCTGGACATCGGCGCTCGTTTGTTGTTCTGTTTGGAAAAGAGTGTGTCTTGTGTCAAAAGCACCGACATTCGCAATAGCGGCGGCGGAAGGAGTCGAGCGTCGCGTCTGTTCTTACCTATTCTGCTTGCCGCCGAGTCAAGGCCACCTATCGCATCACCATCTTACATATCTTCAGGCCTACCGCAGAATGACGGCGGTAGCAGAGACGATCGGGATAGAGTGGGGGAAGTTGGACAAGGGGTGCGGAGGCAGGCATGGGAGAACAAGAACAGGGGTGCGTGAAGAAGAGCTGCAAGCTGCAGGAACTGAAATGCAAGTGTAAGACGCAGCCCAGTATCTGTAAATGAAAATGTAAAGGTCAATCAATTGGATGCCCCATAACCCATCAGGCAAGCCAACGTACGAGCTGCTGCAGGTCCGGCTGGTCAACCGTTACCTTGTACCAAAAGAAATTGCCGATTGGCAACTTCCCCAATGTCCCAAATATGCACATGTTGTGCAACCGTGCAACCGCCCGAAAAAGGAATGGTCGCATCAGATGCCCGATTAGGTCACCTTGGCCTCACCGAGGACGTTTTGTTGGTCAGACGAGGTGAGCATCTCCACTCTCGGTGTGACCTTCCACTGTACCTTGCACACCGCTCACGTGTTGTCTTGAACACTGATTGCTGGATGCTTATCCGTATCTCGTGTGGGTCCTGACCCCCGATATCCACTTCTCTTATCAGACTACTGCACCGTTTGAGACATTCCCACGCAAAGATGCATATCTCGTCACCAGCGACCACTCTTCCTTCCACTTCACATCCCAACGTCAATCGATCGCCATCGACTCTTCGCCCCCAAAACCCAACCCATAAGACAGACTACAATTACAAACTCCACCGAGTCAAGCCATCGGTTTCGCATTCAATTCGCATCCAACTCGACATCTCCCTATCCTGGCACTTCACAATCCAAATTGGAGGAAGCTCCAGGACCCCAAGGCATTGAGGGTGTTTCTAAAACTGATTCTGTCAGAAACCTTTGGCAGCTTCCAAATCACAAGCGCGCCCGTCGCACCGCTTCTTGTGCCGTTGCACCATCAAAGCTTTCATTTGACACGCGCCAGCCACAGTCGACACCTTGTCCCTGCACCGACACCACTGAACAACTTGCCGTGACTTGCCTCGACCTGCCTTGCCTTGCCTTACCTTGCGCTGAGCTCACTGCTGATTTGCTTGCAGATTATCTGCATGAAGGGATATCCCGGAAACCACCAAATCGAGTTCCTGGCCTCAAGTACGGATCTGCGTACTGCCCAGCATCACATCGGCCACCTCCACCATATCACGCTAAGACACGGTATCCCATCTGTCTTTCTGCAAGTCAGCGAACGGCCGTTCCGAAGAAACGCATCTTTGCAAAACAATGTTTCTTCTCTGCAAACACACGCGCCTACGCTTGCTCGCCCCAGCTATCCAACCGCCCAATCTCCCTCGCCAAAATTCATCTACGCTCAACCTCCGTCATGTAGCCACGTCCAAACACGCATGTCTTCACGCACACCACCATCATCTTGTCGACCATCTCACATCTGCCCACCCATCTCAGCATGCAGCTGGTTCGCCCTTCCAGTCAGATAGAGCAGCCGCCACACACACTTGCTGCGCCCTCGCGCGGGCACTCCCTTATCCCGTTTCAAGCTTACAAGGTGACAGGACACCGGACCGATGTCAAGTCCAAAGCCCAATCATAGCTATCAGCATGTCGCTGGTGGCAGTTGCACCAGTGCATCACTAGCCAGTTATCGACCGACCGCAGGTTCGGATCTCGGGGTGTCCAGGCCAAACTGCCTTGCCTGCCAGTCAGTCTTTCTGATGGCCTGCCAGATGGGCTGCCAAGTGTCTCGCCTCTCTGCAGAGAAGCCCTTCGACAGACCTTCCTCGATTCCTTCCATGTGGCCTGGCGTCTCCCGGCGCTTGTTTCGCCCCCCAGTCCGACTTGCTGCCCACACATCCCCGTCCAGTTTCTTCCACCCGTGGACCGGACCACCCAGCCAAGCCCGTCTCATGGACCGACGCCCACAGGCCCGGTCTCAAACCTCACCCCAACTCATCCACTCGCTGTCCGTCCTGACCCTCTCATTCGCTGTCCAGCAGCTGCAGCGGCGATACTGCTGCAGCATGCCAGCCAGCGGACACTCAGGAGTTCTCTCCAGGTCCACATCCACCGCAGTCCAACTCGTCCCGTTTCCTGTGCCTGTGTATGCTGGTCCCATCCTTCCGGCGGCAAGGTACCGACTCCACGTCCCCTGCGGCAATCAGAATGAGATGCAGAGTTTCACATTCTTTCTTCATTCGCTCTCGGGTTTCGGTCGATTTGAGTTGATTACGTTCCAGCTTGGGAGTAGACGGATGAGCTCAGCCTCCTCCTGTCCTGTCATCGTCCCGCGTCCGCGTCGACAGCTGCACGACGCCCGTCTCATTCCCTGTCTGAGCTGATGATTGCCTCATGAGCCGATTGCCCGTTCATTGTCCGCCCGTTCATCATCCTGCGGACATTGCTTAGATATCTTCAAATTGATTAAAACGCTACCGTTCGGCCGGATCATTGCCATCAGTAATCCCATCTTCGCATCACGCTGATTCATCATCATCACTTCTATCATCCAAGAGTCGAATCCCAACCTTTTAACGACGAGACGTTTGATATATCACTTCTACCACGGCCTTGGTTCACCTGTCATTGGACGCCTTTTTCCGCTCGGCTCAGCCTTCAGCAATTCACGCTAAGCAATACCACCACTCACCATGACGATGCGTTTCCTCTGTCTCCCTGGTGCCTACGGCAGCTCGGACGTAAGTACTCGGATGCTCTCAATTGACAGTCATCTCACTAACTCGCCCTAGAAATTCCAAGTACAACTTGGTGAGTTTGTCACTGCAAGCCATTCGGGACCATCGCGGGTGGCTTCATTTTGACAGAGCCTAAGGACTAACACTCTTCAGCCCCCATCCTCAAGGAGCTCAGCGAAGACGGCACGGCACAGTTCCACTTCATCCATGGCCCTTGCAAGGCCGTCCCGCCCCCGGGCTTTGAGGACTACTTCGGCGCCCCGCCTTACTACCGCTTCATCGAGCCCGACAAGGACGTTGAGAAGACTCACAGCGACGATGTTCTCGCCCGTATCCGTGACTTCCCCCAGACTGAGAGTCCCGAAGACACCATGAGGGAACTCATGAGAGAGGGTATCGCGACGACGCACAAGAGCACTGATCGGGCCATCAAGTACATCGCCGACATCGTCCAGAAGCAGGGCCCCTTCGACGGCATCATCGGGTACTCCGAAGGTGCCACCGTGGCCTCGACTTTCATGCTCTACGAGCAGCGTAAGCAGAAGCGCTCCGGACACAAGCCGGCGTTCAAGTACGGCATCTTCTTCGCCGGCTGGCCCCCGGTTGACCCCAAGTCTCACGCCCTCGTGTTGTCTGACGAGTCTGACGAGAGAATCGACGCCCGCACTCTTCACATCAGTAAGTCGACATAGCCCTTGATGAAATCGGATTGTCAAGGTTCGTCGCAGGAGCGGATTTGCTGACGATTCATCTTAGTCGGATCCCTGGACCCTTATGTGGACGGTTCTATGGCTCTCTACAACATGTGCGACCCTGACACCGCCTATCTTTTCGATCACGCCAAGGGCCACACTCTTCCCCGTGACAAGGACACGATCAAGGAACTCGGCGACATCGTCCGCGAGACCAAGGCTGACATGCTCGAGGAGGGTTTGTTGCAATAAGATGTGACATCACTCGGGAGGAGGGTCATCCCGGCATAGGAACATGTCCGGTTAATTAGCATCGCAGCGTTGTTGTGGATAGCTTATCCTTATTTTGGGGTAAGGCAAGGGGCTGGTTTCCTACCACCCGTGTAGCATTAGATAGAGGTTGCATATCCTGGGGAGCCTGCTGGCGTCGGGTCATGATGATGATGACGATTTGGGTTTTGCATGGTTTTATGTTCTTTTTTTTCGCTTTTTGCAAATCATGGGTCGCCGCCAACCATCTTCAATGGCGGCATTTTGTCGTTTAGGATGCGACAAGCAAAATCCAGAACTAGACAGGAAAAAAAATCTAGATGGCATTTTTGAAATATTTGACAGGAGTTCCAGCTGCCCAGCCGTCAAAGATATCAAATCCCCAATTGGTTTGAAGGGGGTTGCGCATTAATGCATGACCCGGTGGAAACGTCCTCCGTGGAGTTAAGTGGCCGACCAGCGCCCTATGTCAAATGTCAATCACCAGCGGGATTATGGCTTCAACAAGATGTCAAATCTTGAAGTAAGGCCGTGCCAAATGAACACATGCCCTTCCTTGGACGCTCATGGGGCAAGAGAAGGCGAACAATGTTCCCGCTCCCTTCACATGTTCCTCGGGACCGCCCTGTTCGCCTCTTTTCTGGCCAATCCCTACGGGCCATCCGCGAACCGGTCCAACGAGTTGTTCTATCATGACTATTTCAAACACAAGATGAAAATCTTTCACTCAATTGCCTCTTTAGGCATGGATCATCAGAAACGGGCCAGAGACGAGCGGGTAGCAAGAGGTGACAGGGAAGGGTGCCACTGAGGCCAGGGAAACGGGGAAGGGTGGCGGAACGAGGCCCAGGAGAGCCGTGGAAAGGGGATGCTTGGGATGCGATTTTTGCCGTCTTGATTCGCAAAACATGCGTGTCCTGGCTTTGCCCCAGACCACATTGCGTGAGACTTGGCACCCAGGGAGCCCGCCCCCAGGTCCGAAGCGTGGAATGGATGTGGCCCATTCCTCCCGCACGGGCGATCCCAGATAACCCGCCGACTTGCATATACATATTGTGTGGGTAAGACAAATAATAGCAATGACACTGTATCCGGTAATAAGGAAACCCTCCTGCACGTTGGGGTCGCGCGCTTTGAGACGGAGGAGGGGGGGCGGGAAAACGAACATGGAAGAAGTGTAAGACATTCCGCGAGTGCGTGGGGAGGAGGTAACAGAACAGTACCGAGTAATGGGGCAAAACGGGTTAGAGAGAGAAGCAATGAGTAGTTAGTCAAGTCCTAAGACTGCGACATGCGCGAACACATGCCACTACCTTCTCAATCCACGGTTTCCCCGTTTCATCTTTACATCACACGGTTAAAAGAAAAAGAAGAAACGACGTCCGTTCCTTACTCGTTTCCACTTACCCAAGGCCGATCCGAGCGATGGGAAGCGGAACCTAGGTACCAAGCAAGCAAGCAAGCACACACACACACACTCAGCCTCTCTCTCTCTGTGTCGATGTCGATGTGGTCTTGTCTCCGTCCCCAATCCTTTTCTCATGTCCGCCAAACCCAGTCCATCCGCGGAGGAGGAAAGGGTGACAGTTTCTCTCACACAGGGCTTGGGCTGATCACTTGGACTTACACACACACCGCGCATACACTCACACACATACCTCCCACCCATAATGAGTTGAGAAGAGAAGCTAGGTACATGAGGGCCAAGATACGGGTTGCATGCTCCTCTCGTAACCAAATCGTTCTCCACTGCCCAAGATCTCTTCGTCCCATCTCGCCCAACCACCGCACCCCAAAATCTCACAAATTCCCAAACCCAACTCTCTCGGCGCTAGGTCTTTTTTTTTTCGTTCTGGCACCACTCCTCTGCTTCCCACTTTCTCTTGCGCTTCGTTTCGCAACAGGCGATGCAGCAGCAGAAGCAGCATCAGCATCAACACAGCCGCTTCTGCAAGGCCTCAGAAGTGGCCCGTTGACATTCCGCCCCGGACTTGCAGTGTACTTCTGCCGGTCTTCCCATTTCCACAACCATCCCCCCTTCCCCATCCCCCAATTCTGCTTGTCCTTTCCAAACCCTTGCCCTGTTCTCCTTCCTTCCCCCCTTCCCCCCAGTTCCCCTTTGCCATTCTCTCGTCTGGTTACTCGAGGTGCGGTGTTTCCTAGTGTTACATCGTTGTGTGTGTCGCTGGTCAACTCATCTTTTTCCCTCCTTCACACACACATCCCTCTCTCTCTTTCTCTCTCTCCCCTGGTTCCCTGGGAGCTCTCTTCTTTCAGCTGCCGCGGGACGACAAGTCGATACAACCCTCTTCGAAGAAACGGATACTTGACAAATATCCTGACACGCGAGTTGTTCGCATAAGACTAAGCTTCTCTTTGAAAACCGACCTAGCTTCGATTCGCACACTTTAATCTCTTCTTTTTGCCCTTGTCGCCCGTCGATCCCAGGCCATACTTTCTCCACCCACACATGGCCCGGACCTCCACCTAGCTTGCAACACCCCGGATCACAACTCCGATCGGAAGACATTCCCCGGTCGCCAGACCCACTTCACCACCCCCCGAACTATCCACATGGCCACACCGGCCGGCGGCACCGCCGATGCGGCGGCAGCTCCGGGCCCGGGCCCGGCCGCTGGTGGAGCGGTACCCGTCGATCCCAATGCACCAGCACCTGAACCCAAGAGGTCATGGTGGAAGCTCAGCAGCAAGAACGTCGCGACGCTTCGCAATTTCATTGTATGTTCAATCGCGCAGTGGTTGTCGACCCATGTCTGCACCAGCACGAAGACTAACATGCATCGCAGAGGATCATATCATACGGAAAATGGTATGACAAACTAATCATCTTGATGTCGGTATTAGGTGCCATCGGTGCTGGTCTCACCATGCCGGTGATGAACATTGTCTTCGGTGAGTGCCACATGTCGCGACAACCTTGCGTCGTCTAACAAGATCTAGGACAACTTGTCGGCACCTTCACCGGCTTCTTCAAGCAGGGCACGCAAGAGACACAAGAGGAGTTCACACGCACCGTCAACCAAGGCGTATTATACATTGTGTACCTCTTCATCGCCAGGTTGATCTTGACTTACCTGTCCAATGTGAGCGTTCTCATTGCACCTTTTTTGTGGCATTGCTAATTCCTCCAGCTTGGTTTCCGCATGACTAGTATCCGCATCTCCGCAGCCATCCGTCTGGCCTACCTCCGCTCGCTCTTCAGTCTCCCGATTTCGATGCTGGATATGTTGGCGCCGGGTTCAACAGCTGCCATCATCACCATCACCGCCAGCATCTTGCAACTCGGTATCTCAGAGAAGATCGGAATCTTCTTCTCTAGTTTGTCGACTGTCATTGCGGGCTTCACCATCGCTTTCGCCTACAACTGGCTGCTGACGCTTACAACGGCCTCGGGTCTTGTCTTCATCCTCTTCGTCTACATGTTCACGACACCGCCCATCATCAAGCGCCTGAACGACGTCCAGAACATGGACATCGCTGCTGCGTCTGTTGCGACCGAGGCTTTCAGTGCCAACAGGATGCTGGCTGCATGCGGTGCTGAGTTCAAGATGATGGCGAAGTACGGCTTCCTGGCGGATGAGTCTAGGCAGCGCGGAGCTGGTATGGCGTGGTTGATCGCCTTCCAGCAGGGACTGAGTGAGTCTTCCATCGGAACTCCATCAAGAGATGCATGAACTAACTTTGGACAGTCTTCTTCGGCATTTATGCGTAAGCGCTCACGGAACCAAACGACTTCCGGATCAAGCGGCTGACTTTCTCACAGGACATTTGCGCTGTCATTCTGGTATGCCTTCAAGATGTACACTATGATGGTTCTCACCACCCCGGCCTCTTTGATTGTGTAAGTTCCGTCCGGATCCGAAGGATGAACCTTAACACTGACCCAACAACAGCGTGCTTCTTTGCATCATGATGATGGCATCTTCCATTGGACAGCTCACGGCCCCACTGTCAGCTGCATCTCAAGCCGCTGACGCCAATGCCGTCTTCCACACAATCATCGACGCTCCCAAGCCGACCTATGGCAAGCTCAAGGGCCCTGAGGCGTCCGCCGAGGGCGATATCGTCTTCCAGAACGTCAACTTTGTGTACCCCAAGCGCCCGGACGTCAAGATTCTTGACAACCTGAACTTGACGTTCCCTGCCGGCAAGGTTACCGCTATCGTCGGTCCCTCGGGATCTGGAAAGAGTACCATCGTCGGTATCTTGGAGCGGTGGTATGAGTTCAACGGTGATCTCCAGAACAACCAACTGGTTCTCTGGCTCAGAAACGGAATCATCAGCTGCGGTGGACGCTTGATCAGCGAGATTGACCCCTGCTGGTGGCGCAACCAGATCGGTCTCGTCCAGCAAGACAACGCTCTCTTCAACACCACCATCTACAAGAACGTCGAGTACGGTCTCATCGGCACTGAGTGGGAGAACGAAGACGAGTCCGTGAAGGCTAAGCTCATCGAACAGGCCTGCAAGGATGCCTTCGCGGATGAGTACATCTCCCGTCTCCCTGACGGTTACCAGACCGAAGTTGGCGACGCTGGGATCAAGCTCAGTGGAGGTCAACGCCAACGTCTCGCCATCGCCCGTGCCATTGTCAAGCAGCCCAAGATTCTCATTCTCGATGAGGCCACCTCCGCCATCGACGTCCGCAGCGAGCAGATCGTCCAAGCCGCTCTCGACCGTGCCTGCCGCGGACGCACCACCATCGTTATTGCTCACCGTCTCGGAACTATCAAGAAGGCCGACAACATTATCCTCCTTCGCAAGGGTCAGGTTGTTCAGCAGGGCACTCACTCGGAACTCATGGCACAAATCGACGGCCCTTACCACGTCCTCGCTACTGCGCAGAAGCTGGACATGGGTGCCGAGGAAGACGATGACATTCTCTTCGGCGACCTCAGCTGGAGACGGCCTGAGCCTGAATACGCTTCCATTCCCAAAACCTTTGGCAGCAGCGAGGGAGACCTTACTGAGAAGCGCAACAGCATTGAGGGTTCATCTGGCGATAGCAACCCTGTCACCGAACGCGACGGCTCTGACGAAGAACTCGGTGCGGCTGGAAGTGTAAGAGTCATCAAGGCGCCTCGCAGCCTCTACGCTCGCTGGAAAGCGTGGCACTTCTTCGGCAGCTTCGGTCAACTTCTCGGCGAGCAGCAGAAGAGATGGAAGACCTACATCATCATCGCCGTCGCCGCTCTCGGTGCTGGCGCGAGTACCCCGGTCCAAGCCTACCTTTTCGCCGTTCTGGTCTCCCTCTTCTCCTACTGGGGTACCTTCTTGCGGGTCATCGCCAACCACTGGTGTCTCATGTTCGTCTACCTCGCCGCTGGTGTTGGAGTCTCTCACTTCCTCCTCGGCTATGCGACAACCACTATTGGATTCGGCATCACTCGCGTCTACCGCAAGGAGTACTTCCGCAACATCATTCACAAGCCTGCGGCTTTCTTTGACGCTGAGGGAAACTCCGCTGGATCCCTCACCGCACGCCTGGCTACCGATCCCACCATGCTGCAGCAGCTTCTCGGCACCAACATGGCCTTCGTCCTGATCTCTCTGTTCAACGTCATCGGCTGCATCGTCGTTGGTCTTGTCTTCGGCTGGAAGTTGACCCTCGTCGCCCTCGGCACTTCCATGCCCATCATCATCGCTGCCATGTTCTACCGCGTCCGCCACGAGACCAAGTTCGAGGAGGCCAACAACGCCGTCTTTGCCGAGAGTGCCAAGTTCGCCTCGGAGAGTATCGGTGCCATCCGCACTGTCTCGAGTTTGACCATGGAGGAAGGCATCTGCGAGCGATACAACCAGCTTCTGAACGACCATACCCAGGACGCCTTCCGCAAGTCCAGATTCTCCGTCATGGTCTTCGCCTTCAGCGATAGTATCTCACTTCTGTGCATGGCTTTCGTCCTTTGGTACGGAGGTCGTCTGCTCTCCGGACATGAGTACACTCCCTTCCAGTACATGGTTGTCTACATCGCCGTCGTCCAGGGTGGTATGTCCGCCGGTCAGTGGCTTTCTTTCGGACCCAACATCGCCAAGGCCAAGACTGCCGCCGACCGCATCCTCGCCATGCGTGAGAACGATGAGGACGAGATCACTCCCACCGGACGCATCAGCGACGTTGTCCCCTACGAGGTGCACTATGAGAAGGGTGTTGAGATCGACTTCAAGGACGTCTGGTTCAGCTACCCCACCCGCCCGACGCCAGTTCTCAAGGGTCTGGATCTGCACATTGAGCGTGGCCAATTTGCTGCCATCGTCGGTCCTTCCGGCTCTGGTAAGACAACCATCATTTCACTATTGGAGCGCTTCTACACCACGCGGGAGGGCGTCGTCAGCTACAACGGCCACGACATCAACACCCTCGACCTTGCCAAGTACCGTCAAAACATCTCCCTTGTCGCCCAAGAGCCCTCGCTCTTCACCGGAAGCATTAGGGAGAACATCCTTCTCGGCATTGAGGACGAGGACTCCGTGTCAGACGAGGCTCTCCACGCAGCGGCTAAGGATGCTGGAATCCACGAGTTCGTCATGTCCTTGCCCGAAGGCTACAACACCGCCGTCGGTCAATCCGGCGTGGCGTTGTCCGGTGGCCAGAAGCAGCGTGTTTCCATCGCCAGAGCGCTCATCCGCCGTCCGTCGCTGCTCCTGCTCGATGAGGCGACGAGTTCGCTCGACAGCGAGACGGAGCGCGCTGTGCAGGCCGTCTTTGACGCGACGAAGGGAAGCAGGACGATGATCATGGTCGCACATCGTCTGGCGACGGTGCAGAACGCCGATGTCATCTTCGTCATGCAGGATGGCAAGGTGATTGAGAAAGGTGACCACGCAGCATTGATTGCGGAGAGGGGTGTCTATTACCAAATGGTGAGTTTTCCCACATTATCTATCCTTCAGAAACATGAAGCTAACTATCAAACAGTGTCAATCACAGGCGTTGGATAAGTAAACGGAAAGGGTCACAACATCACAGGGTTTTGTTTTGTTTATTTTTTTCTCATTTTTTGGCATAGACAAAGCAAGGCTACAATCTTGATCGTGGTAGAGATTCCCCGCTGACGCGAATGTCGTCCTGAACCCCAAAGGCGTTGGAAAGATTGTAACAACACATACCACGGATTTCACCATCACTTGTCATTTTTCCATCATCATGGTCTATCATCATACGTTATCTCGACTCATTTAGATCATCCAGCTAGGCCCTATGGGCATTTTCATTGATATCGTCAAATGAACCGACGCTCCAATTGCATCGTGGCATGCTAAGCTCAACTCACGGACTCATCACATGTTGACCAATATTGTACAACTCCCAGCTCCACTCTACATTTTCGCTAAAGTCTGTACTTTTGCTGCGATTCTCACTCAGTCCGACCGGTGCGTGACTAGACAGCGACCGGAAATAACACAAATCCAATAATAGATCCAGAAAAAAAGAAACACGAAGCCGAGGAACCGGAGATCCTCAAGGGGAGAGAGAGCACAGACTCGGACATCCCCCATCAAGAAGTGCGCTACGCTACGCCAAGCCGTGCCAAGTTTGTTCGGGACTTTTTCCATTCCTTTCAAACACGAAGTTCATCCCATCGTCGGTCACCGACGACGACGACGACGGCCACATCCTTCACGATCGTATCGTATCGTATCGGTAAAAAAAACCTAAAACATCAAAACGTAGGCGCGACCCGCTCCTCGCTCTGCTCCATCACGCTCCGCAGCTTCAGAGCCCGCAACGACCCGCCCGACGGCCGCGAGGCGTGGCCCCTCCCGCCGTTGCTGACGCTGCTGCCGCCGCCGCCGCCGCCGCCGCCGCCGCCGATGCTCATGAGCGATCGCGTGCGCATCAGGCCACCGGAGTGATTGTTATTGTTGGCGGACATGACGGCCGCGGAGCCGCTTCGAGGCCGCGTGTTGAGGCGGCTCATCATCGAGCTCAGCGCCGTCTGCGCGTCTACCACCGGCGGCGGTGGGGAGTGCGAGCCGCCGATGACGGGGTACGGGGCCGCGGGCGAGTTTGGTACTGATCCTGATGGCATTCGCGTCAGGGATGCGCCGCGGGGGCGGTTGAGTTTGGAGAGGAGCATCTCGGCGGTTGGTTTGCCGAGGCCCAGGGGCTGACCGAATCGCGTGGGGGAGCGGCTCGAGCCGCGGCTCGACGGGGGCGTCGGGAGGATCCTGTTGTTTCCGTTGCCGGCGCTGCTCTTCCTGACGTAGAGCGCCTGTTCCTGTTGGTGGTGGTGGTGCGAGTCGCCTGCCATCTCGGGCGGCGACAGCATGCCGCTGCCGCCGCCGCCGTTCTGCGACATGTCGAGCAGGGCAGCGCGCTGGATGTCGTCAAAGCTCATGGGCGCCGCGGCGGGCATCTTGCTGAGGCGGCGGATGGCACGGCTGTTCTTCTCGACGAAGCTGGTCATGGCGCGCAGGGCGTCGGCGTTCTCGCGGCTCGCGACCGCGCTGACGTCGCCGGTGTCGACGCGGCCTCGGGCCTGGTGCACGGCGTTTAGCGTCAGGGGTTGCTGCTGCTGCTGCTGCTGCTGACTGTGCATGCGAGGCGTGTTGGCGTCCTGTCGCAGCGTGGCCTGAACCTGCGCCATGACGCGGTCAAAGTCGATGTTTTGGTTGGGGTTCGCGCGGGACATGTAGTAAGAAGGCTGCTGACTGTTGGGGTCGAGCAGGTTCGAGGAGAGCTCCGCCTTGGTGGCCAGGACGAAGAGGCTCCCGTCGCGGATGCGTCTGCGGACGAGGGCCCAGCGGGTGCGGGCCGGGTTCTTCTCGAGCTGGGGTTGGTAGACCGAGCATCGCGCCAGCTGGGCGTAGAAGACCTCGAGGTGGCGGGCCATGCGTTCGAGGACTTGGAGGAGGAAGGTGGAGAGGGCGGTGAGGCGGGTGTTCTCGACGTCCGGGTCGGAGGACTCCTTGATGGAGGCGGCGATGCTGTCGAAGGCGTCCATGCCGGTACAGGCTTCCTGGCGGAGGTCCTCGAGGAGGGCGATGTCGAGCTCGACGCTGCGGGCGGCGTAGGCGAAGACGCCGCGCTCTTGGAAGCGGAGGGAGGCGTCGGCGTCGCAGACGAACTGGCCGACCAGGGCGACCTCCTTTGTGCAGTTCGCCGCGTCGCCGCTTGTTTTCGCGCGGGCGACGGTGCCGAGGACGTCGGGGAGCTTGGTGTCCGCGGCGGGACCGTTGGCGCTGGCGACGCCGAAGGAGAGTTTGAGGACGAGTTCTTGGAGCTTCGGGCCGAAGAGGGCCGCGAAGCCGCCTTGGAGCAGACGGGACTGGTAGCCGTAGAAGGTGCGGACGGCGATGATGTTGGGGAGGGACTCGCGGAGCCAGATGTTGTTGCTGCCGGCGGGGTCGTGGGAGGAGGATGTCTCGAGGGAGGCGCCCATGATCTCGTACATCTCGAACTGGTGAGCGACCAGGGTCTCGACCGTGCTGCGCAGGTAGGCGGACCACAGGTCGTGGAGGGCGGAGATGTCGTCGCTTCCGTAGTCTGGCTTGGGTGTCAAGTGGCCGACGAAGTACTTTGTCAGTAGACTAGCGACCTCGGGGTTGTTTGTGTGGGCGAGGTTGTCGAAAGACTTCGTGCAGTCGACACCGGCGTTGGACTTGATGATGAGGGTTCCGCCTGGGTGCATGGGACAGAAGTCGGTGACATCGTAGACGCTCCCGTGAACGCCGATCCACATGCGAGAGCCGGGGCGGTGGCCGGTGTGGAGGGCCAATTGCGACAGAGGAATGGTCGGCAGAGTGCATGGCAGGGGCTTCGGGGTCATGAAGACGTCGAGCATGAAGCGTCTTTCGGCAAACGCCTTGTTGACGATGACATCGACGCCGCTCTCCGTGGCGGTTCTGTAGGTGTAAATCGCCTTTCGGATTCCCTGCATGACGGAGTCGAAGACGGCGACGGAACCGCAGACGTAGAGGTAGCCACCGAGACCACCCTGCTTCTTGGACATCACCAGGTCGCAGATGGCTGCGCCCTGTTCCACGATCAAGGTGTCGATGTAGCGAGGGGGGATATGCTTCTCGACGAGGTCGTGTCCCTCGTAAGCCAGGCCGCGAGAGTCTCTGGAAAACGCGACATGGACTTCCATGAAGTCGGCGTTGACGTATTGTCGAAGCTCTTCTTCGAAACAGAACTTCTCGCGAGACTGAACTCCGAGGTACAAGGAGTTCTTGCCGCCGGACAAGCCGCTGTGGGCGAGACGAGCCTGCCAGAAACTGCGGAAGGGAGCGATACCACTGCCACCGGCGAAGAAAGCACAAGGGGCCATCGGGTCGAGGGGAAGCTGGAAAGCAGCCGGTCGTGAGACGCCGATGAGAATCTCGTCGTCAGAGTCGATGTCGCCCAGCTCCACGGATGGGTTGAGGAAGCCACTGGAAACACCAGAACGGGTGATTTCGTTGCCCTTGGAGAAAGTAGAGCAGAGCTTGTACTCGGAACGGGAGACAGCGAGGTCAACGGTCTCCGGCAGGAGCTCCTCGGTGTAACTGGCGATGGAGTAGGTGCGCGGAACCTCTAGGGGAATGAGGTCGGCCAACCAAGACAGGTCATCGAGGTTGAAGACTCTGTCCCAAATCTGGGCCGGAGTGTCCATGACAGCATCCTGCAGCAAGTCACCCAAGGAACCTCTCACAGGCCATTCATCGGTGCTGAGGACTTGCAAGACGGTGTTGGAGGACGCATGCAGCATGCCGTGGATTTTGAGGGCCATATCCTTCGTGATCGGGGCAAGGTGTCCGCGGCGAAGGATGTCGCTCACAGTCAGCTTGGGAGTTGCGGTCCTTCTCACGGAGCCGAGGTGCATCTCAAACCGGGCCCAAGTTCCGGACACTTCCACAGGCGCATCGATATGTTGGTCGAGACCAAGGGCGGCGATGACCTTGGCGCACTCTTCCCAGCCGTTCAGAGGCATCACCGCCAAACGGTCTCCAGGAGCCCACGTGATTCCGGTCTCCCGGATATCAAGCGTCACCATCGCGATTGAGCGGGTGGGATCGGAATCCACGAAAGACCTATCCAACACCCTGGTGACGTAGCGGCACTCTTCGAACGTGCCTCTCATTTGATGGGGCTCGACTGGCAAAGCTCCCCGGTATGGCTCGAGACGCTCTTTCATGGCCTCGGAAAATTGACGATGTGTTTCTTCCCACGGGCGCTCTCCATCAGCAGCGCCAGATGCACCGTTAGTCTCGGTGCGACCGGTCTTGGCCGCAACTTCAAGGATGCCGAAGACCTTGTAACGGTGGACACCCATAAAGCCGCGCTCGCCAGTGTAGGCTTCAACGATACCATCGAGAACGCCCATCAATCTGGGATCGCCTGATTGCTGGACGTACTCGGGAATTCGATAGTGGTATTCGATGGCTGCAATGAAGGCGCGCAAGTTGGAAGGAAGCCAGGCACGAAGGTGAACACCCTCGGCACCGAGGAAGGAGGTGTATCTGGAATGTCAGGTCAGTAACCTAAACTCGGTATAACAATGGAAGCGGCTTACTTTTTTCTTCCCAAAAACGCATCCATCACGAGGTAAGGTGGGAACTGCAAGCCCGAAGAGGCAGGGCAGCGTTTCGAAAGAGGGGCAGAGAACTTGGCCCAACGAACCCACTGCTGAACAGGAACGTAGTTCTCACCCGCGTTCGGGTTCGTGGAAATCGAATGGAAGGCGTTGGGCATGCGCTCAAGAATCTCCTTCAGTCGGATCATTTCGTGGAGAAGGCCCTCGTTGTTGCGGTTCATGACATGCTCTTGGCAAGCAGCGATGGCGTCGGGGCCATGTTGGAAGGAAGCTTTTGAGTCTCATTAGCAACTCTGGCTTCGACTTATTCTGTTGAAACAGGGAATTTGTTGGAGCTTACCGGATGTCTCTGCAACTCCCTTCAAAAAGGCCACCTCGGCACGCTCGCCGAACATGGGCCATCTGAGTTCAATGTTGTCGAACCGGGCGACGTAAGGATAGCTTGATGTCGCATCCTTGACCTTCAAGTTATATGACGATTGGTCGACGAAGGTGAGGTGAGGAAGTGTTCGTCCCATGCGGCGGGACACCTGGAAATAGGGCAACGCGATGCTGAGGGGAATGCCGACCAACTCCTCTCCCAAGTGGTCGCCCATCTTGCAGTTCAACCTCAACTTCGACGGGTTCGTGGTTGCGTTGACGCCGTCGTGGCCATCGTACTTTTGCTCGAAGCGGTAAATCGAGCAGAGCATGCCCAGCGCAACAAGGGCAGCCCACAGAGCTTGGTCAGGGATGATGTCTTCGGTGCCCTCGATGACGGGTGCTGCGGCGATCGATTCTCTCACCCGGCCGCGGGACACGCATCCGGGCATTCTCTCGCATAGGTCAGACCAAACACGGCCGGGAGATCTAGCCAGAGCGCCGGCGGCCTCGTCGTAGTCTAGTGGGCAGAAGCCGTGCTCTGTGCTGAGGTAGCCGTCCTTCCAGCCTGTCATGGGACCAATCTCTTCTGCCCTCAACATGACCTGCCTTGCTGGTGCGCCAAGGGCGACGGCTAGAAGATCCTGTTCGTTGACGTTGAATGCGTCCATCTGTTGTTGATCCTTGACTGTATCGATCTCTTGTGATGTAGGGTAGCTGGAGTAGAGGATCTGGTTGATTGACTTTCGCTCTCTGGGATATCATGGTTAGTTCCTATCCTGTTGGCCGCCTGTGGCAGCTTTGACTGACCTCATGCGGAGCCACTCTTCGGCATCAACACCTCGGGGAATCTACGTCTTGTGAGTATGTTGGATATCTCTAAGATTTGTGTCTGATTTGACTTACATCGAAGGCAGCATGGATGTCACCTGGTTGAGAAAAGCCAGAGAATGAACATCCCCGAGGACCCATGCGACTGCTGGATCTGCTTTGTCTGCCCGAAGCAGCAGCACCAGCTGGACATCTCCCTCTGCCTCCCATAGAGCCCGAAACCGGGCAAGATCTCTCTGAAAAAGCCATGCTGGATAGATGGCGGACTGTGTCTTGCTGCGTTCTGGTGGTTGGGACCTGGATTGCGAGTGTAGTAGAGCAAGTTATTAAGAATAATGGTCAATATGGCCTCCAGGGCAGGTGAGAATTAGAACCGCCAGGGCAGAGAATGGGAATGGCCTCTAGCCGAATAGATCCACACAGAGAGAAGAGAAAGAGTCAGTTGAGGAAGACGGAACGAAATGAAGCCTTCATGCCAGCGGGTTCGATGGCATCCTAAAAGGGTCGTTCCAGTTCAGCACCGACGAACATCGATGTCGTCCGTGGAGCCTCCTTTCTCCTCCCCGATGACAACCCATGACAGAAAGGGAGTACCGTCGTCTTGGCCCCTGCATGTCCGTCCCATGAACAAACAAAATAAACCCGCAGACCAGGGTCACTAGACGGGAGGTCTCCGCGGTGGTTTGAACTCTGATTCACAGCCGTCAGGAAGTGACGGGCCAATGGGGAGGAAAAGAAAAGAAGACCAGGACCCATGTTGACGGGCAAGTTGCACTAGCGGCTGGACCCCATGATGCCAAAACACGCTAGACTGTCGTCTTAGGATGACTTGACGCCATCCCAAGTTCAGTCCTTGGCTGTGCGCCTCGAGGTCTGGGTCGATTGGGTTGCTGTCCGTTGCTTGGGTCCAGATGGTTCGAGATGCCAAGATGGCAGACATGCAGCAGGTCTTGGGATCACCTGGGATCTTTCATGCAAGTCCTTGGTAGATTCGGGATGATCTCAGCGGCAGACGAGGTGCCAAGTGAGATTCTGTTCGAATGCTTCTGCTGCGCTGATGATGCTTCGCGGGTCATGATGGATAGCATATCCTATTGCCACTGAGCAGAGGAACCAGCTGGATACTTCGGGCACGGGGAAGGTTTCCGTTGGAGCGGACTTTGTCCATCTCGCATCGCAAGTTGAGATGAGGTGAAGTGAGAAAGAGAGGAAACAGGGGGTTGCGAAGAAAATAGCCTCAGTAACGTCGATGTGGAGTATTTTCGGTGACTAAACCAATCACGAATGGTTATCATGTCGCATATGGTTCGGTACCTGTCCAATGTACCTGATCTACCGCTCCACCACACTGCAGTGTGTGTTCTTTTTCTGAATCTACGGGATGGTGGGGGGGTTTGAGAGCTTGGCATATATCCCTTGACAGTTTGCAACCTTTGACACTCACCAAGACTTTACGACTCCATCGTAGGGCAAGGCACCGTTGCATTTGGTTTCTTGTTCCTGACCTTCTCCTCCAACGGCGCGTCTTCTCTCTTCGCAAAGTCACTCCCATTGGGCCCAAGCTCCAGGAGAGAGACAGCCCCCCACACGGCTCCGTTCCCCATTGATCTCCTCCGTGAGTCCCAGACAATGTGACAGCATGGACGGCCCCTGTCACATTTGACGCCGCGCCCTCTCCACGGGAGATTGTCCAGGAGGAACCAGCTTTTGCCTACCGCTGCCTCCGTTGACTGGTAGAAGGCCTGGCTTCACTCGCGATGACGCGCGTTCCAGAACTTCAGGGCGCTGTCTGCGATTCTTGGCAGTCCGAGCAATGGCATAAGAGGCCCGCATCTTGACCCAGCCACACGTTTCTACCATGGCGACGGCTTGACTGCCGTTGGGACTTGGGGGCGACTGGCTGTCTGACATATCCCGCCCACGTGAATTTGTGCTGTCATTGAAATTAACCATAGGGTCGCTTGACAATTGGACGCGCGTGTCCCAAGGGTAACAATAACCGACCCCATCTCGGGTACCTCGCTCCCACTTTCCCTTTCCCAACATAAGCTCCGACGTGACATCTGCTCTGGCGCGAATAAGGAGAAGTCCGTTGGCTGCTCCTATGAGCGCTACTTTTACAGATGTGGAGCTTTTCTGAGAGATGAAGAGGCGAGAAGTCGACTGTAGTCAACTGAAGCCGACCGTCTGCCAAGCTCTCATCTGACGATGGCCAGCCTCCATGAAATATCATGACTTGGCAAGTCTTGCGTATAAGATCGATCTTATGTGGCAGAAATTTCAACATTAACATTCTTCCAACCTCGATTCCAGAAGTCCGCATTGTGACCCAAGCCATTGGTGTCGACATCTATCTAATTATGGCTCAGCGACGCGGCTTATCCGCAATCAACATGGGGTCATGATGTGATGCCTCGGGTTACCCCCGCTGACCCTTGGCGTTCAAGCAGCTAACACAGCCAGTTAATATGGGAGGCGCCGAGAGCCCACCTTGGGACACACAAGCTTATTCTACATCTAAGCTTTATTGCGTGGTGGAATTCATCTTCGGTTGTCAAGTTTTGTTGAATTCGTCTTCGAGGCCGCGTCTTTCATGACAAGTCCGCTTCTCGCGGGCCAGATGGAGCCGCTCTTCTTCCACGCCGAGTCGAAGATTTTCGTCATCCTCTATTCTCCCATGTCAATATCCGCGCAACTCTGGGAAATGAAGACTGTGCTGTATCTGGTAAGTATTACATCAAGCGGCTTTCATCGGAGCACCCACCGTTTCGCCCGAGGGGCAGTGCCCGGACGTTTGTAACAACCTGTGGGATTCGCCCCAGCCGGAGGGCGGCCGCGGAATTCACTCGGATATGTGGGGTTCAGACGGAGAACACTGAAGTGACGGACGGAAAAAATAATCAGATCTCTGCGGCGTGTCTCATGTTTTCCAGCCTACATATTTTTTTACCCATATTTTCCCTGATGGCCCCCCCCGAAAAACTGTGACAGTCGTGGCGACACACTCACGTCTCAGTTAAAAAGTCGACGATCGATCGCCAAAATACCCGACGAGCTTGGCTGTGATCAATGTCCGGGCCGTCTTGGTATGGGCTCATCTCGACGGTGGAAGACGTATTCGCGATGCTGATCTCGACTTTCGTCGGACGAGAAAAGTCGCGTCTTGATGTCGGCGGTCGAATTATCTGCGAGTCCATCTCGGCCGAAGACGTGATAGGTCCTAACCTTCATAATCTGGCATCGTTACTGTTATTTGTGTGATTGTCTGTATGAGATCGTCCTAGATACGTGCTGTAGCGTACATGTACTAGCAGCGTCGAGACCTCACCTTACATCAAGTTCTCGATCTCTAAGTCATCTCGCTTCAAACCAACCAAGAAACTGGCTTGAATTTTCAGTTCAACTCTGCCCCGTGTTATGGATTACGCTCTGATCAGACCATCTATCATATTCAATTCATCACCCCACTAGAAAGAAACATGTCATCGTTTCCACGAGGCAGCCCGCGTAGCGTAGCACCGTCCAACTGTTCCCAATTCCCATAACCACCTCTTCGAGACTAAGACGCAGTGGATACTCGGTATACTGTCAGTGCCCCTGAGAGTCCGAGAGACGTGATGTAGCGGCCATGGTGGGCTTACGGGGTCCACCTCTTTTCACACGTGGCGGGCTTGTTTCAACAACTCCTCGCAAACCGGAAACGCCCGTCATTTCAAAGGAAAAGGATGCTTCAAACAGCGCCGATCTCTAGAAATGCGGAATACTACAAGTGGACCGGATCATGCTTCCTATCCGTTCTACTAGTCTCATTCATGCCCCCTGTACTGTTATTGCCTCGACTTTCACTGGCACATGTTGACATCATCAATGTTGGTCCAGCGTAGTGAGGAACAGAGGCTACTGATGGCAAAGTATAGACCTCAGAATCAAAGCTATTCACATTTTTTAATATCAATCACTACTCATTCTTTGAAGTGAAGCAATCGCACACCACGATGAGGCTAAGTAGTCTGACGAAGTTGTATGTTTTGCATGCAGTATTGTACATAAAATCGAAATCGCTAACTCGCTCGCTGATACTCCAAAAAGAATTCCATATCCATACACGCTCGCTGTTGTCCCGCAACCGCTCAACTCTCGTTCGGAAACCCGCCAAACACCTACTAGGCATATGATTTGATCGCGGGCTCCTGCGTGACCTTCTTCTTATACTTCAAGACGTTCGCCCCGGCCTCGCCGAGCACCGCCTCCGTGGCAGAAATCTCCGCCTTGTCCATCTTGCCCGCGGCGGGGTCTTTGCATACGCTCTTATCGATTCTCTCGAGCTTCGCCGGACCCTCGTTGGTCAGCGCGTCCCTCATGAGCGCGAAGGCCAGCGAGTTGTACAGCATGCCTTCGTGGGTGACCTGTGTACCGGCCGGTGTCCCAGGGCACGCCTGCTGGACCTCGACGTTGGTGGTTTGGACGCCGTTGCCGTCTTTCAGGATGGCGGAGGCCTTGGGTCCGGACTGGGGTTGGACGATCTCGTCGGTGGCGCTGAAGATGGATGTGGTTGGGACTGTTGGTCTCAAGTCAGCGATGGCCAGTTGTGACGATTCGGGTTAGGATTGGAACTCACCATATGCACTATCACCCCCGTTCGCGCGCAGGGTTGTGACGAATTTCGAGTCGTACTTTTGTTGATACACAGAAGGAGTACATCCGATGACCGCAGCAGCCGTATTACAGGCCAGGAATGCCTCAGTAGTTCCGTGGAAATCGGGAGAAAAGGACACGAGATCGGTCACCGCATCTCTGGTGCTGGGCCAGTACTTCAGAGCCCATTGCGCGTTGAGGTTTCCCTGACTCCAGGCAGCCACCGCGGCCTTCTTCCCGGTCATGTCTTGGACGTAGTTCATGGCGTAAGCGACGTACTCCGAGTTCACCTGCGCGTCACCCAGCGAGGCCTGGGGGATGTTGACCCAGAGAGGATCCGCGAAGTCGGACTTGGTAAGAAGGGGTCCGAGGTTGGCGCGGAAGGTCGACCCGGCCATCGCCGCGGTGCCGGGAATGAGAATCACGGGCTGCTTGTTGGATGTAGCTGAAAATGTCTTTGGGATGTAGATCTTGCTGCGGAGCTCTTCCTCGGACAACGAGTATGGCGCATCTTTCTCTGATCTCTTGGGATATATCTGGTTCTTGGGCTTAGGGTTGGAGTTTGCCGTGGAGTCCAGGTCCTCGCCGAGGAATGGGTTGAGGTTCTGCGTCGCCATGTTTGATTCGACGGCTGTCTGATTATTGTTGACAATATCACGAATCTCAATTTCGGGATCTGACACCGGCCGTCCATGGACGGTGGTCCAGGCGAGGGCGAAAAGGGCTGCGGGTGCGGTCTTCATGGTTACTGTTCAAGAGATGAGAGTTGCTGTTGATGTGCGATGTTATTCTCCGTAACAATGGAATCAACCAAAGCTTTATATGTTGTCTTGCCACTCACGTCCGTTCACACCGTCAGTGTCGATGTCATCCGGGAGCCCTACCCAGATCGGGGATCTCAACTGAGCTAAATCTCTTATCTCCTACCTCACGTCGATGTCTGCCTTGTATGCAGTCATGGCTCGATGAATCCGACCAGTAGTATCACTAGGACAGGCATGATGGTTCTCGTCTACCCAAATCGCTGGGAACAAACTCGTTTCTTCTTCCCGAACCGTCCATCCTAGAATAGTAGAGTGCCAAACCGGCGGGCGGTTGACGTCGCTTGGCCGACGGACGTGGAACCATGACACGCCGCCCTGTCCAGACCTCGACCCGTCCGAAGTCCTGGTGTGGCTTTTTCGATCGCCAAAAAGTCCGTACAGTTTTCTCGACGGACCCCGAATCTTCTGCCCCTCGGCACTCCCGTCGGCTGTCGTATTCCAAGGTAAACTACGCTCATATTGTGGTCTCAGCATACCGTTTGAGCGGAAGGGGGGGTTCGATTGTTCAGACGAAGTAGCCGCGTCGAAGCATATTTCCCCGGGAAATTTCCTCGTTTTGTGTGCATGACATCATACTTGAGGCTGCGAAAGCTGTCGGGCTTCTCGGTACATTGTCCAAAATAGGGGGGATGTGCAATGCGCTGGGCTATATCTGACGAGTCGTCTGAACACCACGTAAGCGAGCCTGTCGACCGTGGGCTACGTCGTTCTGCGAGACTCGTTTTCGGCGTGTGTTCATTACGATCGCGTTCGCTCTCCGTAGAATCTCATGGGTCATAGAAACGCGGCGTGAACGACCAAACTTGTTTCCTGCCTTGAGACGCAGTCGCTGTCGACTTCCTCGAGAATCCTCGAGAAACATGCGCGCAAACAAAACAACCGCTGCGCTGAGGACAATCTAATCGCATTTAACTCATGCTTCAATGACTACTATTTTTGTCAGCTATTCGAGGTCCTCGCAAACCTCGGCATGAACTTCACATTTCCCTCAGATCGCCTCCGCGATCGATCGCGCAGTCGACGAGAAAATCTCGCCATTCCGTGCATCCTACAGAACTTGTAGCAACCATTACCAGCAACACCTCTTCCAGCCCTGAAAATTTGCGACAAGATTTGATTCCGATGAATTGGTGCATAGTCGTTCGTGACGGAGTTGCTGGCCAGAAATAAGGTCGCCTGTAGCAACCGCAAGATTCTAGACCGCACGGCACTGTGTCGCCGGTCGGCAACATGAAGTCATCTCATCTTGGTGTCGTAACCGTATCCCACCGAATCGGAAACGAGCATTGCCGCATTGTCGCCGTCCAACGGGTGTCCCGGACTCCCGTTTGTGGTTACCTCCCCTCGGCTTCACGGTCGTGTTCGCAACATGTGTTAGTCTAACCGAGCCCAGCCATGATCACGAACCAGCACCAGAGAAGGGGACCACACAACATCAGAACTGAGACGGAGTTCTCTCTGTAACCACATTCAGTGGCAATAGAGAAATAGACGAGGTTGTAGCACCTCTTCGAGACGTTGTCGCGAAGTTCATCTCATCAACACTGAAATCGCGCGTCATCCATAAATTCACCTGCGGGATGCTGACAAAATAGGCAACAAATCCCGTAACTTCAACAGCGCTTACTACCAAAGAGACATCAACACCTCGTCATCGACTCACTGAGACAATATTTGGTGTTAAAGAGATGGCTCGGAACAACGACACCTCACCATATTGAATACGTTCTTCTGTGACGTTGGTGTGTCCGTCGATAACTGATTTGCGTGAGCCGATAGACCCCTATAGTTTCAAATGAGCTGAACCAAATCAAGAAGCTAAGATGCGTTTGAAGGGTATTCAATTTCTAATCTTCTGCCTCTACCTTGTTTATGACATTGAAGTAATTAAAGCGAGTCTAATCTCTACTCTGAGTAGATATACCTGTCTTGATCAGCAATCAAGAAACGCTAAGCTTCTGGTCATCAAGGACGCCTCTAAATAACTCTCTACCATCCAAATCATCCGTCTCTACACACAAGGCAATGTGCTCACTCCACGGCTTCCGGTTATGCTTCTTTTGGCCCTCATAGAAAGAACCCAGAATCTGATCATACTCCGAAATCTTCTCCTCCCGACCCTCGTTATCCCAAACCTCTCGGTGAAGCACTTCATTCAACGGAAGCCTAGGCTTGATGCAGTTCAACGAATTCGAGTCGGGCTTTCCGACCGTCATCCCGAAGAGCCCGACGACACGGGGAGGCAACTTCAACAGATCCGTCAGCTGACGAGCGTTGTTTCGCGCGGCGCCGATGTAGCACATGCCGAGTCCCAACGACTCGGCCGCGATAGCCATGTTCTGCGCCGCCAACGCCGCGTCGATAGATGCCATCAGAAACGGATCGAGCTTCTCGAGACCCTGGGCCGGCTTGTGCAGCCGTTCTGAGCTTTCCGAGAGGCGGCTGAGGTCGGCGCAGAACAGGATGAATAAGGGTGCCTGGCGAATGAAGGGTTGGTCGCCGGCGAGATCGGCCACCTTGTCTTTGTGAGCCGGGTCTGTTATGGCGATGGCGCTCCAGGTCTGGAGCATCGAGGATGAGGATGCGCTTTGGCCGGCTGCTATGAGAGCTTCGAGAGTTCCCGCGGGAAGGGCGTCGGGTAGGTAGTACCGCACGGAAGTGTGGTTGAGGATGAGTGATAGAGTTGGGGACCAAGGCGAGCTAGTCAGGGCGTCACCTGGTGGACTGCCGTATCTCTGCTGAAGCAGTCCAAGCTTATCTTCGGCCATGGTGATTCGGAGTTGCTTAGAAGTTTCGGGCGAAGAAAACGTTGAGAGTTCGTTGGTTATTCGGCTGTCAAGAGGATATGTAGACAATTGTAGTGATTCATAACTTCTGATGGACGTGAAACTTATCTTATATATAGTTGACAGCTTGGCATCTACAAACGCGGGTTCTAAACCGAACCCTGTCAAACTTCCAAGACCAACACTCCGTTGAAAGCAATACCCTAACTCCACTGCCTTCAGCCACAGATTCGCAGACTGTCGACGACTTCCTGTAATTCAGGTCTGTAGAGGTCTTATCTGCCCAATCATTTGCGTCGTTGAACGTTATAACATATTCAACCAATGGTTGATATTTCCGAGAGCCATTTGATCGCCCATGCTTCGAGTCTTAGCATCGCGATTAAGGTGGGGAACGCGGGCTCATATTGCCCTGTTCAGAGATCGCCGCTAATAATGCACGCCGAGTGACTCTAAAGAAACCGCAGCGAGTAGCAAATTAACCGTCCGATTCCCCTCAACTGCCTCGACAATTCTTGGGTCCATTGCGCAACCTAGATTCGTCATCGTCCTCATTACAAAGCACTTGATGATTACAAATCAGCACAACTACCACTTCTCAAGTCTGTTGGTGAACTGTCACTCATATGCACACTTCTCTCACAAATACTCCATCGCCTGAGGTGGGTAGTGTAGCACTGTAGTCCACTTGGAGTTGATAAACATGTCTACTTTAAGAACCCACACACACTACAAAGTCGCGATACTGCACGTCGTTGTCTTGAATAGATCCCGCTCTTCGATTTGACTTGAATGTTGCGTCATCTAGTCCCTCATACAGTCTTTGGGGTCGATAGACTGGCATCTTCCGGCCGCTTCACGTTCCTCCAAGGACCCCAGGGCCATGGCGGGTGTTGCTAAAGCCAGTACCGGAGCCTAAGTCACAGCGGTCATAAGCAAATTGCAACCAGTGGTGTCAACGAGTGTGATCTTACCATGCCGAGAGCAACGTTGCCATAGGGGCTAAGGAGAAAAGCCTCCGCTCCGGTGAAGGCCGCCACGCAGACGGAGACAACAGCCATGAAATGCATCGTGAGATGTCTGTATTTTGTAAGGCTTGTTCTTCAAATTCTTTGGGAGTTGCAGCGGGATCTCGAGGATAGTTTTGGTAATGGTGTTTGTTTTGCTGGAGACAAGAGCGTGTGAATAAAGGATGCGAAAACTTCAGCTTGGGTACGAACTGGACTATATAGTAGGAGGAGTTTGGCAACTCTGCAATAACTCACCTTCTCATCCTCTTCTCTCAGTGGCTTTTCTGACTCGAGAGGTTAAGAAGTGGGAAACGGCCCGCTCCGTTTCAGATGAACCATGACCGGTCGGAGACTTACTGCTTCCACCGGAGAAGCCTTGACCCCATGATACAACTATCTTCAAGGCATCTTGAATGGAATGAACCTGAATAATATTCGCAATTCAAGTTGTAAGTAAACAGCAAAAGCACAGTCTGTGAAGCCCTTTCGATGGGTTCGGATATGGATGCACATGACGGATAGGCTATTTGTACTTCATCGAGCTTAATAACTCTTGAGCAGCCTTTCCGGGCTCTGGACACTACTAGCTACCGTCTGAACGATTTTGGTCATTCAGCGTTCGTCTGTACAAGTGCTTTGACCAGTTGGCGGGTATCGATTGTGTTCAACATGTCTCGACTTGCGAAACGGCGGCTTTTCCGCCTTCCCCGTGGTTGCCGGGTTTTCCCCGGGGACTTAGCCAGCTCAACCCTGAGATAAAGGTAGGTACCGTGTAACGTGTTTACCGGATCCCAAATGGCCTTGAAAGCTTCACATTCAATGCTAGCTTTCTACTATCCGTTTAGTCCGTATCTCCGTTGCTATCGTGTATGTTCCCTTCTCATATGCCGCTTGTGGCCGTTAATTGCGGCTTCTCTTGGTTTGAAACCCTATCACAAGGTGAAGTACCAATGGGACGGTCAAAGAAGTTAGAAAAAGCCTGAGAAGGTTACACTATCGTATTGTTAGGGGCTGATACTCGAACTGAAATCAAGGCCATCAAGACTGTCAGTGGCTCGTAATCTTTCAATTCAATGATATGTACATCTGACTCGGTATATCTACTAGCTAAACCACATAGCAGGGGATCAATATGTCGAGTCTCATGCGAGCGCGCCACGGATAAGTAACCTTATATACATCCAGCGGTGGATCTGATCGGATTGCAGCGGAGTCAAATACAGGGCCGATTTGCCCGTCAGGAATCTGGCGGCGTCCCAACTGGGCGAAAGTCCATATCTAGTGAGCGTGCCCATGCCCGCATCCCTGGCGCTTTCTCATCCTAGCAACCTCAGCACGCTCGTGGGCATCGAGGTGTTCGCCATGAAGCCCTCCGATGACTCTACGAGCCATCTTGGCCGCGACCGCGTTGTCGTTGGGAAACTTGGGCGTGATGCCTCTCCCAAAGGTAGTCTGAGCGCCGTCCTCGAGAAACACGACCTCGCCCCCAAGCATGGTAAGCAGCACCCTGTTGCGTCCGAGCTCTTCGTCGGGAACTTCGAAGAAGTTGTTCTCGACGACGATGACATCGGCGAGCTTGCCAACCTCCAGTGACCCGATCTGCTCATGTGCTCGGAGGAACTTGGCCCCGTTGATGGTGGCTGCTTTCAGAACCGACTCGCGAGAGATGCCTGGTCCGGGGAATGGGCCGTCGTAGAGCTCGCCCATCGAGGCGGCCGAGTTGGGGTTTGAGGGGTCGCCGCGGCGCGTCACACCGGCTTTGAGTGCCAACCACACGTCAAGCGGATCGACCTAAGATCACAGATTAGCGGTTGACGACATCAGCTTGGTTTTCAGAGGATAAGACGTACAGGCCAGTCACTGCCGTGCACCACGGGACGGCCTGCTGCCTCAATCTGTGCATAGGCATCGAGCTTGTCCATACGGTATTCACCTATACTTCTAAACGTGTCGGGAACCCACATGGGAGCCAGTTGAGAGAACTGAAACTGGTATACAACGTCCACTCCGAGCTCCGCAAAACGCGGCCAGTCTTCCTCAAGGGTAAGACTGGCATGAGCAAGAGCGAGGCGGATGGGAGGAGCATCGGGATGCGCGCGGTGGTAGGCGTCTGCGGCATCCAAACTGACATGAACGGCACGGTCACCGTCGACGTGCAACTGAGCATCAGCTCCGCCCAGCCACAGACCTTCGAGAGTCTTGGCCAGAATCTCCGGATCCCAATATAGAGGCGCGATAGCACTCGGGTCAGGAGCCCACTCCTGTGTTCCGTTCGTCCCATTGCCTACGGGAAGCCAGAAGGGATCCGTGTTGGTGGCAGTGCGGGCGGAGAAGGGCATGATGCCGTCCAACAGAGCCTTGATCGCTTGCCATTTGAGAGTCGGCTGGGCGCTTATGGTGGCGTTGTCGTTTCGAGAAGCGAGTAGGGCGATGGTTTCGGCGACGACGGCATCGACTGCCTCCAAGGTCGCCGGGGGCTGGATGCGGTAGTCGAAGTAACCGCGGGAACTGAGCTCGGAACTGTCCTTGAGCAGGTTCCAGGGGCCCCAGTGTTCGTTGGTGGCCAGCGCGTCTTGCCAAGTGGTGATGCCGTTCTGGCGAAGAATCTGCTGGGCGGCTCGCCCGGCCTCGGCGTTCTCCTCGTCGGTGAAAGCCGGAGGGCCAGCTATGAGGATATTGGCGCCATCCAAGAGAATGCCAGACGGCTCCTGTGTTCCAGGTAGATGTTCGATGACACCGCCCGGGGGGTTGGCAGTCGAATCGGTGATGTTTGAAAGCTCCAGTGCGCGAGAGTTGAGGACGAAGGTGTGGTAATCGTTGGATCTCAGTGACATGGGTCGGGTCGTATTGAGAGTGTCGAGGTCCTCTTTGGTGAGACTGTCGCCTTCGAGAACCAGAGAGATGTAGTTCAGGTTGACAGCGTCCAGCCAAGCATCTTCCGCGGTGTCGTCGGTGTCGATGCAGACTTGCAGATGCTCCAAGACTTGCTGGCGGCTGAGGCGTTGGTAGTTGAAGTTGCATTTGAGCAAGTTCTGCCCAGCCTGGAGAACATGCATATGCACGTCTATCAGTCCCGGCATGGCCATGCGGCCTTCGAGATTGATGACTTTGGTACCACCACCTATGAAGCGCTGAGCATCGGCATCGTTGCCGACGTATATGATGCTGCCGTTCTTGATGGCGAGAGCGCTGACTTTGGTTGATGCGGAATCCAGAGTGTAGATCGAACCGTTCTGAAATATCAGATCGGCTAACTCGAGAGCAGGTTGACGAAGCCGATGTTGGGCTGCTGCTGCTGCGAGTCCAACACCGCTGAGAAGAGGTAGTATCAGTCTCATGGCGATGAATGTTGTAGAACGACTTGGAGATCAAGCATGTAAGAGAAGGTTGATGCTAGATGAAAAGTTTGCTCATCTTCGAGGGACTTGTCGAAGACTTATATACTTCATAATCTCTAGATGAAAGTGAACTTCATTGCTCACCATGCATATCAATTCAGCTGTCATGAACTCTGAGCTATGTGATCTAGGACTGACGAGGCCGTCTTGGCGGTCAACTGAGTTGTGCTCTCGACAATCACACCATCGATCAACACTATCGCCAACTAGTCAGCTACTGGGGAGATGCTCTGGACAGATGACGACTAACAAAAGCCTCAGCCTTCGACAGTATGTCCATCCCGTCGGCCCGCGTCCATCCCATCGGCTTCATGGCCTTGGCATGTGGCAGAGCACCGCGCGCGAATCGTGGATGTCTAGATCTAGGAATATCCAGCCTCGACATCTAAGAGGAAGCATCATGTTCTGATCCGGGCTCCGAGTTCCGTGATGATTGCCGCGCGGGTAAGGGCATGCCAATGTGTTCTCGGAATCAGAAGCCTGGTTCCGCTGTTCCGACCCCATGGTAGAAGGCACCCCTTCTTTAGAGTTAAGATCAAGCGGATATACGGATTTACCCGTGATGGTGGTTCATAAGCATGCATTTTACAATGAAAACTTTATTTCAACCGTCTTGGGGACCCTGGCTAGCACCTGCAAGCCCGGAGCTGGCCGCAGTTGGGGGCATTTTGACCAAAGTCCCCTTAGGCAGAAAGAAAAGAGTACTTCTCTGCCTTTTCCTAGCCACTCCTGTACATAAGGATTTGATTATACGCTATAAATCACGATGCCGTTCATTTGCTTGGTCGAGCGTTCCCTCACCTTAACAGACGTTAGCTCAGACACAAAACGACCGTTCCGCGAGGTTCAAACTTCTGCCGCTTTGGACCGCGCTCACCCCGAACGCGGTTGTGAGGTAAGCCGTAAGCTTCTATACACCACGACGCTTACAAGTTTCCCATCTTCGTACCTTAGTCAAGTAGAATTAGAGCCGCCGTGTAGAGGACAGTTGTTGAATCAGACGCTGCAGGAGATGAATTGCCAATGTTCGCTGCGACGTCAAACTGACGTGGAGGTTGTGTTCCGAAAGAGGAATGGCGGGAAACGTGATCTCCACAGAAATCGCCCAGATCTGTCGGATCTGATTCGTCCAAATATGGGGCGGCAGGGGGATCTGTGAGCCTGCCTGGCAACCCCCGGTCGGATGAGGTCAGCCTTCAACGCCTTGGAACAAAACGCCAGCGAGTCCTCAAGCTGCGTCGCCAAGTGATATCCCGGCCAGCTTCACTTCACCACTTCATCCCCGCCCCTCTGCTGTCCGAACCTCCCAGCAGCCTCGGACGTGGCCGTGCGACAAATTTCTCTCTAGTAATGCCGGAGTAGTCAACATGTCCAACGCGCTCTCCCTCATAGGCTGGGCCTTCTTGCCCAACGTACGCGACTCCTTCCCCTCCAATCTCTTTGTCCTGATAACTAAAATCTCTCAAAGCTAGCGACCTCCTGGGTCCAATCGATTTATTATGGCCTCGCGATCCGCGCCGGCGACCCGAAGCCGCAGCCCGGCACCGCGAAGTACGCCGTCCACCGCCGACGCATCTACATCCTCGTCGTCTCCCTCTACCTCCTCTACACCCTAGTCGAAGCCGACCGCACACTCCGCCTCGACGGCACTTTCTACACCGACCTCGATGTCGCCGAGAACGCCCCAGTCCGCATCATAAAGTCCCGCTTCCGTCGCCTCGCCGCCGTATACCACCCCGACAAGCAGACCGGCGACTCGAACGCCGCCGCGGCGCGCTTCATGCACCTCAAGACCGCCTCCGAGACGCTATCCGACCCCAATCGCCGCTTCGCCTACGAGCGCTTCGGGCCCATCGTCGGCTCCTGGCAGAACTGCAAGACCATCTACGACTACGTCTCCCGCGGCGTCCTCCAGGGCACCATCCCCCACTACGGCATCGCCGCCGCCGTGACCTACGGTATGGGCCTGCTGGGATACCTGGACTGGGGCCGCTACTGGCGCTGGCTCATCCTGCTCACCTTCTTCGTCGCGGAGCTGATCGTGGTCACACGCCCCGAGATGCCCCCCTACCTGGCCATGGCGAACACCGCGCTGAGCACTGTCTTGCGCCGTCCCCCGTACCTGCAGTTCCAGCTCGTGTCGCTCGCGCGCCAGGCTGCGGTGACGATCTACATTGCTCTGAGCCAGATCGGACCCATTCTGAACGTCGAGGCGCAGGCGGCGCAACGTGCCGCTGAGGGATCGGCGGCTGCTGTCGATGAGGGGCTTCAGCGGCTTGAAAACCTGGTGCGTGGACTGGACGGGGAGGCGAGCAGGTTGCTGGATATGGAGATGACGCCCTTCTCGGGCGATAAGGAGGCTTTGAGCAGCGTCAAGTCCAAGGTCAAGGATTGGCTTGTGCAGAATACCATTCGCGCGGATCCTATGGTCAGAGATGCGATGGGCAAGTCGTTCCGCAAGAGGAGAGTAGACGCGCCCGCTGGTGCGAAGGGGAACAGATAGAATACGTAGACTAAGACCTCACTTTCCGTGCTTTCTACAATACGAATACCATACGAATACCACAGCGTGTTCAGCATGCGGACCAGACGCGTAGATGACGGCGTCCCTCGTTGTTTTGTTGGCTTTTTTTTAATTGATATTCCTTTTAGTATTTCGCCTCTTTTTTTTTGTTGGTTTTTTTGAATAGAAACATATGCTACTGAATTGGCAGCGGATTCCTCTTAAGGTATTGAGATATTGACACATCATCTTCGCTTCATCACGTATTTGGCGATTAAACATTCGTGGCGTTGTGGCTTTGCATGTGGCTCACGAGCGAAAAAAACGGACCGGCGGGCCCTTCATCCATGGAGTTCATCCAATTTCACCCCTCCAATCATCACCAGCTGCCCCGGAATCGGCCTCAACATAAGAATCGTAAAAATCATACTTCTCATATATTTTCAGATCTACGCAGCCAAATAAATAACCTCACCATGTCCACAGACAATCCATCATGGCACCTCCTGCCAATCGATCTCATCGAGCACCAAATCGGCCAGATCGATCTCTTAATGGCCATGTACCCCGACACGGTGACCTTTGAAAACGACTCCTCCAGTTTTCTAGAAATTGCAAGGAAATACGTCGAGGAGGGAACAGCCCCCGACCCCGCAAAACTCAGCAAAGGCCCCCCGACAGTGACGCTGCTCTTCAAGCTCGCCATCCCGGAACACCAAGACAAGGCCCTGCACCTCGACATCTCAGTGCCCTTCTCATACTCACAACCCGAGGACGCCCCGGAAGACCCGCCGCGGATCAGGGTCCGGATACAGCAACCTCCCTGGATGAACCGCGCCTCGACGTCCCATCTCAACTCGCAAATCCCCGAGGAAGAAGACCTCTTCGGCACAATCGAGTCCATCACCGACGCGGCCTCCGCCTTCCTCTCCTCAGCCGCCGCCGCCGCCGCCGAGGAACCCCCCGCCGAACAAAACACAGCCCCCGGCCCCCTCGTCCGCGTGTGGTTCTACTTCCCCTCCATCTCGACCCGCTCCAAGCGCGACGACTTCGTCATCCACGCGCCCCGCCACCACCTCACCGGCTTCCTCTACGCCGGCAAGCCGGGCCTGCTGTGCGTCGAGGGCCCCTCGCGGGACATCGACGACTACATGCGCTTCATCAAGACCGAGAGCTGGGGCGACATCCCCGCGCACCACAAAAAGGTCAGCGAGCGCCACCGCGAGGTCGCGGGCGTCCGGCGGGTGTTCGCCGACATGCAGGAGATCACGGACTCCGTCGGCGAGAGGCGCGGGCAGAGGGCGAACCGCGGGGATATGAAGGCCGTCGAGGGGTGGCTCGTGGAGAGGGGGCTGGGGGACGCGTTTGCGAAGGTGTTGATGTAGACACTTGGCCGAACCGTCACGACGGTGGGAAAGGTGGGACTAACTCCGTTGTTCAATTCCACAGGGAGAACAGCGCTCTGTCTGACGGCACATGATGCCGCACTACCTCTCTATCAATGCCGACCCTGCAAAAACCTCTAATGGAACATCAAAACCGAACAAATTACTACAGTTACAGTCTCTGTCGTCCCCTCGTCTCGATGGGGATCAAGCACATCGCCACAAAAGCCGCCAGAATCAGCGCCCCGGACAGGTAAATCGGCGTCGTGGTCCCGTCGCCCGGCATGTTCGCCGCCAGCACCGGCGCCAGCAGGCCCATGACCCTGTTCAGGAAGCTCGCCATGCCCGTGCCGGCGCCGCGCACGGGGGCCGGGAAGATCTCGGGCGTGAAGGCGTAGAGCACGCCGTACATGATGTTCTGCGAGAAGGAGTTGACGCAGGAGAAGAAGAGCTGCGAGGCGGGCGAGGTGCCGAACTTGACGAACATGAAGAGGAAGACGGCGGAGACGAGCGTCGAGGACGCCAGCGTGCCCCGGCGCCCGAGCCAGGGCGACTTGTGGTCGACCAGGTACGCGGCCAGGAGGCTCCCCGGCACGCCGACGGCGGAGGTGATGGCGTAGGTGCGGTACGTGTCGGGGGTGATGGGCGTCGCGCCCTCGTCCGGGGAGCCTTCTGGCGGGGTCGCGCCGCCGTGGGAGAGGTATTGCGGCAGGAAGGCGTTGAAGAGCGGGTAGCCCATGCCGATCGTGGCCCAGACGAACCACACTATCGCCGTCGCGAGGCCGAGCGTGCGGTTCTTGAAGAGGGGCCGCAGACGGTCGCCCGAGAGCGATCTGAGCTTGTCGCGGATGACGTTCGTGGTGTATCCCGTGCGGGAAGACGAGCGTGCCGGGGCGTCGTCGTCGACCGCGCCCTCGGCCACCGCGTCGAGGATCTCTTCCGTCAGCCAAGTCTTTGCGCCGTTGCGGAACGCGATGCCGTGGACCACCGCCACAGCCTCGGCCTGTCTGTTCTTGGACAGCAGGAACTTGGGCGACTCGAAGAGGCGGAAGACGAAGAAACGAACGACGAACATGCCGAACGTGATCAGACCGATCGTCAGGACGAATTTGCGCCACCCCTGGTCCGCGGGCCAGTTGACGATGAAGTACCACGCCGCCAGCGACGAAGAGAGCTGTCCGACGGGCCACCACACCGACAGCAGCGTCAGGAGCGACGAGGAGGCGTCGGGCAAGAACTCGAGGAACAGGGCGCCGTCGACGGGGAGGTTTCCGCCGACGCCGAAGCCGAGGGATGCGAAGAGGAAGCAGACCCAGCCCCAGTTGGGGGAGAAGGCCAGGAGGATGCCGAAGACGCCGGTGATGAGGAGGGTCATGTTGAAGGCGATGCGGCGGCCGAGGACGTCTGAGCCGATGCCCCAGACGAAGGAGCCGAAGCAGAGGCCAAGGAAGATGGATGAGGTGGTGTAGCGGACTGTCTTTTCGGAGATGTTGAACTCGGCGGAGAGAGATGGGAGTGTTAAAGAGACGCCCTGTAGATAATGTCAGCCTTGGAAGAGGTCGAGGACGAAGTTGAATGAAGCTCGTGGGTGAGAACTCACGTGCATCCAAAGACTATGCTCATCGTTAGCGAAGCTCAAATAAGGATACTATGAGAATGAAACTCACTTGTCCGCAAACCATCCGAATCCGCACAGGATAAAAAGTTGCCAGTTATACCGGCCCATCCCGATATCCTGAATCGCCTTATTGATGAGCTTTGATTTCACTGCGTTTCATCAGCCCTCAGCCCTCATCCCTCAATCTCATCACCACAGCCCCAAGAGTTGGAAACTCACATTCATACTCAGTCCACTGGCCCCTCCCGCCCCTCCTGACCTCTTTCCTGAGCCCCTCGATCGTATACTCAGCAGCGCTCATCTCCAGCATCCCCGTGCTCTCGCCCTGGTCCTTGTCCTCGTCGTCCTCCTCTCCATCGTGACCCGGGCGCTCCTCAAATTCGCATTTTCCCGTGCGCGCAGAGTGGCTGTGCAGATGCGCTTCTTCCAAGGGTACCACGACGCCGGGGTAGCTGTACAGCGTCTCGGGCTCATCGGCCATCAGCCGCCTGAATACGGCGCGCAGCATGGACGCCATCTTCGGTTGTCTAGCCGAGCGGGCTCCAGGTAGCGCGGCGATTTGAAGAATAGAAAACGGGAGAAACGGCGCGCCCACGTGACGATCTCATTCAATGACCTCTTTCCGGATGAGGCGGCCGATGAAGCCGGTCGTTCAGTGTCGTGGTATATGTCGTCGTGCTTACTCCTGGCGTAACTCCAACAACAGATGCAATTCTCAAAAGACCCCGAGCTGTCCTTCTACATTGTCCCCGTCTAAATGAGATACAAAGTCGAATCAAATGATAATGATGAGTCTGGCGAAGACGGTAGAGAACACGGCAAGGAAAGGCGAGATGGACGTGATGGATGGAGACAGCATACAACAGGTAAGTCATCCCGCGAGCCATTAGCTGTGGTTGACCAGGACACCTGACTAAAAGAAACGACCACGCCGCGTCTTAGCGTTCCTTAGGTAATCTAGGGGCGACCATCCCACACGGGCACTCTGGACTTCAGCGAGAGGCGCGCCGGGGGAGTGAAAATCCCAAAAATAGCGTGTTGGTGTTCTGTAAGCCCACTAACAGAATTGAGTTCACTCACCGAGGCGCGCAGTTAGCGACGGAATGTTCGGGGGGAGGCGACGGGAGCTTGTGAAACACGCTGCATCAGGGTCACGGGCCGAGACCAGCTGGTTGTCCAGCGTGGGGGGAAATCCCTGTCATCTGCGCCCTCAACCTACGGATACCTACTTGGGCGGAAACGCATCATGATGTTATTGACATGAGATTGTACATAGTTTAATCGTTTTCCAACTTCACGATTCAAGAAACCCCTCTAGTATTGCCCTTATCCGTCGACGCTATGAAACGTGGATTGGTGTACAAATGAACCAATATGGGTATGTGTGTTTGAAACGTCGTCCTAGTTCTAGTTCTTGTAGCCCATTCACCTCGAGATTTCAGAACGCCAATACTCGTGAATAACTCCGTGTCGCCATATGAATGAATTCCATCTGCGTCATCAAAGAAGCTCGCCATCCCCCTCCTCGGCGCCTTCTTCCTCTTCTCCCCATTCCTCCACCATTGCCGCCATACGCCGCTCCGCTTCACGCTGAACCTCTGCCAGCCCCGAAAGCTCTGCCACAAAGTCCTTGTCTTCCAGTGCTTTCTTGACGAAGCCCCAGCCGTCCTTCCTGTAAGCATCTAGAATTGCAGGGCTGCAGGCACTGCAGCTTGGGTATGACTGGCCCCGTATCACCTTGTTGCTGAAGTTGTGCACGTTTCCACGGATGGTGTGAGGAACCAGACCAAGTGCATGATCAACCGGATCCTTTTCATCGTCATGTGTGTTGGGTGCTCCGGCATGATGCTTCAGAGGATGCTGGAGCAGGCTTGCGAACAGCTCAACGAGCGATGCTGAAGCGATGGGCGCTACACCTGGCCTAGTAACGGTGCACTGCTGGTCGAGTGTCTGGTCCTTTTGCGACTAAATAAAGTTAGTACAGATGCTTCACGTAGGCGACAGATACTCACGTTGGCGGGAGCAACCACATCGTTGCAGAAGTAGCATCCCAGTGTCGCACGCTCCTTGTCGTCGGATTGAACATTCGCTGGCTCAGCTCCGTGTCGCATGACTACAAAAGAATCGAAACCCAGAGCAGCGTTCAGCACAATCTTGCCCGCCGCCTTGCCGATAACACTTGGAAGCCATCTGGACTCCCGGCTGTCCATCAAGAGGAAAACGGCGTCGTGCTCGTCGATAAGATTCTTCAGCTTCTCAAAGTCGCTTCTGGTCTTCGACTCGTCTGTAAATGAATGGCCGAGCATCGGAACGGACAATGCATGCCCCTCGCTTTCAACTCCAGGATAAATCTCTTTCAAAGCCTCGGCTGCACGGATTGCCTTGGACTTGCCGCCTTCTAAGCAATCTGCAAAGTTGAAGAGAGGCTGGCGCACGGGATTCGAGTAGGAGACTCGGCCGTAGTCCACGAAAGTGATCTTTCGTACTCCCCAGCCCATGAGATTCCGCGATACGTAGCTTCCCAGAGTACCTGCTCCCAGTAGGAGACATTTACTGTTCTTTATGACATCCAAATCCAGGTTTGGTGAGATGCGCCACTTCATCAGCTTCAGGTTCAGATCCACAGACTGGTCAGCGAGCCGAGTCGGGTCCATGTATTCGCCGAGGTTTGCGACTCTCGATCGGAGCTTGCTCTCCGCGTCCCTTTCCCAGCCAGTAACTTTGGGCATCTCGGCGATCGCAAGCGGTTCGACAGGCTCCATCTCCAGGGGTAAGATGATGCTTCGGGCAGCATGCCTGCTCGCTCTCATCTCACGATAGCAGAGGATCTGCACCTTGGTCAAGCGGAATCGCTGACGAATGAGCAAGAGAAGGTTTCGCAAAGGCCAGGAAGGGTTCTCGGGGTATGTCGACGGGTCAACAAACGAGACGTATCGGTCCTCCTCTGCGACGCCGTCGAAAAAGCCGTTCTCAAAGTCTCCTAGGTTGGCAACCTCCCAGATGTAACCAAACGTGTCGTTGAGATCATGCAGGTCGCTGTTAGCGTCTTTGTCGAGATCACTGACGTCTGCGCCGCGGACCTTCTTGGCGAGGAAGAATCCATTCTGGCGTTTGTCGCGGTTCGCCGCCCATGTGCCTACGCAATCAACCAACGCAGTGCTTTCCTTCGGATCCAGACGGCCAACCGGACCAGTTCGCTTCCACTGGGGGTCTGAGTGTAGGGCAGGAAAAGCGAACCAGTATGTAAATCGATACTTCTTTAAGTCTGCGTAGGAGAGGATCGTGAAGGACGAGAGGAGCGAGGGAACGGAATAAATCGAGCCGTCGTTGATGGCATCCCAGATCTGTGGTGCCAAGTCAGTACGCAGCCGCGCTGGTCTCCAAAAGGTGCATCCAACTTACGTGTCGTGCAGCAAGCTGCAACATGGCGGACTTGTCGGCATTCTTGAAGTCCTCGATCGTATTGAAGACCTTGATCCAACCCTCACCGCGGACGTGCTCGTCGTTGGTCCTGCTTTCTCCATCAGTCCTGAGCTGGCCAACGTGAGCAGCGACACCAGCCGAAGAGCAAGGCTTACTGGTCGGCCGTCAGGGCGTTGCCGAGGATGGTCATCTTGCAGCTCTGAGCCGGCTCAGCCGGCAGCGGGGTGTATTGGCCCAGGACTCTACGCGCTGAGTCGTCCAACTTGTCATGTTCGAGCTTGGAGGAGAATAGGGCGGCGTAGAAGGGAAGTTCGATCTCCGAGGAGAATGGCACATATTGAATGGCTGCCATCGCCGCGGGTGAATACACAGACAACGTTCCAGGAATACGATGATGAGTGTCGGAGATGACGGTTTGGAGAGTTGAGGGAAGCGAAAAGTACGGGCAGCCGAGCACGCCTTCTTTAGTAATCACATGGACAATCCTCTATGAAAGAGTCAACCTGGAAGAGAAGAGCTCGTCGCGGAAGGAGATAGATGGACGTCTGACAAGGTAGCTGTTCAGGCAGTGACGGACCTGTCTACCCTCCGTCAGCTGGACAAAGGTGGGGGAGCTCTGTGCCACGGGGTTATTGTGTCATGCCCTCTCCAAATACAGCGTAGGTACTGTGAAAGCGGGCATCCTGGAGCTGCAGGTCCCGCCGGCTAAACATCGGCTCCGATATGGTAGAGGCGCGGGGTAAATTCAGCCGACCCCTGCCATCGGTGAGGGTGCTTTACGCGACGGAAAGCGGGACGCGTTGGGTGAATTGGGTTCGCGATGAGAACCCGACTTTTCAATTGGACACTTGTTGCCGGGTTATTGCAGAGCTTGCACATGCACTAGCAGCCCTGCAAAGCCCACAGTTACATCTCACCACCCGTCGTTTTTGTATCTACTTCCTGCCGTCGAAATACTACAGCTTATAAACTTAATTGCGCGGCGGAAGTGCACATATACCCTAGCCAAGATGCTCATCGGAATCTGTGGCGGTAAGTCACCACCAGCCCCTCAAAGCCTCAACTTGGGCCTCCTCACACGAAATGGAGTTATCCCTAACACCTTACGATAGGCATCTGTTCTGGCAAGAAGACGGTGGCCCAGTACCTCGTCGAGCATCATGGCTTCAAACTGCTCCGCCTGGACACGCCCTCGGCCGAACAGCCTTTTCGCGAGGAGAAGCCTTATCACGACGAGAAGCCGACTCGCGATGATCGTTTCGTGACACCTGCCCGTTACGAACCCCCCGGGCGCTATGAGACGCCTTCCTATGACCATCCAGTCTATGAGCCACCCCCTCGTGATGAGATTTCCCGGAATGGCACTCCTCGCAATGGAGGAACCCCTCGCACTGACACTCCGGCCTACACCGAATCTCGGGCCCCCATCTTCGGCATGTCCCCTGAGCCGGAGCCCGTGATGGAGCCCGAATTTGCTCCATCCATCACTGACGCCGACGAGCAAGGTAGGAGGGGCAAGAACAAGAAGAAGAAGAACACCAAGGATGCCATCTGCTACAACTGCCGGCAAAGAGGTCATTGGAAGGGAGATTGCCCTCACCCGAATCATGAGAATGCCCTCACCATCAACACCGTGAACGGCATTTCCGTGAGAGAACCACCGCGCCCCCCGTCCGTCAACGGTAACAACAATTCGCTCAGCTGGGGCTCCAACTCAGCAGAGCTCGGCTTCTCCTCCGCCGATGGTCTCCTGGATTACGTTACCACCCGCTGGCAAGAACGCTTCGTCATGACCGACGTCCACAACGAGGCCATCCTCGATCAGCTCTCCCGTCGCCCTTTCTTCATGCTGGTCTCGGTTGACGCGCCCCTGACCGTGCGTCACGCCCGCTTCCGCGCCCTTCACAACCCTCACTGCACCATCGAGTCTTTTGCTCTTGCTTCCGACACCCATCTCTACGATCCCCAAGAAGGCCTTCAGCCCCTCATCTCCCGCGCTACGGTCCGTCTTCTCAACACCTCCTCCTCGCTCGCCCACCTTTACGCTACCCTTGGCAAACTTAACCTCGCGGACCCGGTGCGCCTGCGCCCCAGCTGGGATGCCTACTTCATGTCCCTCGCGACTCTCGCCTCGCTGCGCTCCAACTGCATGAAGCGTCGTGTTGGTGCGGTTCTGGTCGGTCGCGAGAAGCGTGTGATTTCCACCGGCTACAACGGCACCCCCCGTGGACTTCAGAACTGTTCTGACGGCGGATGCTCGCGTTGTAACTCCGGCAACTCCTCCGGCGTCGGACTGGCTACGTGCTTGTGTATCCACGCCGAGGAGAACGCGCTTCTCGAGGCCGGCCGGGAACGTATTAGAGATGGCGCCGTGCTGTACTGTGACACTTGTCCTTGCCTTACCTGCAGTATCAAGATCTGCCAGGTTGGAATCAACGAGGTTGTCTACGCTCAGGGATACAGCATGGATGATCAGACGGCAGCGGTCTTCCACCAGGCGGGCGTGAAGTTGAGGCAGTACATTCCGGTAAGTCGGAAAATTTACTTTGACAGAAGCAGTGCTGACAGATGCGTAGCCTCCAAATGGATTGATCCACTTGGAGAATCTGGACAGGAACAAGTACATGAGTTAGGTGTAGGAAATGGGCATTTCCTATATATTAGCTCTAGGAGCAGAGAACCTTGATGGGCCAGGCTTGCCACACAAATGCATAGACTGACCCCGACAGGTGGGCAACTACCACTCACCGCGGGAACAACTCTCGAACCCGCTTAGCCTTACCCTGGCTTTTTTTCAACTTCCATTCCATCACGATGAAACGATCCTTAGCAATCTGAAGAAGCTTTGTTGTACTTTCATTACTATTCTCCTCCCGTATATCCTTACTTCCATATTGTCTATGTAGGTCTAAAGCTTCAGCACCAACTTTCCAACTTGCTTGCCTTCCCAGATATACTGAAGTGCCTCCTCGGCCTGTTCAAAGTCGTATACAGTATCGATGATATCATCAAACTTAAGACCCGTCGCCGAAATAGCCGCGTTCATGTCTTCCATATCGAGCCTTGATCCGGCGTTGATGCCTCTGTCACACACGTTAGCCGATGCTTTCGCTGCAGCCGATTCGGGTTCTCGGATTCGCGCTTACCTGACGTTCGTCCTCCGGTCAATGATGGAGGAAACAAACTCCTTCAGCTGGGACGGGTCCTGTCCGCCCAAGTACCCGACCTGGCTGACAGTACCACCGCGCCGCGTGCACAAGACGCTCTTGACGAGGGACGTAGAGCCTCCGTTGTCGACCGTGAGATCCACGCCGACTCCGTCCGTGAGCTTGAGCACTTCCTCCTCCCAGTTGGGCGTCTTCTTGTAATTGACGCCGTAGATGGGCGCGGAGGGGAAGGAATCTTGGATCTTCTTGATCTTCTCGTCGCTCGACGAGCTCAGGATGACCTTTAGTCCCGCGGCCTGGGCGAGCTTGAGCGCAAACATGGCAACACCGCCCGTTCCTATCATTTATCAGATCATATCATAAAAGTGATGCCACTGTTCTCATCATACCTTGAATGAAAACACTCTGGCCGATAGTAAGCCCCTTAATAGCAGACCACGCAGTCGTGCCCGCGCACGGCAAGATCGCGCAGTTGATCCAGTCCAAGTGGTCCGGGATCTTGGCGATGAGGTGCTCGTCAAACACGAGATGATCCGCAAGAACGCCGTCCTCATTCGCAGCGAGCCACGACCGGCCCGGCTCCCGACCCGTCACGAACTCGGTGTCCGTGATGGGGCTGACGCGGTCGCCGACGCGGAGGACCTTGACCTTGTCGCCGACGGCGAGGACCTCGCCCGCGGCGTCGTTGCCGAGGACGCCGTGCGGGATCACGGGCCACGGGTTGCCGCCGTTGGCGATGTTGGCGTCGCGGTAGTTGAGGGCGACGGCGTGCACTTTGATCAGGACCTGAGTCGGGGCGAGGGGCAGGGGCAGCGGTTCCGTGACGAGGTTTACTTTGGGCGTTCCCGGGGTGTAGTCGTCTGTTCGGCGCCAGGCCCGGCGGTGGGTTGGGAGGTTTGCGGTCATGGTGTTGGTTGTTGTTGTTGAGTTTGGTAGTGAGTGAGCTAAAGGTGCTTGAGTGACAGGGATCGGGATGAGGTCGGAAAGTGAAGTGATGTTTGTGAACTACTATTACCCTGACGGCTCTATGAAGGGGTCACAATCGTGACTTATATACACATCCGGCATCCATGGCAACCCAGACGTACGCCCTTTTCAAGACTGACAGTTATGATTGAGGCAAGCTGACTGACAGGGATCGGAAGTGGGTGACGTTGAACTCAAGATGAGATCGAACAGCACCCCTAGCTCTCACATGCGGGGTACCTGTCGCCACAGCCCACAGGCTTTTAGAAGGTCTCTTGCACTGCTTGTGGTATTATTACCAGGACGGGAGCTGTCGAGTGGCATCGAATGGAATGATAACCTCAACTGTAGATTTTTCTTACCATGACGTCCATGGCAGAGATTGTATCAGACGCCCTGAGCACGACATTGCTTGGCAACATTCTGAGCCAGACAAACCGTCAACCGTCAATCCTTCCAGCATCATTTCTATGGTTGAAGGGCGCGGATTGGCAACTTCTGACGTCGGGAAATATTGGGCAACCCAAGGGCGTCGGCCCCGAGGACCCGGATTGCCTACTTGGTCCAAAATACACGGTCATTCGCGTGCTAGAGAGGTTACAAAGCTGCAAAGGAGATGATTTGAAATCCTTCTTTGAAGGCAGCTCCGACTGGTAAGAATTCACCCAGTGTCGAACGACTCCTCCGATACGGAATCGGGGTGTTAGAGCCTCTGACACTGCCGACAGGGAACTGCTGCCCCGCATACCCCTCTATGAGAGCCTCCCGAGAAACGATTCTAGGTCATGTCTGGAGACAACTTCGCGGGGTGAAACTCTTGTGTTCTCATTGTCTTTGCCAGATCAGGTTTAAGCTGCATGAATCGTGGGGGGCCCCAAGGTTCTGTGTTGCTCCAATTCTTAGTTGTTCGGAGCTGAGTCGTTGACGCTCAGCACCACTGTAATTACCCCGCGCTAATCAGATGTTCTTGTCACGCAATTGATACAGAGGGGCCAGTTGACTTGAGGATATTGAATAATAAGAGCCTGAAAGATCTGCTTGCTACCTTGCATTGAGGAACACAAAATTGAGATGGATAATTTAGAGAGGAGAAGGGCTTTTGTCATCTAGGAACAATGGTAAATTTACACGCACGTATCATTGGCGATAAGTCTTCAGGGCTCATGACTGTGTAAGCTGCCCGTGTGTGTGGACAGGTCACGGAACCAATTCCCTACGTAATTAGCAGCAAAACATCCTCTATATTCCTCAACACAACACCATCTACGATGTAGTTCTAAGCGTAGCTCGCAACCGGCTTGCCCAAAACCTCCAACCGAGGCGTGATCCCAAGACCGGGCGCGCTCGGCGCAGTGACACGGCCGTTGACCGTCTTGAAATCCCCGTCCGCAGTCTTGACCGTGACCATATCCGGAGAACCCAGGATGCACCTTAGGTTCCGCTCCGGCACAGTCTGCGCCAAGTGCACAATCGCAGCAAACGCGACGTCCGATCCCGTAGTCTCTTGGACGCTGAAAGTGTATCCCGCAGCGAGGCAGATATCCCGCTGCCGACGCCCGCGAGTCAACCCGCCGTTCTTGGAGATCTTGTAGCCGATACCCTCCGCGGCGTCGTTGGCGATGAGGTCAACGATAGAGGCCTCGTCCGTGGCGAGCTCGTCGTAGATGATGGGGATGTCAGTCCTCTTCCTTAAGGACTGGCACTCTCGCGCGGTCGCACAGGGAGCCTCCAGGACGAAGTCCAACCCGGCGGGCAGGAGTCTCAGCATCCGGAGGGCAATCTCAACCGTCAAGCCCGCATTCGCATCAACAAGGAAGAACTCGCCCGGCTGCCTATCCGCCAGAGACGCCGCGATCCTCGCCGCGTCGGTGACGGGGTCATCACCCGAGATCTTAACCGAGTGTCCCACATACCCCTTCTTCCTGTGCACCTCAACACGCGCTCGCATCTCCTCCGGCTCGCCCACATAGATCGACGAAATCAGCGGCAACTTGACATCCGTCCGACCACCCAGGAGCTCGCACACCGGGAGCCCAACGGACTTGCCAAAGATGTCCCAACAGGCGACGTCAATGGGCGTCTTTGCGTGTAAGTGGCCGACGAGGGCCTCGTCCATGGCGTCGTTGATGCGGTCGACCTTGCGGGGGTCCATGCCGATGAGCTTGGGCGCGATCTCGGCGATGCCGGCCCGGACGCCGAGGCCGTGGGCGGCGACGTAGGTCGAGCCAAAGGGGGTGCTTTCGCCCCAGCCCTCGAGGCCGGTGTTTGTTGTTATGCGGACGATGGTGGCGTCGAAGCTGGTGTATTCGCGGCCGCCGGAGAGGAGGTAGCGGCCTCCCGAGTAGGGGAGGTCGACTTGGAAGACGTCAATCTTGGTGATCTTGAGTTCAGACATCTTGACTTGTTGATTTAGGTAGACTTGAAGAGTAAAGCCAGGATGTACAATTCCCGGCTTTGGTATACTTTATAAGTTCTGGAGGGGCCAAGTCATTGATGCCGAACTCGCAGCAACACTTCGGCTTCTAGCTTCCTGCATCCGACCTTGGCTCTGACAATAGTACTATCTGCAAGTTACAAAAAGTGTTCAAACGATTCGTGATGCCGCTATCTTGCGAGTATTCTTACCACATCAACATACAGGAACTGTCGTGGTTGGTGAAACACCGACAGGTTCTCATTTCTACTTCCCCAAACGGAATCATCACCCCGCAACCCCTCACATTAACAACAACTTCGTTTGCAAGGATCGGGTGAAGCCATGATCAAGCCGAGCCTGGAAGAAGCAACACGCGCTTTCCACATCATAGGGAATAATTACGAGGATTGCGCATGATCGCGAAAACGAAGATTACTGGATTCGCAAGCATAACTTCGGTTGCATAGGTTAGTATCGGCACGGACCGGCCCCACCACCGGGCCGGGCTCGGCGACCGCCGGGGAACAATCAAGAAAGGACTGGTGGCTTTTGCTGCCTGACTGTACTCGGTGGGCTACTATGGCAAGATGTCGAATAGGTCGAAACAGAAAATGAGTGCAGCTGGACTGTGATGCGCGGTGAATTGCAATTGTTTTGCAGCTTCATGAAGGGTTACTGATTTGTAGGTGATCAGCGAATAATGAGTATCTACGGCTGACCGCAGTTAAGAGAAATCGGACAGAACCCAGCTAACGCCTGAATCTCTGAGATAAAACCACCTAAATCGAACGCCTTCTATCTGTCTCCAAATTCTTTCCTGAAGCCGTGCGGGTTTGAAGAACATCAAACTTGATAGTCGACTTAAATGTGTACAAAGCACCAAGGTTACATAACGGAATACCTTTGAAAAGGCCTGCAAAACGCGCCTAGAGCCTGGCTTCTCAACCACCCATCGCGTAAGATCTTGTCTTAAGACACTTCTCGTATGCCTTTTCGAGGAAGTTGCGCACCTCTCCACAGCATTTGCGTCGGTTAGGAGGTGGATGATCCTCGCTTGGCTCAATGACAAGCATGTCGCGAATCAATCCGAGAACGTCTTTGAAGTATTCTGAGCAGTCTGCACGTGATGCCAGATCCTCGATGTGCTGGGTTAAACAAATGTCAGCACAAACTGATCAGGCACTGCTCAGGTATATGAAGACCTTCATATTACAAGACAAGACTTACCTTTGAGACAGAATGCTTCAACTGAGCGCCGTCATGTTCAAATCCACTCACTGTCACACATTCGAAGAACTTATCTGACTTCATACGAAGATGGGGATCATATGATAGCCGCGAAGTCTTGAACGATTGCACGCCTTCGGCCCCATCGAACATCCAAGTGACGAACTCAAGATAGATACAGCCAAGCGACCATATATCACTGGACTGACGCATCATCAGCGGCTGTATCTCACCCTCCGGTGGTCGGTAAGTCAAGGTATCAATGCCACGGCTCTGACGATACGTTTTGCTGTTCTCCGAGTGAAGTTCTGCTTGGCCAAAGTCGATTATCTTCAGAATTCCTTTCTCGTCGCCTCTGTGTGGGAACCAGAGAAGGTTCTCCGGCTTGAGGTCACCGTGACGGCCGTACTGCGTTATCAAGTCTTCTTGAGTCGGACGGGCCGCCTTGTTGGTTGTGTGAGGTAATTGATCACCCTGGAATCGAGTACATTTCGTTCCTGTCAGAATGTTTTCTTCAAATATGTCCTTGGGCCGGTTCTTGTGGTCCTTCTCATTGGTGTCTTCCGATGATTGGTCTGCCTCTGAGGTCTTGGGAGTCGTGTAATGCCTATGAAAGCGGTAAAGGCCGTCCGCCAGTCCCGCAAGCTGTTTGGCCACCCAGACAACGGTAGCATAATCAAACTTTGGAGACGGGCAAATTCGTTTCCAATAATTGAATAAGTCTCCGTTGGCTCGGTGAAAGATTAGATGAAATCTCCCAAACTGTTCGTACGTCGCTAGGACAGACACCACATGTGAATGGGCCCCGTCCCCCGTGAACTTCTTCAGCATGTTGACTTCTTTCTTGAACTTTTCATTCGCATGATGGCCTTCGTCTGTCAGTTGCTTCACAGCAAATCCCCGCTCGGCATCCAGGTCGTCGTCGTCGAATTCATGGTGCTCTGGGTGGATATGCACAAAAAAGACTTGCGAGAACCCGCCATGAACCTTGTGGATGTTTGCGCCGTCGGATAAACCTGAACCGTATTTGATGAATGGCAGGAGGTGGTGGTCCTTAAGGGTGTAGTGGTTGACGTGATTGTAGGCTGAGCGACAGAAGAAGGGAGATAGTAGCATCCATTGATACTCACAGAACTGCTTTCTTCTCTCCGGGCCCCAGTGCTCGCAACAGTTCAGTGGCTTTCCCTGACGCTCGCGTTTCTCGTTCGCTCGATATAAACTGTTGTCGCCTGGGTCATGTAAGTCAGGATCCTCATTTTCCACAAGCGGAAGATCAAGATCGCTGACGCCATCCTTCATGAAAAGTTCGATGCTGCTTGGCTCCTCAATAAAAACCAATATGGCAAAGATTGGACGATAGGAGAGAGTTTTGACAATTCCCCCAGGGAGTGGCTTCGTCTGGTCTGTACACACAAGATTGGCAACTTCTCTAATAGCAGCATCGTCTTTGTTACGCCCCGACTGCTTGGCCAATTCGCAGGCAACCGATTCTGGATTGATGAGGGCATATAACTGTTTTTTTGGCAGAAAAGTCCTTTCGTATCCGTTGCTCATCGGATTGCTGATTCCTTGGCATGCTCTCCGAAGCTGAGCTTGGAGTTGGTGTTTGTGAGGACGATTGCGTCCCGGCTTGTCAGACTTTTGGTTCTGAGGAGTGGAATTTTCCGGTTGAGAATAAATTGCCTGTCGACTTGCTGCTTGTTTATGGCCTTCGCGCCTCTTCCATTCTTGATCCCCTGCATCAGAAACGACCGACGGAGCTTGCTGCAAAGTTGCACTACGTCGAGCGCCTGATGTGAGAAAGGAGGAGTTTGTGTCCGTCGCGTCTCTCACTCCAAGGGATGGAGTGTTGCTACGTGAGCGTCGTTCCTCTTGCTTCTGGCCCTATTGGATCTTAGTGGTGCAGGTCCACAGCCGCCTACGCGTAGCGTGAGTACATGTAGCGCTTACTTGTTTCACCAACCAATCATCCAGTTCGTCTATCTCTGTCTTTCGTTCCTCGGAGGCCGTTTCTTCCCCATAATATTTGGGCCATGTTTGTGGCGATATGAGGCCGAGAGGCCTTGGGCTCCCACGCCTTGGTGACCCCTGAGGCGGGGTTGACGGTGCGGTCCTATCGTCTCTGGAATCGTCATCGGCAAGTTGTTCATTGGGCTCCGTAATTCCAATTGACGAAGTTTCGGGTGTGATAACGTGGATTGAGGCGTGCAACTCGCAATCGTCCGGCATGATGGAGCGCGTCGCCGCTTGCGTACAATATCAGTAAGAACCGGCGACGATGGAATATTGATGGCGGCAGCTAGCTCCATGCTACGTGTTTTATTGTCAGTTGGAGCCCAGTAGCCTCATCTGAAAACGCCTAGATATTGCGGCAAGGCAGCCTATCATGTCTAATCGAGGCGGCCGGACGATGTCTTGGAGCTGAACACGCGGCTTTACCATTTACAGACGTGGAGGGTGGGCTCCCTCCCTCCCTTGCCGGGCGAAAGAAGGCCGACCATACCATCCAGCGAAGTTCAGTGGCACAGCAAGCCACTTGTATCGAATACCTAGTGTGAGACCAGGCTGTCTGCCTTGATCCCAACACTTGATTGTGCCCTGGAGCTTTTCAGCGCCGCTGAAAGCCACCATATCATTCTCGGTGGCGCCTGACAACACGAAGTGTAAAAAGTGCAGCCACGCGGATGGATTCTGTTTGATCTAGAAATAGCACAATGGCAAAGACTTTCAAAAACTACCATAGCATGTAGCTTCAAGGTCTTGTGTAATATATATAGTAGACGCCGTCGCGGAGTCTAGATAGCAACCCAGAACAAGAAAGCATCAAAAGAACACCACCAACAACCTTTTCTGCATCAAATTCCACTCGTTGCAGTTTTCATCCTTACATCAGTAGTTCAGCCTCTTCAAAAATGAGCCAGCCAACAGTTCTAAGCAAGGCCACCCCTCTGAGTCGGAAGACCTCTTCTCCGAGTGTCAACCCTAGGCAAGAGATTGCGGGAAGAAACATGGATCCTGCGAAACTCGTCCTGATGCTGGACACCAGGTTTGCTGGAGCATACGACGTGGAAGTGAGCATTCCTCCTAGTTATCTCATTGGAAATCTAGCTAACAGTTGGACCCGCACCGAAGATGATGCATAATACCTATTCCATACGAGCCCCGAGGGAACTTTCGTTGGTCGGTGCACTCCGCTTGTTTTTGTGTCAACACGTTGCTGACCACGCAGTCTAGGATGAGATCGCTCTCTGTCGTCGATGACAGTTGTTGAAATTTACCGAGACGTCTCCACGCACTAAAGATAAATGTGACTAGACCATCGTTGTTCGCGTCACTGGTTTGGCTAGATGCCATCCTCTCTCAGCAAGCAATGACTGGGAACGTCTCACGGACTGAACTTTGATAATAAATTGCCCCCCCCCCCCCTTCCTCAATACTTCTGCTTCTCTTCTCCCTTCGTGTTCGGTCTATCCATGCACCCGAAGTACCATCAGGCTGTACCATTGGAGCAAGATTATTGTCAAGGCTGGGTATTGCACCGGCGCTTATGTTGGTGTGGCTGGCCCAATGCTACCCAGCCTTCATCGAGAACGGATGGATGGATATGTAAACCAAGAGAAGACTACAATACAATCCCTAAAAATCGAGCGATCAATACCGTGAGATTCAGCCTGATTTTGCGTGTGGAAGGAGACATCGACGATCGAACGCTGTCTGGCTCCTGTAGGCTTCTCCGACCTTGTGTAACCCCATGACTACAAAAAGGCCTCACAGCCGCATGATGATCCTCCACTAGTAGAGATGCATTTGCTGGGCAGCTGAAAATGCAGGTAAATAGTGTTGCGATTGATTACCAAACTGCATATTCTTGCAGCCTTCATCCCAGATTGCTACATCATTCAACCTTGGTATGAACATTCATTTCAATATACATGTACTCAGCAGGCTACGACACTTCTCCCTGAACAGGATGAGCTGCTGAAGTATGAAATCCTGCATTGGAAATAGAACAGCTGATCAATCCGCCGTTACTTCTTGAGGGTTGGCCCATCCTTGATACAAATACTGCGCTTCGCAGCAGGCTATCTTGGCGAACTTCCCGCGCGATGGACAACGTGACGAACTGCCGCCAAAGCTGGGTTGATGTTGTCTCAGCTTACGATGCAATCCTTTTAATCCGGACAGACCTTCGCGGTTGCGTCAAGCCACTGTCACCGTACATATGCACGACACTATGCATGTCAACGAGCGATTGTCTGTCTCAATATCGAGAGAGGCGGGATGGCAGCAAGAGCTATTGATCTGTTTCCCGACCTGGGAAGACCAAATAGTTCCCACGCCCAATCCGCTTTTTTGTTTCATGGTGTTTGCGAAATTGAACTTTTCTGGACTTTCAAGTTTCTTTCTATAGCCTCCCCAAGCCTCGCATGGTCATTGAGGCCGTCCGACAGTGGGAAAATTGAATTATCAAGAACGTCCTGCAGGCTGTGCTGCCAATCCTGGTCTCGAAAGGAAAAATGCCGCCACAAGAACCACCGTCTAAAGGTTTGCGGTCGAAAATTCGAAGCAAATGTGTGACAAGCAACTTCCCCCCTGAAAGCGGCGAGAACTTGAAGTATCTGCCTCAAGATTGCATTCAAGGTCTTGTCACGCGGAAAGCCATCGCAGATGAACTGGGTCTACAGTCGAATGATCCCGATAGCGAGTTTACTGAGTGGATCCTCAAAGCTGCTCCAAAGCTCTTTCTGATCACACTCAGTAGCCAGTTCGTTCGAGGTTCTGCTGAACTGCGCGATTCCATGCGCCTGTTCCAACTTCATGGCTTCGACGATAGCCAGCTTCCCTGGACAGATTCCAGTGCCTTCCCCGATGACAGCATCAAGGGCCTCTGGGAGAGATCAGAGATGACCGATTACTTTCCTCCCGCTCAATGGAAACTACTAGCTCTCGTCATGGATTCCGGTACCTTTACATACAAGATACGGCCCGGGGAAATCCTGCCCTTCACCCGAGTATTGAGCGAAAGGCCAAAGGAGGGGGCTTTTGGTAAAGTCTATCGTGTCAAGGTACAGCCATCACACACCGATTACTCTTTCGAAGAGGTGAGTACATTTCACAGCAACAAGTCGAGACTTTGATGACCTGTAACTGATCTGCTCTTTGTGAAGATTGCCATCAAAGAGATCCGGACCGAAAGTACCGTGCAAGAAAGTGCTTTGGAAAGAGCGTGGCTGGCTGAAGTTGGTGTCTTGAAGATGGTCAAGAAACTCAAAAATCGCCATATCATTGAGTGCTTAGCTGCTATTGAGAGGAGCGACAACCGCTACCTTCTCTTCCCATGGGCTGATGGCGGAAGCCTCAGAGATTATTGGGAAGCCAAGAGCCATCAGAAACCGACGCAGCATCTTGTGAAAGAAGCTGTTGTACAGATCCGAGGTCTAGCCGTCGCTCTTCGTCAGCTGCATTACTTCGGACTTGATGACAGTTCAGAGGACGTACCCGACGACCTACCACACGTCAAAACGGAAAATGTTGCCGATGAGTACCTCTTGGATGGAGCCGCAACTTCCATCAGGCATGGAGACTTGAAACCTGAGAACCTTCTATGGTTTTCACAGAACCGTCAGGATGCTGGAGAAGACCGATGTCTCAAGATTGCAGATATGGGGTTGGCGAAGCGGCACGTTGTTCGCACTCAAGACCGTTCCCGCTTGACCGCAACTACTTATGGTACCATTTTATATGAGGCGCCAGAGGCAGAGCCAGCTTTTGGTCAGCAGCCCAGATCGCGCCTGTACGACATTTGGTCCATGGGATGCATCGTTGTCGAGTGGGTCATTTGGATACTGTATGGCAATGACCAGTTGCAGCGATTTTACAATGACCTCAAAGGGCCAAATCACGACCCGAAGAAGCCAGTGTCTTACTACATCAATAATCCGAGTACCAATGGCCAATCCCCAGAACCTGTGCTCCATCCACAGGTTGTTCACTGGATATCCCACATGAGAAACCAGCATCCAGAGTGCAAGCGAGACTCAGCAATCGGCGCTCTACTCAGACTTGTCGAAGAGAAGCTTCTTGTTTTTCGTCTTCCAGATCGCCGACTCACAACAATGAGTCGAGTCAAATCGAAACCAACTTCGCTTACCCCACCCAGCTTGGAGGGCGGGAATGTGCGGAGCAGGGCGACATCCGTCGAGTTTGAGAGGGCAATGGATGATATCCTGGAAAAGGTAAACAAATCCAGAAACTTCCTACTGACGAGTACAGCCCAGGAGCTATCTGCTGTCGTTCATCCACCACCGAAGCCGTCAATGCTGCACCCTGAAATGGCTGTCTCGAGCTCGAACGCAAATCAAACACCTTCAGGTTTGAATGTGCAGCATTTGGTTCCACCAACAACATCCGCAAGAGTATGTTCAATGGAAACATGGCTGCTGCTAACATGATGCTCACGACGAAGCAGAACGTATGTCTTACCTCCCGTCCTCTTCTTTCAGTAACAACATACAAACACCCGATCCGAGCAAATTTTAACACAGAATTGTTTCAGAACGTAAGTGGATGCTTTCACCTTTTGCCCAAGATAACAGCTAACTCTTATACTTTTAGTATGTAGGCACTGCCATAACGTAGAATGATGCAAATCAGACGTATACTGACAAGAAAAGACGGTAAGACACAAGACACACGAACGCACATGTACCATCCAGCTATCTAGCTGATCAGTTCTGGTAACACTTTATGAATAGCTTGTAAGCTTCCTCCAACCCCTAAACTATAGCGAGATCTCTGACCGACCTGTACCAAGCCCGTACGTAACGCGAGATGTACTCTTGCATTCACTCATGACTAAAGTAAACATTGAACTTACCAATCCTCATGTTATTAGCCAGTGAGTCGTCACCCTGTATGTCAACAAGGCTTTTGCATACGACTAACCGACAACAGCTCGAAGGTTGGACATTTCCTGTCGACAATGATTTTGCTAGCGACTTTGCATCTCTTGTAGGGCCTGCTCTTCTCGCCCCTGAATCCTCCACCCCTGCCAATCTTTGCTCTGGTTGCAGCCAACGGAGGTTCTGGGAGCCTGGTTTCAACATTGAGAAGAATCCAGATAAGTTGCATCAAGATTCGAGGTCTTGTGACCTATGCAAGCTGCTCTGGCAGGTCTTCCAGTCGTCAGAAGGAAAGAAGCCTGGCAACATTGCTTCTTTTGAGAGAGTGGAGTCAACCATCAAGATCCGGGGGGTCCAGTCTCAGGCAGTCCTTTCAATTTTGAGGAATCCCGGTGAGTCAAACTCGCGTACTATAGGTCTTTAGCGATTCAACAACGCATGTCCTGACATACGTTGTGATGTTTTTCAGGGACCTCCTATCCGAATTCCGGATTGCAGATTGGACTTCCACAACTTCCTCACCCCGACTCAGACTTATCGTCGCAAATACTCCAGCGATGGCTTCATGAATGCGACAGCAATCACATGGGCTGCAGGTTTACTGGCAGTACGAGGCTACCCACTCGACTAATGGATCTTGGGACAGCGAATGTACCAGCCCTGCGTCTGGTTGAGACTTCTGGCGGAATCCCGGGCGACAATCGATATGTTGCTCTCTCTCACCGCTGGGGGGATACCGAGAAACATCGTCCTTTCTGCACTCGTCTACAGGATGCGAGAGGTCACGACCTCGCATCTTTCAAGCGAGCTATCCCTGACGAAGATTTGCCAAAGACATTCCGAGATGCCATTACAATCAGTCGTCGTCTTGGAATTCGGTATCTATGGATTGACTCCTTATGTATCATCCAAGGAGATGGTGGTGACTTCAGCACCGAAGCCAAACGCATGGAGGACGTCTTCAGTTGCGCTTATTGTGTTATTGCGGCAAGTCGTGCATCGAACCAGCTTGAAGGATTTCTCCGGGAGAGACCTCAACGGCGCTTCATCAATATCCCACAAGGAAAAGGAGATTCCATTTACATCTGCGAGGCGATTGACGATTTTGGTCGCCATGTCCTGGACGGCGCGCTAAACCGCCGTGGCTGGGTTCTTCAGGAACGTGCCTTGGCGCGGAGAACCATATACTTCACGGATGCTCAGACATATTTTGAATGCGGAAAAGGCGTCAGATGTGAAACATTGGCCAGGATGCAAAAGTATTTTGAACTTCTTCCCTGATCGTTTTCTCCTCTTGATTCTGACAATTCAACCCACAGTAATATGGCCGAATTCTTGGGAGATCCAAGATTCCCTGAAAAGGCAATGAGAGAGAATTCACGGGCCATCAAGATCCGCTATTTCCAGGATCTGTACCGAAGATACTCTCAGCTTGAGTTCACGCACATTCAGGACCGCCCAATTGCAATTGCTGGCCTAGAAAACCGGCTTCGCAAGGCATACTGGACCAAAGGCGGATTCGGCATCTTTGACGACGGGCCCGGACACGGACTGTTCCATCGAAGTCTCCTTTGGCAGCGCGGAGAAGAGGAGACTTCGTTGAAGCCAATTGACTTCACGTCAAGCCCAGAGTCTGCTGCTCCCACTTGGTCTTGGATGGCACATGAAGGTGGAATCGACTACCTCGACCCGCCCTTCCAGCAAATGGAATGGGAGCAGAACGAAATAGAGCCGCCATGGTCAGTCACCGGAGGTGGAAGTGATGGGTACAATCCTTCCCACTTGAAAGTCGTCGTGAGACCCTTTGACGTGGCTGGTGCCCCAGGACGCAAGACGGGAGATATTAGGTTCATATACGATAATCCCAATCGCAGAGCCACCTCCGATAGGCAAGGGCCTATGTGTGTTGTAATTGCTAAAGAAAAGCAAGACAAGCCGGCGGGAGAGAAGAGACACTACGTTCTAGTTGTTCTTAGCATACCAGGTGCCACGGAGCAGGGCCAGAAGTTGTTCACTCGTTTAGGAGTTGGTTATATGCCTGGAAAGTGCATTACATTGGAAGGAACCGGTAACAGAGGCCTTGTTCGCTGAAATGTTCGTGGGAGATTCCTCAAGTCAGTTTGTGTACGGACATCTCTCATTGACTAGGAAATACTTAAAATTCCTTCTTGCGCCTAGTTTGTTTTTATTCCTCCGGTCGAAAGCCGGCGCGGAAACATCATCAACTTGACACGTCCTAGTCTTCTTATAGTGTTTATCGTCCAATGACACCTTCGACGGATGTATCTACTGCGTTTGCCAAGATGAAATGCTGGAAGTGTGGTTTCACAACATAACCAATGACGTGATGCCTGGAGCCCAACTCGCTGCCCAAACCATCCTGTCGATCGGGGTCAGGTATACATTCGACTTAAATACATCTTAGGGTCCCGTGGTCCGTTTTCAATAAAGTAAACGCTTGCATATAGCGCCAACAATAGTTCTTTCCCCATGGCACAGTCAAGCCAGCAATCCATCATTGCCAACTTCCAAAAATGGTTTCCTAACGCTGTTAGTTATGCTTTTCTTTCACTTGAGCCCCTGGAGCTTGTACTTGTTACCACCTCACCTGAATACGCACAATGGCTGCAAACACAATGGCATAATCCCATATTCAGTCGCCCATATCTTCCAGATAATTCTGAGTATGTGAGGCTTCGGATGCCCCGAGGCTTATCACTTGTGCGGCGAAAACAAACAGACAACACCACAACTCTGGAGTTTGCCGATAGACATTGTGCAGCAGAGTTTTGCAGAGCTCTACAGATTCCCTATAACGGAAAGACGTGGGTTCATCTCGGACTCAGCTCACCAGTCCCTCAAATTGTAGCGCCCTTGAGTTATCGAGACGCTGCAGTTCGCGGGCTTGGCGTGCCACCCACGGATGGGGTCGGTGTTCCAGAACAGGTTTCTACAAGTCCATCATGCCGAATTGTAGATGCCTTCTTGTCACTTGAACCTTTAGAGGTCGTGCTTGTTGCCGATACTCGCTTATTCGGCGTACACCTGGTCGAAGTTTCCGGGATCCAAGACGCTCGAATCGATCCAAGGCCATCCAATTCGACTCGAGTCCGGTTGTGGGTACCAGGGGGCTTGAAATGCATACGCAGAAGCTCCAACAACAGCGGTAACACTTTCGAGTTCAAGAACGCCCGTACTGCTAAGGTCTTCTATGAGAGTCTCGCTGTGCAACAGGACCCACCAATTGTCCAACGCCAGGGAACAAAGGTGTATACTCTATGATGAATCCATCATGAGAGTTTTATACCACACAGGCGAAAGTGGGAGCAAACTGTCGAGTACCAAGTGTACTGGAACCGCCAAAAGTGATTCATACGTGGATGCTAGGTCGAGAAGAATCTGGAGTCACACCCCATACGACGCTTGTAGACTTTCTCTAGGAACTCTTTTCTAAAATCTAGAGATTTCACAGACACAAGCACTTGTTTGCGTCACTTTTCAAAGCTCACAGTGCCAGATTCAGATTATAAAGTATCATTTCCCCTTCCTCAATCTATATTTTCTGCACATAGTCACGTGAAGATATATGACGAGCCTTTTGAGGCAGAATATTCAAACCAACTCTGCCAATAAGGGATTACTTTGCAGCGTTTCTTTTGCAAGTAGCTCAAGCCTTCTTCCAATCCTTCCCCATTTCAGTCGCAGAAAGTACACTGACTGCGATCGAAGATATTAGAAGATGCTATACAAGGAGCGATTCGCCATTCAAATCAACCCCAGATCCACGTCCAGATCCCCGTTGTCGCCGTAACGCTCGGCACCGGAGGTCCGTTCCGTCCCCCGTAACCGCCCCACCCGGAATCCCACACCACCGGAAGACCCCGCCAAGCTCCAAAACGTGCGTAATCGCATGAAAGATCTCAATGTCACCTGGTATATTGTTGAAAACAAGATGAAATTACTCTTTGGTCTAGTTCACTACTTTAAGTTGATGTATTTTCATAGTTAAAGTGAACCACATCACTCAAACAGAAGGAAATTATCAAAGTATTCCGCACTTCTAATAGTTATGGCTCTTCTGATGCGCATGCACATTTTATATTATGCACACCTTGTTTGAGATAGGCGTAATCAAGCATAAGACTCCAAAAACGTCTTGAACCCGTCCAAAAATTGATCAACGTCCTCATCCGTATGCGCAAAGTTAAGCGCCAGGAAACCTCTTCGACCAATCCAAACCCCATCCTCGAGCAGGTGGAAAAACAGCACCTCCCGAAGAGAGTCGCCCTCGGGACCGGGGAAATATAGGCCCACGCAGCTTCCCACTCCTAAGCCGATGATTTTGACGTCTTTTCCGGACGCCTGCACTGCTGCGTTCACGCCGTCTCTGACCCTGTCGCCGAGCTTGTTGATTCTCTTAATGGCAGACTCAGTAACGAGCTTTCCGGCAACAACTGCGGCACTCATTGTCAAGACGTTGTTGTTGAAGGTGCCTGAGTGAGACAGCTTTACGGAAGCATCAGACTTGGAGTCGAACTGCGCCATGATGTCCCTTTTGCCGCCAAATGCGCCAAATGGCAGACCACCTCCAAGATACTTGCCCAGGGTTGTCAAGTCCGGTTGGATGTCGAGCTTACCCTGCATTCCGTGATAGTCGAGCCGCGAAGTCACAACTTCGTCGAAGATGAGAACTGCGCCTCGGACGCTAGCGGACTCGCGCAGGAACGTGAGGAATTCTTTCGACGCAGGGCGCATGCCGCCGGCCGACTGCATGGGCTCGATGATGATGACGCCAATCTCCTCGGTGAGTAACGGTTGCGTTTTCTCGATATCGTTGAAAGTTCCGACGACATAAGAATGGGGTATGTTCAAGAGATTGGGTCGGTCGCCAAAGCTCAGTGTACCGCCGTGATAGCCATGATCGAAGACAAGGACCTTCTGTCGACCCGAGTATACCAAGCCGGCCGCGATAGCGTAAATATTGGCTTCAGTGCCGGAGTTGCAGTAGCGAATCTGGTCGATGCTGGCAAAGCGTTGCTTAATGGACTCGCTGAGCTCGCTTTCGAGCTCCGTCACGGCGCCGAAACTAAGCCCATTTCTGGCGGCGTTGGTAATTGCCTCTTCAAGCTCTGGATTGGAGTGCCCAAACAGGCCAGCAGTGAAGTCCGACTGGAAGTCCGTGAAGGTCTTTCCATCGACAGATGTCAAGGTGGCACCCTTACCGGATTTGACCACGAGAGGAAACGGCTCGCAGTCCAACACTGAACGAGTGTTGCCTCCCGGTATACCGACTCGCGCCCGCTCGATTGCCTTCCGAGAACTTGGGTTGTTCTCGATAAACTTGGCAATGAGAGATTCAAGGTGGGATTGAAGTGCGTTTCCGTGATCCTCGCCGTCACCTTCAGCGTTGACATCAACCATGTGTCTCACCTCGGCGTAAATGGCCCTGCAGTTGTTTGATTTGATAAGAGACATCTTGGCACCGACTGGAATCCAAAGTAGGGAGCCAGGCTTGAGCGTGTATGTTTCCCCAGTCCATTCATTTTTGATGACCGCCTCGCCTAAAGAGTTCATAACCTCGTTAGCAAAGACGCACTTCCTACGGAGCATGGACTTTCCCGAGCAGCTCACCTCTGATGATGTATTTGACCTCGGTGGTTTCAGATACTCCTGAAGGAGTTTGTTCCTCGAAGTCATAGATATCCCAGACTCCGGCTGTTAGAGCGTGCTCTCCAGTTCTGCTGCGATTAGACCATTGGCCCTGTTAGAACACACTCCTCTTGAATGACTTCACATGACATAGATATTTAGAGATTTGCCTTACTTGGTACCGACAAAGTCGGAGTAGACTCCAGCACCGTCGTGATTCTCTGGGTCAATCTCGTTTGCATTTTGGACAACAACGATGTTGGGTGCCATTTTTGCGCTGATATTTTTTGACGAATATTGAAAGTGTAGATCGGGGTTGATGGCAGGATCCATGAAAAAGCACTCGGCTTTTGACCAGTTTTATCATGAGAAAAGCCAGGGGCTGCTTGGTATTGAGCGGCGACTTGCATTTATTTGCAATTCTTAGAGGAAATATCCAAAGTATCCACCCTGCTCTTTCGTTTCCCCCTTCTGTCCTTTCTCTCGAATATGATTGGTACACAGCAGTCTGCCCCGAATTTGCCGTCGGCTATTTTCGAGGTACTCAAACGGCATGTTAAGTGTGCCGCCTTCTTCAATCTTCTCATTTCGCATACCTTTTGAATAGGGATGAACTCGAAAGTCCATGCTGAGAGGAAGACCAAAAGAATCTCGGGGGCATAGTTTCGGAAGCCTGTCTTTCTAATTTTGGATTTTCTCTAATAGGTAGAAGATCAAACAAGGATGCTGAGATCGAAGTATCCTGGCTCACAAAGACGGCTTCTCGGGGAACAGACTTCCGCGAGAAGCTGGTGACATCTTTCACCTCGTCGTGGCACATGGTTGAGAATATTTACATGAGGTGGATGCGAGAAGTTCCATTCTGCGATCGCCGCCTCTGCTTCTAAACGAATAATGCCAGTCCCCGCGCCCTTCCACCGATAATGCATGAGCACTTGCGCAGAAACTTCCCTCTCCCCGGGCAGCCCATGAACAGCCCGGCTGTAGGAAACGGAGAGCAACTTTTCGACCTCATCGATGAGGCATGAATCATATCTTTTGCAGCGTTTCCGGATCTCCGAGAAAAGCCCGAGATGCGTCCAACTGCAGCCCGCCAGCTTTGGTGGCACGGGGACAGCTTCATGCAGGGGGGACAGTGCAGCTCCTCCTTGATCACTCCCTTGTCGGGACCCGAGAGAATAGCTCATGAGAGTAGCCGCCTGTACTACACAAGATAGTAGCAGGAAGTAGACAGTGGTCGGGCACAACATTCCGAGATGCTCTCCCAGGTTTTGTAGTATGGGGATGATCTGGGCAATTGGCGTGGCCACATCCATTAGCCTGGGAGTGCATGTACACTGATCCAGCAGCGACGCTAGCGGACTCTAGGCTCTAGTCACGAACTGAATAGTCGAGCACTCACCTCTCCAATTAACAGGGCATGATCTATAACATGGGGAAGAATATCATCTGTAAGAAGGTTGGGGTCAAAGAGAATGTTGAGTAAGTCCCGTTTCGTATCTGGAAAGCAAAGTTGGTATCAGTAACAAGTTGAGGTCGTATACCGGACCTTGACACAGAAGTAGAGGTACATGTACTGACAGAGTATAATGAAAAGACCATGCATCCAGATCATGGACTCGGCTTGATGGACATATTTGATGTTATCGAATCGAAGGAGAGTCACGGGAAAATCAAAGAAGAAGTCCTCTAGAAACGTGTACGCTTTACGCCAGGCTTGTGAGGCTTTGGGCGGCTCCTGGAGAACCAGACTAAAAGGACTTTGGTACGTTTTAGTACCAAGGTTATGGCTTCGCCTCTGCGAGTTGAACGGCACTGGGATTATACCTGCGAAAGGAGTGAAACAGCCCCCAATACGAGCATTGTGGGTAAGCCACCTCCTGGGATGGTGGCGCCAGTGCTAAACTGTTGTCAAAACAGAGCAATGATAGTGATCTTGAGCAAAACTGGACATTAGGCTCTGAAATTGGTACAACCTGGGGATCGCAGAGAGAGGAGGAGTGCGGGTAAAGAAGCATCCCGCATCCTCAGCGCGACGAACTTACAAGCCTTGCAGAGCCATTGCTGTCTTCAGTCTAACCGTTCAGCTAAGATTTAGTAGTTTTCTCTTCAATTTGATGCACTCTTACCTAAAATCCACAACCGCGCTTGAGTTTCGATCTAACTCTTCAACCATTAAACGAGCAATCTTATACCATCTCACGGACAAACCAATGAGATGATTGGTGAAACACCATGTCCAACTGAATAACAGCAAGATCGCAGCGTCAGTTGTCAGCGGCTGAGAATGCAAAGCCATATGTGGCAGTAACCCCAAGCTGGTCGCCCTCAGAGACTCCTTGGCTGGTTTGACAGTCTCCGACCGCCATTGCGAGAGGTCTTCTGAACAGAGCTCCAGCGCCACCGATACCATACTGCAGACCAATTGCGGGGTCCATTGATTTGTGAGGCGAGAGGTTTCGACTTGGGAACTCATCTCCGAGTTGAAATCCGACCTATCATGATCTTGAGGCGATTCTTCCAAAGACGATGATGCGGCGCCAAGAATAAAAGCGCCGTAGATACCCAAGCCGTCGCCGAGGGAGCAAAGCCGATGCAAGAGGTCGAGGGCCAGGCGAGGGTCGACGTCTTCTGCCGGGATATCTTGAAGGCAGCGAATCATGGCAGTGAGAGAAATTGCTCTGGTAGGCAGGTAGGAATCACTTGGCGACGCGTCTGTGTCCTCGGCGATTGTTGCCCAATCCGGATCTCTGAAGGGCTCATAATCTTCGGCTGGAGTTCGCGGCCGTCCAGCAGTCTGTGTCTGCTGTCTCTTTGGACGACCTCGTTGTCGGGCGGGTCGTTGTGTGGTACACTCCACTCCAAGACGGCTACATCGACTGCAGGGATTGATGAAATCGCATTGCGTCTTCTACGTTGATTTCCAAATTAGACTCGTTTCGAGACGGGAAATTTCCCGGCCTCCAGCAAAAATTCATGCAGTTTGCCGACGTGGATGAGGGAGAGGGCTTACCAGGCTGGAGCATCTATCACAAGCGCGCCGTCCTCTTGGCCTCCTCGGGAGAGACTGGGGTTCCGCCATGAGTAGAATTTGGCGACGGGAGAATAACGAGCCTGTCTGTGTGTTTGTAGAGGGAAAATGGCCGTCGTGTAATTATAAATATCCACAGATCTGGACACGGACAACCTACAATGAGTCAAGGCTGCTGGGGAACTGGAGGCGGGCGCAGTTCCACCGGGTCCCGCGGCATGCGTTGCCCCGAAGAATGCGTGCAATGGAAGATCATGGCCACAAACCGATGCTGCGGCAAAAGGGAGCACACTCTGACACTCAGTGTGAAGAACGAGAATAAGTATGCATTCTCTGTGCCTTTTCTCACCACGAGAAGGTTTACAGAATTTCGACTAATCATTTTTCAAACCTGATTTCGACATATTCATCGCTGTTGAGGCCTGGATTTCAACCTATTTCCAGAACTACGGTTTCTCAACTTATTCATAATTCCGAGAGTTGCACTTCAATATGGCGACTTGGGATGATCGAGTTCGGTATTTTGAACTGATGGACAAAGGGGACGACGGTTCCAACACCGGCATTGCCACCACAGCACCTTGCCCTGCCGACTATGAGGTGGGCAAAAGCTACTGGATTGAAGAGTATCCGATTGATTTTGATTGCCGCTCAGCTCCTCTTCCAGAGGAGGACGTTGATGTGGTTGTCATCGGCTCGGGTATCACCGCAGCAGCGGTTCTTCATAATCTTGCTGAAAAGAGGCACGATCTCAAAGTCGCTGTTGTTGAAGCTCGAGGAATATGCTCCGGTGCCACTGGCCGCAACGGGGGCCACTTGTGCCGTGCCGAGGGTACTGAGCTACGCAACCTCGTTGAGGAGCTGGGTTTCGAGGAGGCTGTACGCCTTTCGAACTTCGGCGTCCGAAACCGTGACTTGACGCTGAGCGCGATTGACAAGCTCGGAATCCAAGACAAGGTTGACCTGGAACTCACCGGTACACGAGTGGTCTTCGCATCCGAGGAAGAGAAGAAGACATATCTGGAAGAGCTCGATTTCGCTGAGACCCATGGCCTCAAATTCGAGGGTCACTATCTGAAGCCTGAGAAGCTTGTCGAGGTATGACATATTTCCCAACCACCCGCAACAGTTGTTGTAGTAGTTCTTGGTGATGCAAAAAAGCTGAGAAGCTGCACAGGAAAGCAACATCGCGCTTGAGATGGGCCAGTTTGGGGCAGCTTCACTTGACAAGTCGGGAACCATCTTTCCCCGCAAACTTGTTGCCGAGCTGCTGCGAGATGCCATAAGACGCATGCCGGGATTAACAATTCATCCCTACAATCCTGTGCGCTCAGTCGATAAGATATCCGTACAGACGAGCCACGGCTCGGCCCCTTCCTATACAACCACCACGGACAACGGCATCATCCGCAGCCGCGCGGTTGTCCACGCAACCAACGCTTATGCCAGCTATTTGATACCTTCTCTCAGAAACTCCAATGGCGTGGTCGGGTGCAAAGCCGAATGCATCGCGGTCAAACCAAACGTCGCCCCTAGCGGCTCAAGCAACCCGCATGGACTTCGCGGCGGACTGGGGTTCGACGAGTTCGGGCACTACATCATACAGCGTCCAAACAACGGCCCTTTCATCTACGGCTGGTCCACCTGCGAGAAGATTGGCGAATATGACGACAATACCCCGTTGTCGTGCGATGAGAATCAGAAGCCTGCCGGGCAGGACGTCATGACTGACCTCCTCGAAAAAGGGTTCCCCCACAGCTTTGGAGCAGTAGATCTACAACGCGACGTCAGCCACCGGTGGTCGGGCATCCAGGGTTTCACGAAGAGCGGAGCAAGTCTTGTTGGTCGGCCTTCTGAAGAAAGCCCAGGGGAGTTCATGTCGGTGGGCCACAACGGCGAAGGTATGGGCCGTTGCTTTGCATGCGCCACTGTCATGACGGATATGCTCGTCCACTACTTGGATGGCAAGAAACATGACACATGGTCACGCCCGGACTGGTTTCCCGAGTCTTTCTTGTACGGTTTCTAGACTTTTTCGCATTATTATAGCATGAAGCAAAAGATCTCCATCGTTGCTTCGCCATAACGACCAGGGGTGCGATTAAAGGAGTGATGCCTTTTTTATCAAATACGGGATCTGCTGAAAGCAGCCGGAACATTTCAATGTCGAAGACTATTTTCAAAGACTCCGTAATATGGCGGGTAGATTTTGTGTGAGCAATCGTTCATGTATCTCAACACTGCTGAATTTCATGTTCGGTTTTCTCTGTAGAGTCGTACATGTATCTCAACACGATGGCTTCACTTCACCCGAACGCGAAGCGCTGCTTCCCTCACAGGCTCATGTTGAACGACATGTCTTCTTTTCAATTTCTTTGCATAGTGCCCCTGAAAAACTGTCTATGCTACATGATTATCGTCTCTGCCAAGCGCCTTGTCAATCACTTTCATGGCCGCTAGGATGGTCTCCTCGCGATACCGAGGACCGAGGACTTGAAGGCATATAGCCCCATTTTCGTATGCTTTTGGTGAGTCTTCAATTAAGAAAGTAAGCCGTGGTCAGTTGATATAAGGTTGAAAGACTCACATTTATCGTGGTTTTCTTGGTCCTCCTTCGACATTGGCTGGAAACCTGTCCCATGACCTGGCATCCCGTCCACTTGCGGGTCGACGTTGCCCACGGGGATCGTGGCGCATGGCCAGTCGAGAATGTTTGAAATACACTCATAGAGGAAATACGACATTGTGCCATGAGGAGGGGCCACATGTCCTCCCGAAGGCAGAATGCATACGTCGATTGGCCGACCCGTCCCAGATATCGTCCTGGTAGCCTCCCATCTTTCGAGAAACGCCTGGCGAATCTTATTCAGCTTCTTGCCCAGAGCACTCAAATCAGCTGCGGACAAAGCCATCGAAGGATCCGGAATCACGATCTCTTTGATCGGGGGTTCCGGCAATACTGCCAGCATTCCACGCAACGCTTCACCGCCGTCGGCACAGAACAGTCTCGCGGCCGTATCCCAGAGATCATCAGATGCCTTCAGCAGGTCCACGTCAACGACACAATGACCTGCTCGTTCTAGTGAGGCTCGCACCTCTTCCAAGCCTCGCTGTATCGGCCGATGTGGACGCACGACTCCATCGTGCGACAGAATTCCAAAGCAAAGCTTTCGGTCCTTTACTTCCCCATAAGACGCGTTATCCCAAGGCTTCTCGATACAAGTTGCGTCCCATTCCCAAGGTTTGAGACATAGGACTGTCTTCATATACACTTCAAGGCCATCGACGGAGCTGCTGATTGGTCCCGCGACGCCGGTGATGTAGTCAATTGGCGAGTTTGACGCGGAGTGACAGGGCAAGCGGCCTGAAGTCGGACAAAGACCGTAAACGCCATTGAAGTTAGCTGGCGTACGGATCGATCCCGCAATATCTGTGCCGATGCCCAGAGGGCTGCCCTTGAGAGCGATGAGGGTGCCCTCCCCGCCACTCGATCCGCCAGCAGAGAGACTGCGGTTGTCTGGGGTACTAGTCCGGCCGTACAACAAATTGTGGCACTCGCCGGACATGAGGGATTGGGGGACATTGGTTTTGCAGTAGAAGACCGCGCCGGCCTCTCGAAGGCGAGCGACCAAATCATCCGATTGCAACTGGATGTTGTCTGCGAGAGCGACAAAGCCAAGCGTGGTTGCATGGCCTTCGAGATTCATGACATCCTTCAGACTCAGAGGAAGGCCATGGAGGGGCCCTACTGTTTTGCCAGTCTTCTGGAGCCAGGAATCGAGCTCGCGGGCCCGAGCAAGGCCCTTTTCGAAGAAGACGTCCGTAATGGGATTCGTCAAGTGGTGTGCGATTATCGCGCGGACGATGAAAGCTACTAGCACCTCTTCGGCGGTCCATGTTCCATTAGCCATCTCATTCAGGAGGTGGCTCGGAACGGAATTGGTGATCTTCATCTGCTTTTCATTGAGGTGGCCACTCTGCACAGCCCAGTCTCTGACCGAGACTGCGTCAACCGGCGGAAGACTTGGAGTTGAAGACCCGAGAAGTTGCTTCGACCATCGTGATATCGCCGAATCACGCTCAAGCTGCCTCAGGGTAGCGATCTTCTGCCAGGCTTCGGTCTCTTGGGCCGATGTCATAATGATTCGCAATTGAGATTGGGGTGAAAGTCGCCGTCTGAGACTGTAGGAAAGTAGAGTGGCGGAACTTGAGAGATGACGACGTTGGTCACGATAAACTGGCAAAAGCCGCGGCATGAAGTCGAGTAATCGGTCTCAGCTCTTTTAAGCCTCCACTCGGTTGTCGGAATCTGTTTCCAAACATTGTGCTTTTTGGCAATCCACCAACTCTGCGTCCATAGCCCGCCTGTTCCTACCGTGTCCATTTATTCGTACTTGTCTTGAAATTCCCCGACGGTCAAATACGTGTCCTACAGGGGTGCGGTTGCAATGCCCCCCTCCCAAACCAAGCAAGATCAGCGATTAGACGAAAAGCTGCGCCCCGGTTAGGTTTCACTGTTGCAGTGTTTGATTCTTGTCTAAGGTATCATCCAGTGCTTGATGTACCGCTGACTGGGCTAGCACTAAATCAACGACTTCACCTCAGCCATATACATCTTGCAGACGACAACAACTATATCATGCTGAGCACTAGATTACTGATTTCATCATTATCGCACCACTCTTTTGCAATATCGACAGACTTTTCCCAAAAACCGCAACGAACATGGCATCGGCTGGCACAAATACCACGAGTTCTTACAAGGCGGAGCCGTCTATTAGGAAGCATGGTTCGGTCAACGACGTGCCAACGGAAGAGTTAGGCCAAAGTGTGACTATTGACACCAACGGTCAAGACTTGATTGAGAATGGAACTATCACTGCCCTTGGATATCAGCCCGCCTATCGTCGAGTGCTGGGTGCATTCGCCGGCTTCTGCGTGGTCCTGTCACTTACATCGTGAGTCGAGATAACCTATACTCTACATGGACTGAACGAAACATGTCGACTTACCTACTTTTCTAGACCTTTGGGGGCCATCCTCGTTTCTGGGCATTATCCGATCTATTATGCTGGTTATTGGGGTCTTTCATGGTAAGTGGTTGAGCCTTTCTCCCCGCTCGTTCTGATTAAGTTACGGTCCAAAATCTGACCAGGTCTACATGACCAGGGGTTGGATTCTTCCCAACCTCATGATGCTGCCTCAAGTCCTCGCCATCTGTGAGCTCTGTTCGTCCATGCCCGTCAATGCAGGATCCTACTGGTGGGCTGCGGCTCTGGCCCCGGCACGATTCTCACGACCGGTTGCGTTCATCACCGGGTGGTTCAACATCTTGGCGCTGTCGACAGCGTTGGCTGCCTTCTCCTTCGCCGTTGCGTCCGGTCTCGCCCAAAACATCATGACATTCACCGACGGTCTCGTCCTCGGCAATGCGCACATTATGGGTTTTGCCATGGCAACCATCACAATCTGGGCTGTCCTCATGCTCCTTCGACTGGAAAACGTCAGCATCCTCATGATGGTCACAGGTAAGTCTCTGTAGCCCTTCTACGCCGTCCAGGAACACATCGCCATCGTCATTTTCGTAGGTAAGCAATCGCTGATCAGACTTCTTCTCCGCCTAGGCACATTCCTTGCAGTATCTTCGGTTGCCGTCATAATCGCCTTGCCCGTAGTCCATTCCCAAGCTGGGCTGCCCTTCGCAGCTGCGAGAGATGTCTTTGGCAGTTACAAAAACTACTCACCTTGGTCGGAAGCGGGAATCGCCGTGCCTATATCCTTCTATGGCGCGCTGTTCGTCAATTCCGTCTGGACGGCCCCTGCCTATGTCGCAGAAGAGACACACAATGCCCGTGTCGAGACGCCACGGGCGATGCTCAACTCCTACATTGTTACGGCTGTGGTCGGCTGGGGCATTTGTCTTGCATTCGCCTTCTGCATCAGCGATATGGATACGCTTGTGCGAACCAACATGTAAGCATCTTCTACCACTTGTTCTTCGTCTTCTCCTCTTCCTCGTCCCGCCTTCCATCCCCTATGCTCTGTGTCCACGAGCGACTGCGAAGCTACTCGTCCGTACCTGTATTATAACGTCAAAGACTGACGAGACATTTCTACAACTAGTGATTTCCCCCTTTTCGAGGTGGTGTTTCGAGCCTGGGGCAAGTCAACCGCGGCGCCATTTCTGCTCATCGGTGCCATTTTCTCACTCGTCGGCAGTAGCGGCATGCTCCTGACCTACGCCACGCAAGTCGCTGCTTTTGCTCGTGACGAAGGTCTTCCTTACAGCAAAGAGCTATGCAGCATTCACGAGCGCACCAACATGCCTCTGAATGCCGTGGCTCTGCTCGTCGGCCTCTCGTACCTGTTCCTTTTGCCAGCACTGTCCACGAACGCCAGCGACATCATATATGCGATGGCGACGATGTGCAGCATGATCATTTTATGCATCCCACTCCTCCTCCGTCTCTTTGCGGGAGATCGATGGATTCCTGGTCCTTTCAACTTGGGCCGCTGGAGCAAGCCCGCGCATTTCCTGGGCGTGTTGTTTTCTCTCTTTTTCTTCATTACGCGCTGCTTTCCTCCCGACCCAGAGACCCCCCCTGCTCAAGCGATCGTCTTGGTGGCTGTAGTAACTGTAGCCATTGGAAGTTGGTTCATCCGCGGCAAGAACTTCAAAGGACTGGATCTAGGCGCTCTCGAAGCCTGGAGATACGCTGCTCATCACACTGGAGCAGGATCAGACTGAATGGACGCCGCACAATGAGGTATGGGGTGCTACTCTGGACCTACCAGTTCGGTGATGAGTCAATGTTCTTTGCAGGCAACGGAAGCATGTGTCATGGGGTTTATCCGCAAGGGAACATGGAGATCAGGCTATTTGGCAGGGCATTGGGAACGCGGCTACAGTTGACGTATATGTATGCAGGTATGCATGGATATATATACTGATCAATAACATGAAATCATTATTTCCAGTAGACTTACCATGCACCCTACTGACTCTGTTTTCACATTGTAAAGCGTAAAAGCTCTCCTCGCTCAGGTGTGGGCTATAGCTTGTATGGTGGATTGCCCCAAGATCATCTTGTCGAAGTTTCCACATCTCTAGGCTATGCATAGGAACGACTCACACAAGACTGAGAACGTGAATCCCTACCTTATGTGAGAAACTTCTCCGCATGTATTGCCATAACCGTACGAAGACAAAAGAGGGATCCTGGCTGGTGCCCCGAATTCTGATCATATTGCTATCCTATCTAAGTGAAGCGAGCATTTGTGCCACAGCTGCGATGTTGTCGGGGGAGAATCGCTCTTCGTTGACGACGTATGCCGCCGGTAACAACCCTGTGATGTCCAGCCCAAGAGCCATCTTGGCGGCCGCCTCACCCACCAACCAACAGTAGGGCATGCCGTAGCCTGCAAATCCCGCCGCTATCCACTCATCCTCACCTCCCCGATCGGTGACGGAGGCCGGGAGCTGGCCGACAAAGGGCGCTCCGTCTGCCGTGAAGCCCATGATGCCACTCCAAGCGCTTACCAACTGATCCTTCTTCACGTCTTTGTAGTCGAAAAACTTCGGGAGGATGTTCTGCAGGTGCTCCAGAGTGTGGGGGCTGACCGACGAGTCATCCGCTGTCAGAGACTCATCGGCGGTGCCCTTCTCGCCGCCGAAGAAGAAGTAGCCTGTCTTGGCGTTCTGAGTGAGATACCAGAGGCCGTCTGCCAGTGTCTCTGTCTTCTCGTCATAGTATGGCTCGTAATGAAAGCCGAAAGACTCCGACGCGCCCCTGTTGCGCACGTTTGGCCCCAGGTCTTGCACGCTCATGGTTCCGCGAACCGGGAAAATTGCCCCTCGTAGCTTGGGCAGCAGGTAGCCACTGTAGCCATTGGTGCAATACATGACTTTGCGTACTGATGTTCTCCCGCGGGGCGAATTCAGCACGTATCTGCCGTCCGCACGCTCTACTGAGGTGATGGGAGTGTTGGTTTCGATGGTGAGGCGATCAGCGTACTTGTCAAGTAGGCCTTGAAAGACGCCGCTAACTACACGATACGGCCACAGAGCACCAGCAGGAAGCGTCACCCCGCCGACTGCGCCATGCACGCCGTGAACCTATGTGTGATACGTGTGAGCTTCTGTAAATGCCGAGGGAGTCATCAATCACATAAGATACTTCTTGGGCGTACCTTGAGCAGAGTGTCGGCGTCGATGATTTTGTAAATCCCGCGGAGACTGGGATGGTCGGCTTCCATCTGCTGGATGCTATCTTTCATCTTGGCAAAAGAAGCCTCGTCCAGAAAAGCCCGGACTTTGGTCAAATCCCGATACTCTCCTTCGACAGGGGCGTACTCTTGGACAATCTCGCGCATCCGGTCGCAGGTTTTGAACGTGAAGGTGGCAATGTCACCAGCCATGTCGCTTCCAAAACGCTCCTTCAGCTCAGAGTACACCTCTCCGGCATTGGTGGCCAATTGGCCGCCGTTGCGGCCGGTTGCCCCTGAGCAGAGAGTTCGTGCCTCAAAGACAGTGACTCTGGCGCTGGGATCTTTATCCAGCAGTGTCTTGGTCACACTCGCGCCAGTGATGCCGGAGCCGATGACAGCAATGTCGACCTCGGCCGGTAGCTGTGGTGATTGAACATTGGAGAGAATGTGAGGAACATGCTGCCAGTAGGATGGCGTCGGGTTTTGGACAGGTAAGCCCGGGTCGCGGGTGATGTACGACTCGACCACCTGCGCTGTCATGTGGGATAAGAGGGTTAGTGGTTGAAACGGCACAATACGGTTTGTAGCTCATTATTCCAACATACCATAGCCATTTGCCGCCATCTTTGGTGTTCTGTTCAACGATCTGTGATATACGAATTTACAATTCCTGAGGTCACGAGAACGACTTCTGTGATCTTTCTGCAGTTGTCCTAGAGCGCAATATACATGATTCGCAGCTATCTGACGGCTCCTTCGCGAATCATATCGCGGTGACTTATACGACTTGGGCAGCGTAAAGTCCAAACAACATCGAATGGCAACGCATCCGCTGGGTACCGACGTTCGCTGTCCGCGGGCAAGAATGAGAGGTCGGCAACAACTGATAAGTCCGCCAAGACCCATATTGCAACTCACGATATGCACGCCATATTCGGGCAGTTGTACATCAGCATCGTGATGAGAACTGCCGCTATGACTGCTCAAGACTCAAAGAAAGCGCGATGGTGGAGCTGGCCGGGTGGCGGTGCGACAAGCCCAGGTAAATGACCGTCGGCCAATTCCTACATCAGTGGGTCGAGCATGGATCTGCAGCCTGTGCTCCAGCTCGCCTTGTCATTTAACAGACACAGCAGACAATAACAGGTGGCCGCGTCAACCTAAGACCTGGGCATTTGGCACAGTTCAGGCGCCAAAGCGGGACTTCAATCGCTCGTTGCCCTCGGGGAGCGGTTGAACGGGTACTGCGGGATCCGGCTCGTGGCAAGTTGGTTCCTTTCTTGCTAGCCATGTGCCAGCTTGGCCCTTCAGCTATTTTCACATCATTTGAGAGAACAGGTCGCAAGTCGTTGCACGTACTATGGACGTCGCTTGATACACCTCCGATTGAATGTTAACAAAATCTAGGGCAATGGGGTTAAAATTCAATTTCTACAAGTTTCCCCCGTACGATGGGCAAAGCGGGCTCTAACATGCTGCTCTCTTGTACATCAATGAAGCCACCTAGATGAAGTAACCTACGGAATGCTCACAAGAGCATGCTGCTCAATAGGCTCTGAGGAATACTCTTTGAGGGTTATCAGAGGATCTCACTGAATGGAAGGATCTGGTGCTGGCAGATTTGTGACGGAGAAAGTTTGCATTCAATAGTGATCTAGAACTCAAATCATTCAGTCTTCTACAACCAAGCGTAAGCACACACATATCAAGAAGCCAACCACCAATAGACCGATTGAAACGGAAACCCAAATATTCTTCGCTCAATTGAAAACGTCCGTAGTGAACCGCTCCTCACGCTGTTGCTCGAATGATCTCAGAGCCTCCTCGTCGGATAGGTACTGTCCCTGCCTCCTGCTCGTGTCTTGTGTGACCTTGACCATGATAGCTTGGGCACTGTCGGCGATCTTGTTGGAGCCACAGACGTAGATGCGTGCGTCTTTGCTCCACAACTGACCAACGAGCTCCCTCTCATGCCAAAGGCGGTTTTGGACGTGGCTGCAACCAGCGGAGAGTTCTTTCTTTTGGCTGTAAGCTCTGTAGACGGTCACCACACCAAGGCGTTCCCAATTGTCGAACTCCTCGCGGTAGAGATCGTCGGAGTCAGGATGGCGACATCCAAAGAAGAGCATGGCGGGAGCGATCTTCCGTCCGTTCTCAACGCAGACAGCACGCTCCTGCATGAATGCTCGGAACGGAGCGATTCCCGTGCCGGCCGCAATCAGGATCAGAGGAACCGCGTCTGCATTGAGCGGCATGTGGAATTTGATGGTAGGGCGTACCGAGACCTGGATCTTGTTGCCGGCAGTGAGTGAAGAAAGGTAGTTGGACGCCACCCCCTTGAACTGGCCGACACCAGACATGGCTGGCTCGTTGATGATGTCGTATGTCAGTGTCGCCTTGCCATGGGCGAACAGGGGAGACGAGGAGATCGAGCTGCGAGGGCACTTGTTAGACAATGACGAGAAACAAGGCAAACGCCGGAAAACTGTGAGCACATACTATTGACGCATTGCCATGGGAGGCAGAAGGGAGAGGAAGTGTTGAAACGGCAGCCGAAGCATCGGATAGGTTTCAACGACGTCAAGAATCGACATGTGTTTGGCTCGTACCAGCTCTTGAAAGCCATCGCCGCTCATACGGGCCAGCTCGTTTTTGACCATTCCGTCGTTTGCGTGCTGAGCCAGCAATGCGATGTCCTAAGAGAGTTAACCTATTGACCTGCACGATCTAGCACCTTCAAAAACTCACCCGTTTGGTGGCCGTCTGGCCGAGCTCTACGTAGCTGTCCAGGATGTGTGAGACGGGGACGCTGACGTCGACCGGGAGCATTGTTGGGCCAGTTGATTTGATTAAGACCTGAGCATCCCACGCCAAGTTGAACCGCCTCATGACGCGGTCGATGGAGGATCTGGGATTGCAGGGGAGGACGGCCAAGTAGTCGCCTGCTCTGTAAGTCATTCCTGTTGGCAGCTGAACCTCAATATGTCGTTTTCGTTCGCCATCGGGTCCTCTGCCCAGAGCTCGCGCCTCGGTAACCAAGGCCTCGCTGACGGCCTGTCGGAGATTGAGCACTCGTGGGTTTGACAATGCTATCTGCAACGCAATCGCCGCATGTTCGTCGCGTGTGCCACCGCCAAAGCGGTTGACGATCGATGGCCACAGGAAGGAGTCTTCCCATGCTTCAAAGTCAGAGAACGTATCCCGGTCCTTGACGTTGGTGGTCCCGATAGGTGTCAGCCGCTCAGCACCAAACCTCTGGAGCGCGTCGTCGACCAGCTTTGGAATCCTCTGGTAGGTTTGAACCCAATCGGTATGTCCTGAAATTCATGTTAGTAGAATGTTTCAATCCGGGGGGTCGAGATGAGAAGAACTGACCACAACCATAAACGGCGTAGGAGACGTTCTTCAATTCGGACCCGTTGAGGTTCTCGAGCCACTGCACAAAGTGCCTGGCATTCTGAGGTGGTTCTCCCTCATATGAAGACGTGATGATCACGACGGGAATGCCAGTTGGCAAAGCCTGTCGAGCGGCGTCGAGCTGATCAATGCTTGCCCGATAACCATGATGGCTAGCGTTCGAAGCGACCTTGTGTGCCATGTATTCGCAAGTGCCGGCATTCGAACCGTAATAGATCGCCATCCTGCGTTCTGCGCTCGAGTCATCGGCGTGCTGGATAGATCCGTTGGTCGCAATCGCAGCCCCCGAACCAGCATCAGGAGAGGTCTTGACGTACGCCCCTGCCAAGCGGGCTTCCAGTTGCAAGGGCGTCATCCCGTTTCGAAGGACGGCCCTGACATAGAAGTCCTTGGGTCTGATTGTGAGGCTCTCTTTCGTCTTGAGTGTGTATGAAGGGTCGTCCATCATGAAATTGAAGTTCAACAGGAGCGTCGCACATGTTATCATCATTTCTTGCCAGGCAAAAGGACGGCCGATACAGCCGCGCATGCCCGTGCCGAAGGGGCTCCAGCTGTGCGGGAACTCCTCTTGGGTGCGGGTGAACTCCTCGTCCAGCATCCGCTCTGGTCTGAAGTCTTCCGCTGTCGGCCCAAAAACGTGCGAGTCGCGGTGGGACTTTGACAGCAGACAGACCAGCACTTCGTTGGCCTTGACGGCATAGTGTTTGCCGACAACTTCGTCCTTGAGCGCTTGTCTGGCAAACATGGGGATTGGAGAGCTAAGCCGCAACGTCTCTCTGATGACCTTTGATCAATCAGTCAACCGAAAAGAAGTTCCGGGCACCTCTGAGAGCGACGGGTTACTCACTGCGTTCAGGTACTTGAGCTTCGAGATGTGGTCAAGCTTAAGAGCATTGTTACCGACGACAGTGTCGAGCTCTTCTTGGGCTTTTCGATAGGCCTCAGGGTGAGCTAGAAGATTATGGATGACGAATTGTAGGGTTGATGCTGTTGTCTCATGACCTGCAACGAGGAAGGTGATGAGATTGTCGATGATGCTCTCGTTAGTCATTGAGCGTCCTGTTTTCTGGTCGACACCTCTCATCATCGCTGTCAGTAGGTCGTTTCTGCCGCCAGCTGCATCCTCTTTCTCTGTCTTCCGGGCGTCCAAAACCTGCTGGGCCGTTGAACGTAGCAGCTTGACGTTGGCCGCAAACTTCTTGTCTTCCGATCGATAAAAGACGGAAGGGAGGAATCGCGTTGTCTTGTTGCTTGCTGTGACAAGCGTTTCGTACATGGCGCGGATCATCGGATGAAGCTCTTCGCTGTAGTAAGAGTTGAAGCGGAATCCCATCGAGCACAGGGCGACCGTGTCTAACGCAAGACGGGTGAAGTCCTCGCCGATATCAAGCTTCTGAGACTGGCCGTGGCGAGCCCATTTGAGGGCTAACTGACTGCTGATCTCGTGCATCTCATCGAACATGTTCCGGATAGAGATGGGGCCGAATGCCGACATTAGAACACGGCGTGCGACTCCCCAGTTGACTTCCTCTTCTCCTTTGGACTGCCTTGAGTGATTAGATTGTCATTTTCGCAACGAGGAGCAAGAAGATATTTCTATTACCGTGAAGAGACCATCATTCACAACTGTTCTCAGTTCCTACTCACGTTGCGTCAGGAAACATATAACTCTGCCAATGAAAATATGCATGTACCAACCTGCAGCTCACCATCGATAGACTTCTTGAACCGTTTGTCGTCGCAGATCTCGTTGATCATCTCCCAGGATGAGAGCACGATAAAGCTCTCACCTGCAACGGTCAACTTGTAAATTGGCCCTAGCTTTTTGGCGAGGGTGACCATAGACCCCGTGAAGTCATCCGAGTCGAGGTCCTTGAGGTTGCCTATGATAGGCATTGTCGCCGGTTGCGGTATGGGCTTCAATTGATTCACCATGATGAAATTGCTGATAACGAATCCCAATGATCAAATGTTTGCTCAGAGAGAGGGAAAAGGACCGAGGGGTGTAAGTGAGAGAGTAAGAGACTGTATGTTTAGGTATGAAGTACTATCACGATGAGGAACATTTGGTTCTATTTTTTTCTGCTATTTTTCTCGGCATCTAATGCCAGTTTTGTTATGAGGGGCAGTATTACTGAAGCTCTTAGCCTTAGTTTACTGTTCTCAGTCCGTGTAGACTGAATTGACCAATGTGCCATTGTGCTATTCGTTATCGTTTCACGTCTGGATGGGCGCAGTTGGAAAATCACCGCCGGCGATTTCCAAGTGTACGGCTCCACAGACCAATGGCAACAATACGCCCGTGGATCCACGTCAAATCTCCAGGTTTCTCGCCCGCGGGACCCGAGAGCTGCAGTCGCCGAGTACCACTCTTTATTGGTAAACCAGAGGTAACCAGGAGCAGAGGCTCACTGTTAGCAACTTGCCTCCAGAGACCGACTAAGAGATTGAATGACTAGATTCTCCAACTCATCTCATGGCGAGCGATGCGTAGTCCTAATTCAACCGCGCATCGGGCTTTCAAGCCCACTGCCCACAACCATATAAACTGACCATTCGGCATCCGGCTTCGGTTGTTTTGCATCCACTGATCACATCTCCGGTTCGTTCTTGCAATCCTGGGTCTTGGGTCAGCAGCAGTAGCAGCCATGTCCAACCCAATCACGCCCGAGGAGTTCAAGAAGGTCTACGGGACTCTGCGTGAGACCTTTGCCACCGGTAAAACCAAATCAATCAAGTGGCGCAAGTGGCGCAAGTGGCAGCTCAAGCAGCTGTACTGGCTTCTCGACGAAAACGAAGATGCATTCATCGAGAGTCTCACCAAAGACCTGCACCGCAGCGCCTTTGAGTCGCTTCTCACCGACATCAACGACGCCAAGAATGCCATCTTGGAAGCTGTCAGCGACGTCGAGACGTGGGCACAAGGAACGGCACCGCCCAAGGCCGGTATCGTCTACGGTTACTTCGGCAAGGCGTGGGTTCGCAAGGAGCCGCGTGGCCTCGTTCTCATCATCGGGGCCTGGAACTTCCCCATATCGACGCTCATCAATGTTGTCGTGCCCGCGATTGCTGCCGGCAATGCCGTCATCATGAAGCCGTCGGAGATGGCTTCGCACACCGAGCAACTTCTCGGCCGGTTGGTGCCCGCCTACATGGACACAAGCGCCATCGCGCTCGTCCAGGCGAACCCGGAGGCAATGTCTTTCGTCCTGGACCACAAGTTCGACTTCATCTTCTACACTGGAAGCACGCGTGTCGGCCGCATCATCGCATCCGCCGCGGCAAAATACGTGACCCCAACAGCCCTAGAGCTCGGTGGCCAGGCGCCCGGCATTGTCACGAAGCACGCTGACGTCGACCTCGCCGCCAAGAGAATCATCAACGCCAAATTGTCGAACCTGGGTCAGATCTGCATCTGCGTCAATCACGTCTTCGCGGACCCCGAAATCCATGACAAGCTCGTGGAGCGCCTCCAGTACTGGGCAAACAAGTTGCTCGAATCCGGGACGGAAACGCTCTGTCGCATCATTAGCGAAAGGCACTTCGACAGGCTGCATGCTCTGCTGGAGAAGACCGAAGGCAAAGTCGTCTTTAGCGGAGACCATTTTCGGGAACAGAAGCTCGTATATCCCACCATCGTCACTAATGTCTCCATGTCCGACAGCTTGCTCTCGGAGGAGCTATTCGGACCCGTTCTGCCCGTCATCAAGGCAGGCTCAGAGGCTGCCCTGGAGGCAATCAACCGCGGGGCACACCCGTTGGCTTTGTACATCTTCTCACAAAAGCAGTCTGAGATTGACCACATTGTGAATTCGACACAGTCTGGCGGTGTTACCATCAACGACGTTGGGCTCCACGCGGACGTACATTCGGCACCTTTTGGTGGGGTCGGCGACTCTGGGTACGGTAACTATCACGGTCAATGGGGGTTTGAGACGTTTAGTCACAGCCGGAGTATCGTCACTGTACCTGCGTGGATCGAGAGGTTCACGACTTGGCGTTATCCTCCGTTTGACACGGCCAATCGATCATCCATCGACCCTGGCAAGCCGCCTTTCAAGAAGGGCGAGACAATGGAGGAGCAGCGGGTTGGCCGTTCTCTCTTGAGCAACATACCTGTTCTGGGAAGCCTGTTTTGATAATGATGCATACTCAGATCTTGCAATTTAGAAATGCTCTCAACATAATTGGAATTCTTTAATCGCCATCCTACATGCATGACTCTCTTTCCGTGGCACATATAATTAAGCCCGGGCCAGTGCAGATTATCAAGAAGTGGGCCAATTACTGAGTACAGGAGTCTGCTTACATGACTCTCGAGGTGGGTTTCCTGGCCCCCGCCTGCTCAGTAGGCAGGGGAGTTCTCTTCCCAACTCCCGTGTTTCTTCCAATTACATGCCCACCTAAATTACTACTAACCAACAACTACCTTGCTCTGAAGATAGCTTTAGGGGTGCATGGGATGAGAGACGCCATGAGCTTGCATAGATTGAACGTAACTTTTGCCGGGGAAGAGAACCAAGCGATTCGGTACCGTAAGTCTCTTCACACCCACCCAGAGCAGTCGACATCGGCAGACATCTTACTGAACAGGATCGCGATGCAGTCATCAGAACTTCCCGTCTGAGGTTTACAGCGATAAACGACTCCAGAGATCCCTTCTTGAACGAACTGCTCCCGCTGGCAAGCCGATTCCCCGCGATAAAGAATGCGCTGCTTGCTCTGGCCAACATGCTTCGGTGCACGCCAACGCGATCTCGTGGGGGGCCGGCCTCCCCAGCCGTCGCTTTGGACAGTTATCAAAAGGCCCTGGGGACGCTCCAGGAGAAGATCGCGTCCCTGGATGTGCTCGCCGCTTCGAACGACGACGTGGTCGAGGTTTTGGGCGCAGCTCTCATCCTGACCCTCGCCGGGTTCCCGAGGACCGGCCAAGATAGCACGGCCTGGTCTCATCACATAGCCGGGCTTGTCACACTGATCCAGTTACTCGACCTCGGCACTATCATCGCCGACCCCCTAGGAAACATCCTCAGGGAGAGCGTTGCCTATTTTGATATTACGGCGTTTTCGCTTGGCCGGCCGCTGCGCGCCCGGAACGCGTGGCTGCGCTGGGAGATACACCCACCCGAAGCAGTGCCGGCCGATGACTTTGGGAACTTGGAAGTGGCCGTAGGCTACCCGAAATCTTTATTAACCATCATTGCGGTTGTTTCGTCTTTCTTGGACAATCCTGAACAAGATACGGCACTCGATCTGACCGGGCTGGTCGAGAGGCTGTATACCCACGCAACTGCGGATAGCCTGGCGTATCCCACGTCAACATGCACTTCCGAGCCAGACTTAGACTGCAACCATAGCCTTCCACCCGATACGTTTCACAAGATCGAGACGGCGCTTCTTCTGTGGCAACCCCCGACCCCGCCGAAAAGGCTCTCGAGTGCCGTCTCTGTAGCCCTGACTGGGGCGTGGGAAATCATGCGGAAAGCGACGCTCCTCTATCTCTGGCGCGGGAGCTTCACTATGGACGTGCTCCGCCCGCTGCCCGTTCGGAGGGCGGCCCTCACGGCGAGATATGTACGCGAGATGCTGTTCGGTCTCCGCACGCTCCTAGCGTACCTCGAGAGCGACGGCATCACAATCATGAACGTCATGACATGGCCTCTGGCTGTGATTGGTAACGAGTGTGGCGGCGATCGGCAGACGCAACGGAAGGTACTCAATCTGATAGACACCATGACGACCAGGTTCGGAATCCAGCATTTGGAATACGTTTCCGCTATTCTGCAAGAGCTCTGGAGGAGATTTGAGGACCAAACTGAGCCTTCTATACCTCTTTGTCTAGAGAGTCTGAGCAAGGATATGGGTATTTGTGTGCCATTGTTTTAATAGTTTCCAGTCCTTGGTATATAAGTTTGATTTAGCAGGGTGCTTTAACCTGGCAACATCCGCCTTAAATCTCTCCATTCTACGGGATGAAACCACAGATCACCGAGCTAAAGCATTCCGGAAAATCTCATCGCATCTTTCAATCGAAGGGATAACAACAATCCAAATACAAGTCAGTCAGGAAGACGGCACTCCGACAGCAAGCTTTGATCTCCATTCGTCTTTGCCTAGCAGCACACTTACTGTCACAGGACTACCCCGGACCAATGACCTCAAACACACACAAAGAGAAACAGAAACAAAGAGCACGTCGCAATCCGAACCGATCCCAAATCTACGTCTCCGTCGCCTCGGCGCCGGAGGTCCGTCCCGCGCCCCCGCAACCGCCCCACCCGCAATCCCACCCCCACCGGCGCAAGGCCCCGCCAAGCGCCGAAACGTGCCTAATCGCATCGACGATCTCGATGGCACCTAGTATAGGCACTGAGCCAAAAACACTCCGAAACTCTCCAAAACCCCGGGTCTCGCATTCCCAAGAAGATGACGAAATTTACTCGAAGTCATGTGAAAAATGTAGCGCCGGGTCGGACTTCAGATGACCAACGAAACCTCGTATTCCGCTCAAAAACAAGGAGGGAAAAAAGCCCAGATCGCAAGCGTGACTTCCGCCGGAGCCGGGTCCTCGGGCGAGTCGGTCTGGCCAGCCAACCCCGGGAAGTGGGAGCGCCGCCCCGACCTGCAAGCTGAGGTCATACAGGACTAGTAGTCAATACTGCACATTCGCTGCTTCACGGCACTGGGCGATGGTGCGCCTCAATTCTCCGTAAGGTAGTAAGCCGGGCACTCAGATCAAGGGCTGAGGGGCTCTATTGCTCCACCCCCGTCTTCCGGTCTTACTCAGACCCAGTACCATGTCACCATCTCTCAACCAACAGACCAGGCATCCCAATCTCACTGCATGCATGGCACATCGAATGACACTTCTCATCGCGAACAAGATTCCTTGGAAATTTGTCAAATTATTTTACCCAACACCGAAAACCCAATGAGAAACTCCATCCCTCTATGCAGTGCACTCGCCCCGAAAACCTATCATGAAAGGTATCAAGCCCACCCAAAGAAAACTCCAGCTCATGCGTGCATACAAACTATTACTTGTGGCTTGCTGAGAACAAGCCGGATTGAAAATGTACGATACCCAGGCGCCCAATAGTATATGCTTCCCATTCCCCAAATCATCCGCTTTCATGGTCGATCATTATGAGTAAAAAGAGTGCGTGTGAGTGGATTCGTAAATCCTCCCTGTCGTTGGGCGGAGTGATGCGAGTGAGTGGTGTGTGGGCGCGGGAGATGCTTCGGGGCAAAAATAAGCTGTAAGCGCCCAAGTTGTCTCCCGCGCCGCGGCAGTCGTGACAGGGCTGTGTGCTCACGCTACCAGAGGAAAACAATACGCCGAGTTTCTGAAAGCCGAAGATGGTGTGCCGGGCAAAATATGACAACGAGGCTTGTGGCGCCCGTACTTGGTGTGCTCGTGTTCCCGCCCAGGCTGTTCGCTGCTTAGCGCATATCTGCATCTTCAGCCTCAGGCCTCTGGTCGGGAGATGTTTACAATCCAGAGTCGTGCTTGGGGTAGAACGCCTTGGGGTAGTATTCCTTCCAGGCGTTGCAGGTGGGTTGGAGCTCCTCGAGGTTCATCTTGTGGGCAATTTCCTCCTTGCGCTCGAGGAACTGCACGCTGAGACCCATGCTAACATGCCAGGCGATGTGGCAATGCATGAGCCACGCACCCGGGTTGTCGGTCTTGAAGGCGATCACCATCCACCCGCTAGCGGGGAGCTGCGCGACGTCCCTGCGGATGGGGTTCTTGAAGTTGAGGCCGGGGTGAGAAGCATTCGCATACGGGCCTGTGCCATTCGTTGCGGGCGGGCCCTGGCTGTCCGCGAACTTGCCTTTGCCTGTGCCAAGAAGCAAGAAGTCGTGACCGTGAAGATGAATGGGGTGCGGCAGGAAATGTTCATTTTCAATCACCCACCATGTCCAGGTGTTGGCGGCGGGGAGATCGATGACATTCGCGCGAGACGAAAAGGTGTCGTTTCCTTCGGCAACGTAAGAGAGTGTCGGCTTGTCCCATTCGATGTCAATTGAAGAGCCGTTGACAGTCCAGCGGAAGACCTTCTCGCCGTGGATGACAGGCTGGGTGAGGTTGACGTCGAGAATCTTCTTGTTTGGCGTGAACTCAGATGCGGGAGCGTTCCTTGGGAGTACTGGGGTAAAGCCCAAGGTATCTTCGCAGCCAGCCTCAATGGGAATTCCTTGCTCGGAGGGGATCCCGTCAGGAGCACCATCATAGGTGAAAATGGAGGCAGGCAATGCGACATCAGAAGTTCCGCAGAGCCCGGTGCTGCTGAGAGTCGCATTGAACCAGTAGTTAGAAACTTCTTGGTTGGCTTCGATGATCACATCATAGCGCTGGCCAACAGACAAGAAGAGGCTATCCTTTTTGACGGGTTTGACGGGTACAAGGTCGTTGGCAATGACGGTAAAGCTGTGACCCACAAGAGAGACGGTAAACGTGTTGTCGACGGAGGTGTTGATCAGCCTGAGACGATGCTTCTTGCCAGGCGTAAGCTTCGTCTTTAGGTACTCGCCGCCACCGTGGGTGTTAACGTGCTTGCCGTTGAAGAGCACATTGTTGCTGTCTGGCGGAGGTCCAGATTCCGCACCACGCTCAAGACGGTCGGCCGTGTCGTAATACCAGTCGGTGATAGTGAAGGGGCCGAGATCAATATCGTAGTCGGCGGAGGCCGGGCCATTAATTTGCATGGCGCCGACAACGCCGTTGCCGTATTGGGCCGAGAAATGACTGTGGTACCTGTGTTGAGTGCGTCAGCCGATGGGTCCATGAATATTCAGCAGGGATGAAAGGTGCATACCAAGAAGTTCCGTACTGGATCATCTGGTAAGAGTACGTCTTGCTGTGGCCGGGTGCGATGGGGCACTCCGTGATACCGTTGGCACCGTCCATATCGTTGGTGTTCCGTTGGTGCATGCCATGCCAGTGGATAGAGGTACTGGTAGAAGCGTTAGCTCGGATCAGCAATGCATATGCCGGTGTACTTACCCGTTATCAGTCAGCTGGTTGTGAACATTGATCTTGACAAAATCACCCCAGTCAGCCTCGATGGTCGGCCCCGGGAATTGTCCGTTGATCAACATGGCCGGCCTGGAAACGCCGTCCGGTGCGAAGTCGGTGTGGTTGGTGATGTAAAGGTCGTACTGAGTAAGGTTAGTAGGGCCACTGATTTTGGTGTGTGGTGAGAGACGCATACCACTCTGGTCTTCCCGGTGGACGGCACCTCGACTTCATAGTCGGTGTCGATGCTGTACTTTCCTTTCCAGCAAGCCCGGTTTCCAGGACCATGAGTGCCGCAGCCCTTATGGTCTGATCGTGTTTCCAGCGAGTGAATAGGGTTGGCGCTGGCAAGAGAAGCAAGGAAAACTCCAGCCCCAAGGCCGGATCGAATTAGGTTGTGACGCATGATGGATATGATAAGAAGTAGGAGAAGGCCGTATTAGACAATAGGAGATGAGCGACTGACTTGATGTTCCAACATCTCGAATTTTGTGAGGACAGATGAGGTTATATACATCTCGTGTATCCTCGGAATACCTTGGCTGTGCCTTAACCTCCTTTGGGAGACGGCATCAATAGTCTCGGTGCACTTGCAGACTCGAGAGCTTGGAGTGGCGTCCCTACAGCATAGGCAGTCATCCAGACAGACAAGTCATGATGCGAGTGAGAGCTAGAGGGGTGAGTAAAGATGAGATGCATTGCACCCCTGCTCCTCGGGCAGTGACCAGGCCATGCCTCATTCTGACATGGAGGGAACAACAACGCCAGGTCCCGTTTAACGTGGATACGGGAACACGGTATGGAGAAGACGGCATGTTCGCGTGCGGAGGTGATGGAACATGATCACTCTGGAGTTGAGTCTTGGCTTCACCGGGGCAAAGAACCGCCAGGATGAAGAGACCAAATGGGGATGCATCCGGGATGAGGCTGAGCTGAGGCCTGTCATAACAGCAGCAAGACAGACGGAAAGCGACAGAGCTGGAGGGGGGAGCGGACCATGTAAGATCCTGAAATTGGGACCTCGATCTGCCCATGTCGTGTTCAATATTTGCCCTATGCATATTAGGTGCATGGAGTTGAGAAGGACATGACTGGCTTGTGCGGCAGAGGCTGAGAATAGGTGAAGGATGAGGCTGACGGGCCAGTGAAAGGGAAAGTGAATGTCATATCTTGGTACTCGACCATGGTCAACACGTCCCATCGATGGACGCCTAATCCGGCATTTCCCATGCAGACGGTCAGCGTGGTCCATTATCAAGCGCCAAGTTGCACTGGACCATTCAAGGTTCTGATGTGATATGTAGGTGTACCGCTGCCTTGTGGGCTCATTCGCGGCAGCCGGGAAAGGTCTGACCACATCCGGTCGAGGACATGACTGGAAGATAACCGCAATTACCTTGACAGTGAACTCAGGACCCTATACATCCCTACAGGCTCGATATAGAAGCGGTCCAGGGCGCATGAGTGCAGCTGAGAGTCTCGTGTGGCACGTTGCGTCCATTACTTGGCAGAGGAACTCGTCCGGGGAGCCAGACCTCTAGGAGCTGGGCTGCCTGGTGGGATTGTGTAGGCTTTCATCTCAATGAGATCCAGCAAGACTGATCGGCTTGCAGAAATCAGACTTGGCAATCCCAGGTCGTTGCTCTTGTTGAGAGCCACTTTTGACAAGTTGGCGGTGAAGCTCGACTCGACCGGGTGTCTCGTGCGAGAGGACGGAGGAGATGTGAAAATACGAGTGGCAGGCGGCGCAAAAAGCAAGAAATCGCACTTCTGAGGTAGCGGCGGCCGTGGAGAAGCGTAGTTCTCGAGCAGAGATCGACCCGGGGAAGCATGGAGTAGTAGCCGCCTGATTCGTCGAGAGGGAGTCTTGGGTCGATCTGAGTGCAGCCGGCGCGGCACTGTCCAGTGACTAAGCTGCGCGGTTCCTAAGCGAATCATCGGGAGTTTGGAGTCGGTCCTTTCATGATCGTGGGCTTGCCGGCGTGGTCGGTTCTCGTATCGACGAGTGTCTCTGAATCTGTTCACTTCCATGCCTGAGGAAAGGTTCGTCGCCCGAAGATTCCAGGGTTCGGAGGTGAAGCCGCGGCCACCGACGCCGCTAATGCTGTACTGATGGTACACGGCATCTTGGGGGCTATTTTTAGGGCAAACATGGCGATGAGAAGGATGAGGGGGAAACTGGCAGGGTCCAAATGGCCGTTGAGAAAGGTCTGCAGTGATTATTAGCATGAGCAGCCGCAATAGCCATTTAGGACGAACAAGATGGTCTGATGTGGTAAAAGCCAGCGGTATGTCGGCCGGGATGTCCTTGGAGTCATTTCCAAGGACATGGGAGAAGGATGCTACTGCAGCGCGCGATGCCGTCATCTAGCAAATGACACCAGCAGCGTGGTCTGGAGGAAGAAGACTGCGCCGTAAACTAATTCTTTTTGGCCAGTTGTCTGTCGTGTGCCATGAGGTAGGTAAGGTAGGTCGTCAAGGACAAGGTGTGGAGGAGAGGGAGAAGAGTGTGGTCGGGATTGGGTTGTTGGGAGACGGCTGTGCGAGGGAAAATCCTGTCAGATCCCACGGCAAATGTACAGTAAACATCCGGACCTTATTCCGACTGTACAGATGCGCTTTAGATAGTGCTGTGTAACAGTGCTATTGTTGATACTTACTGTACTTTGGATTTCTGGGCAGGCAAGGTGTGGCTTCCTCCTGCCGCAGCTCAGAAATAGGTAGTTTAGCGTCATAAACGAGCCACAGCAGGTACATCTATCCTACCTCAACGCCATGCAACTGAAATGCTCGCGTGGGAGAACAGTCAGGTAGGTAGGTAAACACTGCAAAAACCAGCCCGCTTCTTCTGCTCACCGCTTGGTGGCCAACAGCTCCGACAGCTTCAAGCAAGGCGGGCAGGGTTCAGGGAGTTGTGCTACAGGGCGTCGTGGTAACTTTGCTTTTTTGGTGTTGCTCCTCCCGCCTTTAGCATGTCAATTAGCGACTGCCAGCAGGAGCATCACCGCCTGAGCTTCACCTGGCAGGCAAGATTTATGATCCCTCCTCACCTCACTCGGAATATTTCCCCTCAACGCCACGGGCGGGATGCCGTTCAGGATCATGCCATCTCCCCAGACTTTTCTCGACGACATCCAATACCGACTGCATCCGCCATCTTGCTGCCTTCAGCCATCTACACTATCGTCTGCGCTTCAGCTCACCTCTTCTTCCATTTGCTTGCTCACTCTCACGCTCACTCTCACTCTCACTCTCACCTAGTGCCCACTTTCATCTCATTCGCACTCCAGCGCCGCGCATATGCATGTCTCGCAGGATCAACAACAAAAACACGAGAGATTCTAGCCCTCACACACACGTTCTAGCTGACAACGCATAATTCTTGAGCCGGGAGCTCACCCCACAGCTCATCTCGTTCCGCTGCGAACCTCGGCGACCTCTACATAGTGCAGGTGAGAGCGGCCTTTCAGAGGAGCCACGGCCAAGGGCACGGCACGGGCGATGACGGGTCAAACGCCGGATGGGCAGGATGGGACATTCAGACAGCCACAGCTCTCGCCCGCTCGCCCAGGTCTGCCTACGGCACCGCCGATCCCTCCGGCTCACTTGCTCACCCGGCAAGACTGCAATAGTAGGCCATCATGCGGTTGCCGGCCCAATGATCTCCCCTCCTTTGCTCCTCACCGCACCTCACCTAAGCCCATATGCCCGACTTACCCGGCCTGCGTTCTTCTGCCCCGATACGGTCCTTGGAACCCTGCGGCGAGGTCCGGGCGAGCTGCCCAAATCATTACCGTTTTGAGATTCGCATGTGGACGCCCAGAGACAACTTGAAGAGCACTTGACCAACGGCTTGGTTCAAGACGTTAAAGCCACACTTTGTTTTTTATGAACACGACCGGCCATACGGTTTTTTCTCTGGTCTCACGCACTAGCTGCGAGATCCGGCTCATTTTGCCTATCTCAACGACGCAGTACCGCCGACCACTTCCTCATTCGGCCGCATGGCCCATCAAGCGCGTGATGCTCTGTCTCGTATCGCAGCGACAACGACTCATACAGAGAACCTTGGGTGAGGGCGTCTTCCGAACCGGCCATTCACATGTTTCTATTCCGTCATTCATCTCACAGTGAGCCTTTAGCAGCTTGTTATTGCTCAACTTGTCATCTTTAGGGCTGCCCATGAAGGTTGCCCTTCCCGTTCCTTTAGCGCCTCAGCCAAATTATCAACGTGGTTGCCTTGACTAGTGCTCCGTGATCATGGTAGAGAACATTAGCACTCAGTCGGAGTCAAGTGTCGTTGAGAATTGGTGAGGATCTCTCAGGCGTTCGTCCTATAGCATCCTTCAGAGTGTATGCCATGAACTCGGCGCTAATGATGAGTATTTCCTCATTTAACAATACGAAGTCAGTATTGAGTTACACTCATACTGCTTTTCTTGCGGGACGTGTCCCGCATTGGACGTGGCTTCGCACAGATTATGTCGCATCGGTGCATGCCGACTATTTCATACCCCTGAAGAGGATCGTTCCGAGGTGACAACCCCTGAGGAGGATCAATCTCAGGTGGGTGGCTCTTATTAGATGTGCTACTTCCGCACAGTCTAAGCCTCATTATTGGCAGCATTAAGGCATACAGCAACAGGAAGTAGAGCTGCGACGTAGGCGCTAAAGATGAAAGGCATCTCCAAGTTCCCCGTAGTGGTCGGTGCCCCAGATACGACTGGATGGACGAGTCTTTACGAACATGTCGACATGGCCACCGTCCTCGATCGTTACCAATCACTCGTCGTATGTATGATCTCAGACAGAGATCGGCTTTCTGTCTCTTCAGCTCACTGTGGTTGCGCATACCATTCCTTCCGGTTTGTATGAGCAGTATTGGGCATGGCAGACGTCAACCGTCCACGCTAGTTTCCATGGCAGCCCTAAGATAGAAGTTTCTTTGTAAGTCATGCCAAACGCATGACCGTTAGAATGGCATCCTAAGACATCTCACTCATCAAGACACCCATACTTCCCAGCCAAGCGCTGGTAGGGCGGTTAGCGTCACAATCTGAACCCCCTCCAGACTTTGCTCCTCGAGCTACAGAAATGTCTTAACAACGGTCTCGTATGCAAGGTCCCGAGAACCGGCGAGTAGCAGTGTAGTACCACATCAACCTAACATCTCTTCAACCTTCTTTATCACGGTTCCTCCTGCAGCCAGCCTTCCGGGTGCCGAAGTGGTTGTCATCGATAAAAAAGGAGCCTTGAGGGCAGCTTCCCAAGCTATATATACTCTTAGCGGTGGCTAATGTTACCCTATTAAAGCATATGTGAGGCGAAATCAGTGTATGTGGGGTCATACCGACCCAGACCGAGAGGCAACCGACCTTGACGACCAAACTGTCCATGAGCAGTGAGTCACTACGCCGAACATTCATTCATATTCTTCTTCCGCCGCCTTGCCTTCAACATCAAGCAACACAGCTTCTCTCGTGGTGTAGTGGTAACATGCATGCTTGTCGCGCATGCGCCCCTGGTTCGATTCCGGGCGGGAGAGACTTTCAATTTTTGCGGTTTTTGCTGTCCTTCTGGCGCTGCTGACACAATTTGACCAATGAGATGAGTGAGGACAGCCGTAACTTGAGCAGCAACGCTCTTGTATTTGATTCTATGTGCTCATGTTCTAAGAAATGCAGAGGCGCGCGGAATGGATGGTCCTGAATCAACTTGTTTCTGGAACCGGGCTGAGCCCCACCCACGATGCCGATGCCGTGCCGGACCTTCGGATGAAGCCCCACTTTACCGGCCCGGCTCCGTTTCACCGCGGGGAGTGGTTGTGATATTTGCTCTGCTTCGTCTAAGTAAGAGCAAACCCGGAAGAGCCCCATATCTCATTTCAATACTTAGGCACATCTTTTATAGTTACGCAAGTGACCTTAATGCACAGGAGACAATGCCCATTTATATGAGGACGAACGCCCATGCATCTTAGCTAAGGCTGTATAACACGCTATGTTGGATATGCTGCCTGCCCTATGGTTCGTGTTCTTACCGCTGTGATTGAATCTCTTTGTGAATTGAATCTAATTTGAGCGATAATTAGGCGCTACTGTGATTTTGGTTCCACAGCTTGCTTGCGTGCTTGCTTACCTCAACACCACATATCCGGCGACGCCGTGTCTCATTCCAGCACTCGCGATTGGGTCAACGCCACCAGCATCTCAGCATTCCCCGCGTGCGAAGTTTTCGATTATAATTGAATCTATCGCTACTCTTCCCAATAACAAACGGGCGATTGGTTTAGTGGTATAACGACCCCTTCGCATGGGGTAGGTCCTAGGTTCGATTCCTAGATTGTCCAGAGGTCTATCACTTTTGCCCTTCGTTGACATTTTGCACGATATAACTATCTCCCCAATCTACCTCCCCTCATGCTGGAAGCAACATCAGACATTGTGTCCTGTTGCTAGTGGAAATGAATGGCTTGGGAGGGATATACTACTGCTTCTTCTCTAAGGGGGATGACGCCCTTAGGGTTGAAGGCCGAGCCGGAGTCTTCTCCGTGGTGTCGGTAAGAGGTGCATCTAACGACGCCTTGCTGGTCGATGATCGAGTGGTCGTTCGAAGTCATACAATTCAAACGCGCAGCTCTCTGTCTAGTTCTATAAACAGCCATACCCTGCTCTACATACCTCTACGCGTTCGACAAGTAGCATGACAGCCTCAGACTTTATCGCAGCCGTGTTGCCTTGGAGGAAAACATAAGAAACGACAACAAATCTAAACCTTAAAACCCTTCTCAGATGCCGCTGGGCGCTATCACCTTCGTCACAGCTGCCGCTGGTTCCGTAGCGTCTCCGTTGACCTTGCCAGGCCCAACATCAGACTGCCTTGACTGCCTCCCAGACCGATCCGTCACCGCATCGCTATCTCCGCCGGGAACGTTGCCAATGGTTCCCTTCCTCCTTCCCCTCCTCTCAAGAACCGCGATCAGGATGATGACGGGTACAGTCAGAGCCCCCGTCACTAGACTCGCGATATACCCCTTGCGATAATTCGGCGCATCCGTCACAGGGAAGAAGATGAGAGGCCACCACGTCTACCAAAGTCAGCACGCATGCACCGCCGTCACTCAGACTCTCAAAAGACTCACCACAAACGCAAAGTCAAACGAGTTCATGAACCCGGTCGTGATGGCCCGCAGCTGCAGGTCATGCGCCGTGAGGTCCGCCATCCACGAGTACCACAGCGCCTGCGGCGCGTACGTCGTGCCCATCAGGTAAAACGCGAAGAAGTACCCCGCGTCGGGCGGGTCCGCGATGAGGATGGCGCTGCTGACGATGAAAGTGAAGCCGATGCACAGAGACGCCTGCCAGCGGGAGCGGAGCCTGTCGGAGACGGCGCAGTAGATGAAGGTCGCCACGATGCCGGTCGCGAAGGTCGCCGTCGGGTAGTTGTTCTGCTGGATCACGCTGTAGCCTCGGGAGGCCATCCACAGCGGTATGACGTTGTTGCCGATGGCCTGCACACTGAGGGAGTAGACTGTGTTCGGATGTCAGTGGTGAGTCGGCACGGGAGGCGCCATGGGACTTACGCATGAAGACGGTCGGAAGCAGCCAGAACTGCCAACTGAGGAGGACACGTCGGAAGACACTCAAATCCCACTCCTTGGCCTTCGCATGACCGAGACGGCGCACGGCGAATTCCCGTTCTTCGGCGGAGAGGAATCTGGCTGTTCGGTGCTCCGGCAAATCCGGGATAGCAAACCAGCCTGTGAGAAGTCAGCGTCTCAACTTCGCATCTCCCGATCCCTGCGATACGGCAATTAACTCACCAAAAACGGCAAACGGAATCGTGACACACGAAACCACCACGAAGATGAGTCTCCAAGGGGCCAGCGGACCGTTCGACAAGGACGCCAGCAGTCCGGCCTGGATCCAGCCACCGGCCATGTTGCCGAGGTTTCCAAAGGCGCAGAAGACCGCCGCGCGGGTCGCGAGCTCGGATTGCTTGTACCACGAGCCGTAGATGAAATGGGCGCCCACGCTGCGGCGGGTCAGTTGCCTGCTTATCTGACCATGACTAGGGCAAAACTCACTATGCGACAGCCGAGAAAGCGCCTTCGAAGCCGTTGAGGATGAAGATCTGATGGACATGCGTCGTGCGGAAGGTGACGAGAGTGAGTACGCTCCAGACGGTGTTCGCCGCGACGAAGACATAGCGTGGTTTGACGACGGTCAAAAGAGAAGTTGACGGGATCTGGAAGACCGCATAGGTGACCAGGTAGATGGTGTGCATGTAATTGAAGTCCTGCGCGAAGGGGGCGTCAGAATATGCGTAAACGCCTTCCTCTCACCCGAAAACCACTCATTTCATCAACAAAGCCCTCACCTTTCCTTGGAAATGAAGATCCTCTTTCATCCCGCTGATATACGCCGTGTTATAACTCGCGCGGTTGATGCCGAACAGGAACCAGATCACCGAGAAGTATATCAGCACCGTGAAGTCCAGCTTGATAAGCAACGACCGCTCGATCGACGGCGGGCCCCAGAGGGCCGTCTTGACTCTCGACGACATGCCGGAAGCTGGAGGCGGCGACGACGGCGCTGCTGCTGCTGCTGCTGCCGGAGCAGAGAGCAGCGGCGACGTTTCAGAGCTCCCGGTCGCCATTTTATCTGGGGTTATCTCTTCCTGCCGTACCAGGTTGCGCAAAGAGAAGCACGATGTCGTCTTTCCGGGTTGCTGATTTCGCCATACCCTTCTCCGCACCGCGGTGGTGGGGCGGTCGCATCAGCACTGTTCAGTTGGCGTTTGACGGATTGGGTGTTGCCGAGGTCACTCAAAGGCGCTGGCGCTGATCTTAGCTCCGGGCTAGGTGGGAAAGCCGATGATAAGGGCGCGGGAGGATCTCGAAATTCATTCCCTGTATTTTGTCATTTCCTCAGAATGCCGGCAGTCTGGAAACAGCGGCGATAAGAGTACACAACGATCTTATCATGGGTTAGGATAGTGAGCATGCGGAGCATTCGAGGCGCCAAATTCAGAACCTTCCAAAGCCCGGACTTCCGAAGCACGATTCATGTGGTCGCCTAAATAACTCAAGTTACCCCCTAAGTGATCACAAAACAGAGGCCAAAGCATACAGTGGAAGGGTCACTCTTAATGCAAAGCTGGACAGAGGGAAGACAACCATTCATTAACATAATAGATGACTAAAGAAAGTTACTTATAAACGTTACAATCTCCTTCGTCGATATCGTAACAAACGTATTATTCATCCGAAGACGAACCAAAAGATTGGCGCCTGACGGCATCAAAGGTAATGAGAGTCATCCGACCGAGCTCGAGAGCCTCTCAGTCGTCCACAATCTCGTCCGAAGAGCACGAGGACGGGTAGCTGGACGCAGAGCCGTTCGACTCGGCGTCATCATACCACGGCATGGTTCCCGAGTCGGTGTTGAACTCGGTGTCCGTGGCGTTCGTCCACTGAGCCACGATCCGGCCGAGGTTACCCCAGAGCTCCTCGTTCATTTCCTTCTCGCGAGTAGGCTCAGACCCGAATTCGGGCTCAAAGCCAAGCTCCCACTCTTCCATCTCTCGCTCACTGCTGCTCGTGGAGCTGGTGAGCCAGCTCGACACGGACGACGCGGCGCGGGGCCAGCGGCGCGGGGGCGGAGGGGCAACGTTGATGATATTGACGCCGCGTGGAAGAGCCTGGGGTCGTGGAGGCGGCGGCACGCCCCCTGCCATCCATTGAAGCATCTCTCCGCCCGGTCTTCCATGATACACTGGGGGTCCCGGAGGCGGCATGCCCATACCCGGACGGACGCCACAACCACCCGGCGGCCGCATGCCACCTGGAGGCCGCACGCCCGGTGGGAACATGCCCGGTGGCGGCGGCGGTGGTCCCATGTACGGTTCTTCCCAGGTTTGACTGTCAGGCGTGCCGGGAGTAATGCCATCGGCAAAGGCAGAGAGCCTCATCGTCAGAACGGCACCAGGCTTGATGGTGGTTTCCCAAGCTGCGGGAGTAATGACTACGTCATCTCCGGTGACAATCTCAAAGGCACCGTCCCGAACAATGGGCCACATTCTGTTAATGTCACGGAAGCGGCTATGGATGATGGTACGCGCACCCTTTCAATGTGTTAGCATGATCTTAATCCTGTAATTCTGGTTTTCAATGACTGACCTTTAAAGTACGGCACTGTTCGTACGGCAGAGCCGTCTTGCGGCCGAGGGGGTCCGTCAGATGAACGGGCTCCTGAGCGGGCTCCATGGACATGTATGCGACAACATAGTTGGGCAAGTTGCAGGTGTCAACCGCAATCAGGTTTCTGACCCGGCCATCCTTTTTCTGGGCACGTCGTGGGGCATTTTGCACGGCCAGTCGGAACTGAGCGTCTAGGCCAATAAGCTGGTCCCCTGGGTTGCCTCCGGCCTTCCTGAGAACGCGCTTGAGTTGGCGGAGGAGCATCTTCGGCTGGAAGGACAAGGGAGGAGGCTGGACGCAAGAGCTTTGGTCTGCGCTGTAGAGAATGGTCGCCTCAAGCTCCAGATGATCCAGAGGCGGAAGAGCGCGGCCAAATAGACCGCGCATCCACTCTGCCATGCTGTTGAATACCTTCGCAGGGAATCGGCGCTTTGGTTTCAGTAGCTTGATATCAATGGGCTCAGGGGGAGGCGTTGGAGGTTGGAAGACTGGAGGTGGCGGCGGAATCTCAATGACGGCCGGAGGAGGCGGTGGTGCGCACACCTCAGCAGTAGCCGGCTTCTTCTCATCGGCAGCTTTGTCGCCACAAACCGAGGGCGGTCTAGAGTCCTTGGCTGTCTCTCCGGACTTCCAGGAAGCCGCATCGTCGTTTGAGCAGACGCTCACGGCATCGGCCTCCGCAGCCTCCGCGGCCGCTGCAGCTTCGGCGGCTTCGGCAGCTTTTGCAACCTTTCTAGCCAGTCTAGCTTCCTTCTTAGCTTTCTCTTCCGCCTTCCTCTCGTAGTCTTCTACGAGATTCTTGACAGTCTTGTTCCGCTGCTGCAGCAGGCGACTTGCCAAAGCCCTTGAAGCGAGCTCCTCGTCGAAGCTGCCGGGAGCTCGTGGCGCTCTGGCCAAATACGTCAGTCCAGAGATTTACGAAGATCAGGAGGACACGGTCACTTACTTGATCTGAAGACGAGCAACATCAAACACCTGCATATGCAGCAGAAGACTGGAGAACAACCACTTCAACTGCTTGTAAGCGGTCTCGAAAGCGTCCGCGACCAGTCCCCACTTCATGTTTGAGCTGATGGCGCAGAGTCTGGCGGCCTTCAGGTCCTCTACACGAACAGTGTGCAGGCAAATGTCTTCGACGACTTTGGCCGCCAGACTGGCTCTGTAGACGGTGCGAATAATGGTGACATAGGTCTTTGCGCAGCGGTCCGCAAGGTCTTCGACATCTCTGCGGCCGGCGTCCGTATAGACGGTCAAGGGATCATGTTTGTCAGTGCTGAGAGAGTCCCAGAGCTGAGCAAGAGTTGATGCTGTGCCGAAAATTTGGTCGACCAGACCTTCAATGTCCGAGTCTGCGCCTTTGATCCCTAGGCCATAGATGTTCAGCTTGTTGGCCAGCTGGAACCCCAGATTGACAATGCCGGGCACGTTGGGGGTCACGCCACCCAGGAACGCGGCCATAGTGACGAGATTGATGGCGAAGAATGAGATGAGAGATGTGAAGGGAGGCCGGATTGCAAGACCTGAGGCTCGTAATATTCATGACTGGGGGCGGGGTATTTAACCGTGAGCATTGCAAGAAACAAGACGGTTGTAAGCCTCATTTCGTACACATTGGGCTGGCGAACTGCATGGCCTTTTCGTTGGGTAAGGCGGCGTCCAGCCAATGACTTGGAGCCGCATAAGGTGGATGGGTACAGCTCGATGGTTTCCCGGCATGATTTTGGGTCAGGAGACTAGAGCCCGATCTTTCTGTTGGTCTTCGTGCTCTCCCAAACCCGTTTTTGGTTTTGTGTCGCATGGTGAGGCCAACTGGTATTCGGGCGGTCTCACTTGGCTGGTTCGCATGATGTTGTCATAGTCGACGGGAGGGCAAGTAGGCAACCTACGAGGCATCACTCGGCTAAGACCGCTCGAGACACGGCTTCTCGGAGACCCGGGGTTTTAGCCGCGTCGTTGCCTTCCAGCCTGCTTCCAGATACCAGCAGGTTCGAATACAAGAAGACTCTGAGTGTCCTGTTTGGTTGTGTGGCTAGTCAGCCTTGAAATCTGCCTGGAGATGGAACGCAGAAGATGCTGATGGAGGACGGGCAGGCAGGATGCAGGAGAGCGGGACGTGGATACGCTCGGACCACTAGCTTAGAAGGACCACGCATATGTGGGGACACGCAACCGGCCCCGCCGTGGACCGGTTACCGGCCAATGTGGGGCCTGAGGGCCACAGCTGTGAGGTCCTCCCGCGTCATCCGTTGGTCCACGTCCTACAAATATCACACAACGAACGCAGGCTCTAAAAGCAGGGCTTCGAATCGCATGCACCTTCCCGCGCCGATACGAATCTCTCATTCGGTGCTCTGCCATTTGACTGGCCTCACTTACGCATATGTCTTGCTTATCGCTGCAAGTCAACAGCATCGATGCAACGACAGGTATCCATTCCACGTCCACTTCAGTCATCCCTCGGTCGGAGTCAGCTCCCCCTCCCTCCCTACCGTCACATTTGAGATTTTGAACCCGCCAGGCACTCTCGTCTGGAACACACCCGCCGGATCGTACCTTTCTGCAGCCTCTCGCATCTTGCGGACGTTCTCTTCACCATAGCTGCCGAGTGGATCTTGGGAGCCGTCGCAGTAGTTGAGGTAGCGGAACCCAACGTCGCCATTGACGGACTTGGCGAAAGCCTCAATCTCATCAATGCCTCCCTTGAGTGTCGGGAACCCAACACTGTTTCTTAGTTCTTGGGTATCGACCTCAATGGCCCAAACCAACAGCACACAGTCTTCCTTGATACGCTCCAATCCAAACATATTTCCACCACGAACAGCCGAATGCTTGCCGAAAGATGCGGGTAGTGGCTGTAGCACCATGGAGAAATGAAAATCATGGTCCGGAATCTGAGCCTTCATTTTTTCTATGCGGTCTTCGAATACATTCGCAGCTTTCTGGATGATTCGGGTGTCGTTTCTGAAGGTCAAGGTGAACCACGTTTGTCTTTCCGGCAACGGCGTTAGCTACAGACTCGGCGAGGTTCAGGGAGCACTCACCGTCGGGACTTCGGCAGAGCGAACGCCGCCATCTTGTCGGCAACCGTGGTCGTCTTGGCATCCTTCTCGCCGGGGATCACCAGAAACTTAGCCAAACACTGGGCTTCCTGCTCGCCGTCCAAGCTTGTTAGAAGATTCATAATGAAGTGGTATTTGGTCCTGGGCATGTACATCCACATCGCCAAAATGTGCGCATCCGGGTGAGCTTCGAGATTACCGATGAAATCCGCCAGCGCAGCGACGACATCCGGAGTCGACTCCTTGGCGCAGACAAGTCTGGCATCCCAAATTTCATTGGAAGGAAACGTCACCAGGTCGAAGCGTGTTACAATTCCAAAGTTGTTCCCGCCGCCCTTGAGGACTCGAAAGAGGTCGGAGTTCTCGTCCACGTTGGCTTGGACGATGCTGCCGTCAGCGAGAACGATCTCGTAGTTAACGACCTAGTCTTGATCCCCTCGTCAGTTGACCGATTAACCATCGCAAAATCGGGGCCAGTGTGAGGAGACTTACCACACGCGAAGCCGACGCGGCAAGTGTAAAAAGTCTTGCCGCCGCCCGTCAGCAAACCGCCAATGCCGACCGTGTTTTCGCGGCCCCCTGCTATCATCCTCCCATCTACAGCCTCAAGTCAACACACAAGAATCTTTTCTTTTCAGTGAGCTTCATAAGTCCTCACACTTCTGGACCTCTTGGTACGCATCCGTCCATGTTCCTCCAGGAAGCAGCGACGCAAGTTCCGTATCATGGTCGTACGACGTCTTCGCCATCAGACCCAGGTCTATTGTGACGCCGTCCTGGATGTTACTGGCACCAGGAAAGACCGTATGGCCGCCACTGCCGTATTTCGCATGTCAATAGGACACATTCCCCTCATTGAGACGGTGAAAACTCACCTGCGCACAGCAAACTTGCAGTCCGGAGTCTCAACCATAGCCTTCACTGCCTGGGAGACCTCATCAGCGCTCCTGGGCTGCACAATTGCCCAAGGTCTCAGCCTGGCTGTCTCCGACCAGTACGACGCAGTCCTGTTCTCGTATGTCTCCTGCCCGGGGGTATACAAGACCTCATCCAGGCCGGCTCGTCTGAGGTTGCCGATCGCCAGCTCCTTTAGCGATGCCATCATGAAAGGAATATCTCCAAGACGCAAGTGCCAAGATCACAGCCGTCACATTAGACAACGCGGATGATCGGCAGACTGGTTCAACTTATATTCCTGGCCCAATCTCTATCTAACCATCGCCTAGACGTTCATTTGCTGCATTGGGGATCTCACATCCAGCCGCTGTCAGCATTGTGACGTATCGCTAATCTCGCCAAGGTCACGTTGCATTTCCATACTGCTTACATGGCCGATAGCGCCATACGGGCAAATGTTGAAGACTTCTACATGATACTTCTACATGCTGTTTTGGGACTGTGTCGGTCTGCACACACGACCCAGCTCATACACTATCAAGCATCAGCGAGACTCCTTCGACATCAATGTTTTCCTCGACGCGCGACAGGCGGTCACGCCTGCCCATAATCGCAGAGGTCCCATGCTGAAACTTTTATGGCTCAAGATGACAACTAGAGATTATATGGTGCTCCGATAGACTACATCACGGCTGTAGCGGCGTGGTTCGCATGCCTCTCTACCGTTCAGGCGCGACCGGGTTACCCGCCGACCTCTAATAGTTTATTTTCTAATTTACCAAAGCTTTACACTGTCGCTTGATCGCCTCATCGTTTGCTAACCGATTCCACCTCTCTTGCTGCTTCTTGGCCTTGGCGACCAGAGTCCTCTGCTGTGGAAGAGGTAAATGAGCAAGAGCCAGTCGATCTCCTTGCCTCATCGTTGCCAGTTGTTTGTCGAATAGGCTGCCGGAGCTTTTAGCAACTAAATCTTTCTTCTTCCCACTGTTGATCGCCAAAGCCGTGGTGTCTTTCGGATTCTGGGAGCTTTCTCCACCTTCCAAACCGGAGAAGCTGTTGTGTTCTTGTCCTGACTTCAAACCTCGATCATCACGCACTTTTCTGGCCCTTCGATGGGTGACCGTCCTCCCTGAGGGTAGTCGCTTTGTTCCGTCCTCCACATCAACAGAGAAATCACGTCCCGGATTGCCAAAGCTATCATGATCGGAGTCGGTGTCGGGTTCGAAGTCGTAAAAGTCTTTGAATTCGGAATTCTCCTTTTCAATGTCGATCTTGCAGTGACCCTTTCCAGTCATATGTTGTTGTGCGGCCTGCGGGGTGTTCCGGATAGATCCACAGTAGAGGCATTCGGTGTACTCGTAGATTACGAGGTGGAAGTATTTGACCAGTGCCTCGAGATCGACTATCAATCTCTCGGGGTACGGAATGGTCATTCCGTGCCGCTTCCTCATGTGGTCCAGGTTGTCGTTGAAGTCTTCATTGTGGCAATTGCAGAAGAGACACTTTTTCGGATCGAAGGGATGAACAGTTGTTTCGCTCGCATCTGATGCTTCCGAGTCCTCCGCATCCGAATCTCCCAGTTCGAGAATTGAGAGTCTCTCATCCAGTGATGATGTCTCAACTCTGGTCTCCTGAACTTCCGACGCCATGGCGGAGCGAGGGGCCTTGATGATTTTGGTTTAGGAGAGCAAAACCAATGTGGCTGATTGCGACATGGGCATGAATGGCGCAAGGAGTTCGCTGCTCAACAAAAATGTGTACTCATTGGGTATGGTGAGATGATATCAATAGCCAGATTATAAGGGTGGCTGCATTGTATTGCGCGGCGTATTGCATTTGTTTGTTCGCTGCTCAACAAGTGTGATGAGAAACCGCGTGCGGGTAAGCACGGAAGGAATCAGAGAACGAAAGACACAATAGACATGGAGAGAGCACAAAGTAGTACGGCTTTAAATAGTAGCACGATCGCAATTCGGTACTGACCTTCCTATTCGCGTAAGCTGCCGTGTCATTTGCGACATGCAGGCTTGAGAGTCTGCGGACAGGATGGCAGGGGTACACAACAGCCTGGGTTGATTGGCTCTATTTCTCGAATTAACATCTGCTGCGGGTGTTTAGCCGCCTTTTTAAGTATTTGTCTTTACCCGATTTCGGCGCGTATAACGACACAGGAGCACCCAAGTCTCCATAAAGGATTTTATAAACCGTCTTATTTCATTTTCTTCTTGTAAATGTATTTCATAGGCTGAACTTGAGATTAAGCTGAATGAGCTAGCTATGTATCTCCCCGGCTTGCATACACAAATCCGTGGCAATGATAATGGTCTTCTTTCCAAATAAAGTTCAACGGGTGTCCAAATCTCTCAACCTATTGCCAGTCCATGGGTTGCTAGCCCCACCCAGGAGTTGTTCTCTTTATCTTTAACACTTCTGTCAGTACTGAGCCCAAATATCTTGGAGTTGAGTACTTGCCTTTCGAGTTCTAAGTCCACTTTGCAGGATACTCCTAAACGGTGGCGTCGGTCTCCTCACGAGCCCACTTGACGGGATAGACCTGAGGAGTGGCATCGGTCTCCTCGCGAGCCCACTTGACAGGGTAAACCTGAGGAGTGGCATCGGTCTCCTCGCGAGCCCACTTGACAGGGTAAACCTGAGGAGTGGCATCGGTCTCCTCACGAGCCCACTTGACGGGGTAAACCTGAGGAGTGGCATCGGTCTCCTCACGAGCCCACTTGACAGGATAGACTTGAGGAGCGGCGTCAGCCTCCTCGCGAGCCCACTTGACAGGATACACTTGAGGAGTGGCGTCGGTCTCCTCACGAGCCCACTTGACAGGATAGACCTGAACAGTGGCATCGGTGCCTTCGGCAGCAACCTTGTTGGATTCGATGAAAGGCAAAGCTGTGACGGCAGCTGCCAAGGAAAGAGCCGAGATAACTTGGAACTTCATTTTGTTGTTTGGGGCGAGAAGAAAGCTAGAGTTTGGTCTTCGGCTGCGCAATGGGACTCGATAACCATGTATTGGTGAGCGAGGACAAAGTGACTGTTTTGATGATCCAAAAGTCTCGGCGATGGGAATGCATCAAGGTTTATATACTTACTTACTTACATGGTGTTTACAGATACCGACGCTTCGGCGTCTGAGGTCCTGGCGAATGTGTCTTCGGTTTCCCGCGGATGGTCGGTCACGACCTCGTGCTGCCTGCTAGGTTGCGGGGCTCGAGATGTCGTATCAACTGTGCCGCGTCACGACTTTCTCCTTCATTCTTGCAACTGTGACGAGACTTCGTGATGGAGGAGAAGCGTTTCGATCAACGACGGAAGTAACTTGACTGGGCATCTGGACAAGGTTCTTGCAGGGCTGACTGCATACTAGTGTCTGACCAGGGTGGCTGGAAAGCAGAGCCAACGAACTTCCAGCTAGGATTTTACCCTTTGTAGTGATAAGGTGTATTTCCTAGCTCGTGGGCATGCTACGAAAGTTCCTCCGGAAATCCCTACATTGATGCATAACAGCAGACACGACGAGCTTACTCAAGACAAAAGGAGACGCCGAGGTAAACGACTCGAACTTGATGTAAATCCCATGTCACCTCGATCCCCCGAGGATTTCTCGTTGGTGATTCCGCACCTTTGTCTTTGAAACTTTACTCGCAACTTCTGTCAAATCGACCTTCCTCACAATGCATCTTCCGTTCTTTTCAGACAAACAATCCAGATACTCCTCTCTCCCCACTACAGCAGATGAGATATCATCTAGCTGCAGCAGAGATGATGCGGAGGCGTCAAACTTGCCAGAAAAGCATCATTCAATAGCCTTCTCTTTTTCTCGAGCTCTTGTCTGTCATGCCCTCCTAACCATACTGGGCCTCTCTGCTATGGCTTACTTCATGGCCTGGCAGAAAGCAGGGCCGCGACCACCACAGCCCATCACCTGCCACTGTGGTTCATCAGTCGCCGAAGCACGGGAACTTGGGTGTAAATACGATACACTTTCGGTCTCTTGGCTTCCTGATCACTGCCGTGAAGACGAGCTAGTTGCCGAGTTCGATCGCGCCGGCCCGAACGGTAGCTGGCCCTACTACGCAGACAAGAACGCAACCAAGCCCATCACCATCGAAGACATATCCCGTCTCGCTGATCTTCCTCGTGAGGAAGCAGTCTTCTACACATCAACGGGGTGGCACATCGCTCATTGTGCCTTTTACTGGCGCAAGGAGTTCAGAATGAGGGCCAAGGGTCTTGGGACGGAGAGTCGGTACGACAAGGAGAGTCACATTGAGCACTGCTACGAAATATTCATGGCAGAAGACGCGCTACACGCAGTCAACGTAGCTTCTCCGGTCTGGATAGGCGGGGACGGGCTTGGTGACGCAAATGGCCAACATCACCACGAAACTTGATAGTTGGTCATGTTCAGCTAGAGGCAAGAAATGCGGCGGAGACTTTGTGCATATTGCTCGATAGCCGCTGATCGCTTTTGCATCTTTCCATATCGGGTGCGCCTAAGTATCCATGTACATAAGCAGAATATAATTGAACCACTGCGATAAAGTTCCGCGGCCTGGGGTCCTTTCGCCCCCTGCTAGACCCCTGCCAAGCGCCAACGGCCTGCCTCAACGACCTTCCATAAAAGTAGGTGACGAGGCAATTCAGTCAGACCGACACGTATGTCTGAGAAGGGACTTTGGTGTTGGTCCTGTGCTGCGGCGCTCTCATGCAAGTCGCCTTTTCTCCTTCCTGAAGGGGATCTCGCCCGGTAGGAGCGATCAAGCCTTTTTGCCGGCTCACCTAGTTGAGATTGTCGTGATTCCGATGCCAAAGAGAAACATTTGGTGTCGGCATCTGCGAAATCGACTTGAGAGGCACATCAATGTCCTGTCGGAGCTGACAAGCGTTCATTGGCGGCTGTGAGTCGGGCATGAGGGGCTGGAACCTGGGCCATACCATGGATCATGAGCCCATAGGAATTCCATGCTGCAGAACTTCCTGAATTGTACTCAAGAAGCTTATCTCGGTGTTGTTCCGCACCCCGCCGCCTCCAATCCTGGATAGCTGAACCGTCAACATCCATCCGCAGGAGCCCAGAGACGAACCAATGGAATGACGACGGATGCCAGTTCTGAGTATCCAACTGAGTCAGTCTCGTCAGCGAAGTTAAGCTATCGTTCTCACGAGTGAGAGGTCGGCCGGAAAATGGCACCAACAAGGATAGATCTGCAATGTAACCATCGTGAGAAGGCAAATGGAACCTTTGCGAACATCATGTTGGCAGCTGTCTTTTGGATCACACCATGTTGCCTGAAATGAGCTCAATGTGAGGCACAGTCTGATTTCCGACCGGATGACGGATGGGGATCTGCACGTGTCTCAGACGCTGTCAGCCTGGAGGAAAATGATTTCCAAACCATTTGAGACTCCCCAATCCATTGCAGACGACAGCAACCCAAACGAATTATTTCTCTTTTAAGACTCACCCCAATATGAGCGAATTTGACGAAGCCAGTATCTCTGCTTCGAAGGAGAGGCTGCTGTCACCTTCGTTGTCCGATTATGAGGACGCCCCTCTGCAACAAGTTCAGAAGCCATGTCGACACAAGTACTTCTGGGCTCTTATGCTTGGATTTGGCCTGTCCCTCATGCTGAATTTTGGATTGCTCGGTTATTCACTCTATAGAACCGAGCTATCGAGACCATCAAATCCGGAATTAACCAGCTCAGACGAGGGTATCACAACCCTCTACTGTAAGTAAATCTACACTAGTAGACCCTTCTGAAGGTATCTAACGTCTTCTAGCTCCAGCCAATGACGCTGTTGAGTACAGGTTGACCAAATTTGCGAGCTCAGTAGAAGGAGGCGAGACCGATTTCCAGGGACGGCCCTCGGCCAAATCCAACCAGGCTTGGAAATCTTTGTATGAAAGTAAGAAATATCCTGTTTTTTTTCTGCCTTGAGAGCTGCGTTGACAAGTCATTCTTGAGCAGACAGTTTTACGCACATTACCAAAGAAGAAGCACAGATTCTGCCGAACAAGACCGCGCCCGAGCTTGAGTCCGAGGGAAGCGGATACCTGGTCGTCCTGAATGTCTTCCATGACCTACATTGTATGGACAACATTCGCAAGGGGCTCTACTACTTCCTCGAGCCGCAATGGAACAGCACACATAATCCGTACATCCTGCACGAGTCGCCCGAAGCCGCACTAGAAGATCGCGGGGGCGATCACTTGAGTATCATGCATCTAGACCATTGCATAGACTCGCTGAGGCAGTCGATTCAGTGCACCGGAGATGTTGTCCCGAACGTATTTCAATACAGCCCGAAATACGGTGGTGTTCGGGCTCGCTCTACCGTTGTGCATGAGTGTCGCAACTTCAACAAGGTAAGTAGCAGCCATCCACTCAAACGAAAGGCAGGGCTCTCACACAATCTTTCGACAGATTCAGGAGTGGGCTGCAGAGCGCCACGTTCCAGGCCCCTTCAAAGACTTTGGCAAAGGCCCGGAGCTTGGCAAGTGCGGCATTGACGATCCATGGACATGTTTGTATGAGTAAAATATGACAACAATTTGAAGAGGGTTTATTTTCTCAGCTTCTGGGGCTTGCAACGTGATGCTCATCAAGGCTGAGGTTGAAGCGGACGTGCTGTTGAGCAACAGTATGGCCAGCGATAGCAATGTTCCGCATACTCAATCAATTATTATGTGTCACTACCTTGGCTCAAAGTGGTCAAAAAGTCGGTCAGAGCATAACAGCAGAAAGACAAACGTATGTCGAATGTAGATAAGCAATGCAAACATGTACGCATTGCGCCCATAAATGCACTGGCTGAGTAGTGCTAGGTCTGACAGACTCATGGCAACATTGAACCAACTGAACATGATCCGTTTCGCCATATACCCGGATTTCTACCGGATAATATATCCCATAAATTATGTTCCAAGGCGACATTAGATCTGCTAACAATTTACGCAAGAGATCCGAACTGCTGAATGTGAATCACACTGGGGTCGGCGTCACATCCCTGTACTTACCCCTGGCACATCGTGCTCCGCGAAAGCTCAATTAGGCAGCTGAGATTGAGGCTCCCGTCTCGGCTTGGGCGGCGGGAGGCTCACCCTGCATTGTTCTGTTGGTACTACTGCAGCAAGAGGTGTCAGCTTGTTGGCCCTCCTTTTTCATTTCTTTTCTCCTGCTCACTCTTGAACGGTGTATTGCCAACACCACAAACAATTGTGCTGCGATGAACGTGTCGGCGAACCTTGATGCCTTTGGGCCACAGTTGACAGGACGGTTTGACTTCACGCTTTATTTCGAACAAGCCATTTTGTCCCTCATCCCATCCGCCCTCTTCTTGGTCATCTTGCCCTGTCGGACCACTTGGCTGTTGCGGAGACATCCGATCCAGCGCAGCACTTGGCTTCTCTTGGCAAAGCTTGTATGTGACTTCGAAGGAAGCTCGATGATTGATTCTAAGACCTCCTTCTAGGCTGCGAGTACGGTCCACTTCTCCCTCCAAGCGACTCTCTTGGCACTTTGGTCACTTCCAACGACAATCAGGACTCCCGTCTCGTTAGCCGCGGCTATTCTAGCCCTCATCAACTCGATACTCATTGTCGGCCTGATATATGTCGAACATGACCGCTCAATCAGACCGTCTAAGCTCATCAGCATCTACCTGTCCCTCTCGTCGTTGGTTGATCTAGCCCAAGCTAGGTCGCTCTTCCTGCAGCAGCCCAACACATCTGGACGGATTGGGTGTGTTTTTGTCGCGTCTCTAGCAACAAAGTTCATTCTCGTCTTGCTGGAAGAAATACCGAAACAACGCAAACCAGGAACTTCATCCAAGGAAGAAATCAGCGGGCCGCTCAATAGATCGGTATTCGGTTGGCTCAGCTCTTTGTTCATCCGAGGGTCTCGGGGACTTCTGGCCGTCGACGACCTCGGTATTATTGATCGCAAGTTTGACTCCGCCCGGCTTCTGTCCAAGTTGAGCTCTTCGTGGGATAGGTGTGACAAGTCCGCGAAGCATGCCTTGCTCAAATCCACCTTCTCCGCATTCAGAATCAGCTATGTGGCCCCTATTCTTCCGCGGTTGTGTTTGGCAGCCTTCAACTTTTCCCAGCCCTTTTTGATCAAAAGAATCATTGAGTTTGTGGCCGTGTCCAAACACGCGCAATATCACGAGATCGCAGGAGGTCTTATTGGCGCTTGTTTTCTGATTTACCTGGGGCTAGCAGTGAGTGATTCTCCCCCTTGCCAAGGAGTCTCGTGCTGATTTCTTAGATCTCCAGAGGTATCTACAACCATGCGGTGTACCAGCTCACAACCACGCTTCGAGGCGGACTTGTATCCGTTATTTTCTGCAAGTCTCTGGAACTGGACGCTGCAACTGCTACCAAAGCAGAGGCCATTACTCTCATGAGCACCGATATCGACTCAATCGCCAGTGGGGTCAAGGATCTGCACGAGATATGGGCCAGCGTCCTTGAGCTGGGCGTGGCCGTCTATCTATTGAATTTGCAGATCGACGCGGCGTGCTTTGTTGTCATGATCCCAGCCGTTGGTAAGTGGTTTGGTGACTGCTCCCTGCCACCTCGACTCTATGTACTTATGGGTGACCAGTTTTGAGCTTCGTCATGGAGAGAGCCACTGATGGCATCGGTCCTGCCAGGATGGCCTGGAACGAAGGTGTCCAGGAACGCGTTTCTATAACTTCTTCAATGCTTTCTCAGATCAAGGGTGTCAAGATGATGGGTCTCGCCAACTATTTTGCTAAAACGGTACAGCACCTTAGGGTCAAAGAGCTTGACATGTCCAAGAAGTTCAGAGTGTTCATCGTACGGATAATTCTTATCTGTGAGTCTCTGCATCCACAACACTTATCACTAGTTCGTATCTGACGGCTCCGACAGCCAATCTCTCAGACCAGATGACCCCAGCCGTCGTTGTGACAGCTGCAGTATTCTGGACTCGCGCGGACGGCTTCACCGTATCTCAGGCCTTCACATCTCTAGCTATTGTGGCTTTAGTGTCTACACCTCTGGCCAACCTCATTGGATCCTACCCAACCTTTGTTTCATCTGTCGCCTGTTTCGGTCGCGTCCAGGAGTTTCTCGTACAGGAAGAGCGCAGATCCCAACGTCTTCAAGACGCTGACGCCTCCGAAAGAAAGCCCTCTGCAAACACACCTTCGATCTCTGATAACGCGTCACATCCAGCCTCACATGACCACGCCAACGAACTCAAAGAAATGCAACAAATTCCAGGGCAGTCAGACATTGCTATAAGCTTAGACAACGTGACTGTCTGTTTCGAGGGCAAGGAAGAGCCGATCCTCCGAGGCATCACGCTGTCCATTCCGAGACACAAATACACCGAAGTTACCGGCGTCGTGGGATGCGGAAAGTCAACGTTTCTGAAGGTCATTCTTGGGGAAATTTCTTCAATCGGCGGGTATATCCGTTTCAAACAGCCCAATGTGTCGGTTGCTTTCTGCGAGCAAACAGTCTGGTTACGAAACATCTCCGTCATGGACAATATCATTGGCCAAGAACGATTTGACAAGGAATGGTACGGCTGCGTCGTTTTCGCTTGCGACCTGAAAGAAGACATTTCCAGAATGCCAGAGGGAGACAGGACACTTGTTGGGAGCGGGGGCATCACACTCAGCGGCGGACAGAAGCAAAGAGTTGTAAGTATATCCAGGCCCCTGAATGAGAGTATATCCTCACTGATGTCGTATCATCTAGGCGCTTGCCAGAGCTGTCTACGCGAGACGGTCCATCATCCTCCTGGATGACCCTTTTAGCGCCCTCGACGCTGAGACCAGAGCCAAAGTTTTCAGTCGTCTACTTGGCGAGGAAGGTCTTCTACGGAAAGGCGATGCGACTGTAGTTCACGCCATTCCCGCCGGTACGTCTTCTTGCCTGTTCCTCGTCGTCAACTGTCACTTCATGATTGTTTCCTGAAATTACTGACATGACTCCACTAGGTCCACGCAAGTCGATTGCCGACAAAGTGATCCTTCTTAACAAGACGGGGTCCGTGGAACAAGCAGGACCTTCGATCAATCTTGCCACTGCTTTTAAGGACATTGATTTCGAACATCGAGCTGAAGACAGTACTCATCAGGATGAGAACGCAACTGTGGCGGCGGAAACTCCGCAACCCAAGGCACCAAAAGTCAATGACGAAGACGCTACTCAGAGGCAATCGGGTGACTTCTCACTTTACAGATTCTACCTCCAGTCAATTGGCCCGGCCCTAACCATCACATTCATTCTCTTTGCGGCCACATACATCTTTCTAGGCTTCATGCCAAACATCTGGCTGAGAATCTGGACCGATCATGGGACCAATGATGGAAGCCGCGGCGCCTACTTCGGAGCCTATCTGGCATTCTGCATTGGCACCGTTCTGTTTTCCGGGCTCGCCATTGGGATTTTCTTCGTCGTCGTCATCCCCCACTCGGCTGCACGACTACACTGGCAACTCCTCGACTCTGTCCTGAAAGCCCCTTTGTGGTTCTTCACAACAGTGGACAGTGGCGTCACCCTCAATCGCTTCAGCCAGGATATGACGTTGGTTGACCAGACTCTGCCCACGGCCTTTTTCGAGGTTGTGCTCGACACTCTGGTTGCTATCGCGTCCGCGGCACTTATTGCGTCAGGAGCCCAGTACTTCGCAGCCATAATCCCGTTTTGCGTCTTGCCGCTGTACTTCCTGCAGAAGTTTTATCTGAAGACATCGCGACAGATGCGTCATCTTGATCTCGAGTGCAAGTCTCCGCTTTACACTCATTTCACAGAGACCCTCAACGGTGTTGTGACCATTCGCGCGTTTGGGTGGCAGCAGGAATTTGTCAAGGAGCAGCTACATCTGCTTGATGTTTCTCAGAAACCTTACTACATGCTGTTCTGCATTCAACGATGGCTGGCAATTGTGCTGGATTTGTTCGTCACGGTGATTGCCACTGCTCTGGTAAGAATTCTCCTTCTCTTTGCTAGCCCGTGCTAGTAACTCATTAATCATTCACAGGTTGCATTTGCTGTTAAGTTCACCAATACCACAAGCGGTGGCGCCATTGGTCTATCCATGGTCAGCCTCATGGGCCTCAACTCCAGCTTGTCTAGACTCATTAGTTCATGGACAAACTTGGAGACTTCTCTCGGTGCAATCGCTCGTTTGCGCGACTTTGTCCGCGACACTCCTCACGAAGATAACATCGATGATCAGAGCCTGCGCCCAATCCCTCCAGGATGGCCGTCGTCAGGCGCAATAACTTTTCAGAACATCAATGCTAAATACAAGTATTCACTCAACCCCTCGCACTTCATGAAAAGCTTTGATGCTGATTTCCACGAAGGACCGATGATGAGGATATTCTCCGCGATCTGTCCTTGAGCATCAAGGCTGGCCAGAAGGTTGGCATATGTGGGCGCACCGGAAGGCAAGTCTTCCCCCTGCGTGTTCCAATACTGCAACGTCCACTTACGCTAGATACTCTAGCGGCAAAACATCTCTCCTTCTCACTTTACTCCGTCTTCTGGAGATACCATCGGGATCCATTCAAGTCGATGAGGTGGATCTCTGCTTGCTCTCGCGCGATGCAATCCGCCCGCACCTCATTACTCTTCCTCAAGACCCCGTCACTCTCCCTGGAACTATTCGAACCAACCTTGACCCCTACGAATTGTGTGACAGTCTTTCAGGAGAGAAAGTAATGTTGGAGGCACTGCAAAAGACTTTCCTCTGGGATGATGTGATCAAGCCTCAGGGCGGCCTGGACGCCAAATTCACTGACGTGAGCCTATCCCACGGCCAACAACAACTGTTTGCTCTGGCGCGCGCTATACTGCACAAGGACTCGAGTATAGTTGTTCTGTTGGATGAAGCGACTAGTAGTGTTGATCATGAAACCGATACAAGGCTTCAAAAGGTTATCAGAGACGAGCTTGCCAGCCATACCGTCCTGGCTGTGGCGCACAGGCTCGACACTATCAAAAACTACGATGTTGTAGTGGTGATGGATAAAGGTAGGGTTGTGGAGGTCGGCAATCCGAGACAGCTTTGCGGGCGAGAGGGATCGGCTTTTCAACGCCTCTGCGCGTATTGATTCTGTTCAAATGCTAGGTTCTTCGGGGCGAGTACTCATGGCAGGCTTCTGTAATGAGTCACTCACGCGTGCCATGTGAGAAGCACCTCGACATTAGATACGTCAAGAACGTTGTGCAGTTGCACGCTTCCGACTCTAGATAAGAAATGACTGAGCTTCATATATACGCAGCCACTATTCAATATTCAACACTCTTTGAATATCCAACTAAGCCTCTCCAGGGTCCGAGGGTGTTGGTATCGTCATTGAAGCCTTAGCTGGTCGTTCTGTTCAGCAATAATAGTTACTTTGGGACTGTCCAAACGGCCAGCTTGAAAGCAGGCTACCTCGATATTAGTCCTTATGTTAAGTCGAGTTGATCCATGTATCCTGCAAAATCGGCACGCACAAGCCCCGAGGACTGAAGTAGCCAAACGCTTTATACACATAAAGTTCTTCTCATAGTCTTCCAATGGGAGTAAAAGACCCACTGGAATGTAACGACTTGTCGTTCAGTCATTTTCTGCCGGAAACCTCGCTGTCCGCCGTTCGAGGCTCGCGATTATCAAGGCGACGGTGATGACGAGGGCGAGGGCGAAGGCGAGAAGAGGGGCAAGGCGGAAAGGGCTGCTGTTGGTTCGATTAGATGGGTCAAATTCGATGAAAGCCACCCGGTTGTGGATTTTGCCGATCATTTCTTGGATGTTTCTCGCACCTGAAAAGCCCATTCGTATCACACAATGGTTTACTACCTAGGATGGCCGAGAATTGAGGACATTCAACTCCGCCGACTCTCCATAAAACCCACGCCAAGTCCCCGTACGTTCGGTCTCCGCAAAGCAGGTATCAGCACGCACTTGAGAGACAAATGCGAGAAGTACTTCATGATAAGATGACATTAGTTCGCGAATGCATCCACAAGCTATCCTTCCGCAGCTCTATCACGCCTCCCAACCAGTGCTCAAGTACAACTTCAGGGCTTCGAAGCCACTAAGATACCGTCTTCTGCGAATGAAAACACCATCCAAGACAGACAATCAGCCATGTGATACGATAACGTACTGTGACTTCAGGTTTGTGTCACTAAGGTGAATCTAAAAGTCGCGGATCTTCTAAACTCGCAGTTGTCGGAGACCGTGACTCACGTCGACCTTTGCTTAGAGGGCCATTCACGGAAACTTACGACTCAAGAGTTCAGTCGGACCTTTGCTCTGCGGGTTAGGCCCGACACAACGGCCTTTTCTGCAATTCCTAAACGCGAGGCAAGTCTCCAAGAGTTTGGATTTCTCCAGTCTCATCCTAGGCTGCTCATAAAAAGGAATCAAGGCAATGCCTTGCGACAAATCGTAGTCGTTTGCGACATCACAATCTTTTCTTTCTCCGCGCTCTTAAGTTTTAACGGAACCACTCCATCGCCAACATCATCATCAAAGGCATCACGCGACATAAACATGACTGGAAAGTACATAATCACCGGTGGTCATGTCGTCACTCTGGACGACTCCCTGGGCGATTTTGAAAACGGAGCAGTACTCGTCGACAACGGGAAGATAATCGCCGTCGGCAGAGCTGAAGACATATGCGATCCCGATGCGGAGCTCATTGACGCCACGGAGGGCGTGGTCATACCTGGCATGGTCGACTGTCACCGCCACGCCTCGATGAGTCTCACTCGGGGCATCGGCATTGACCAACACCTGTGGCACTTCCTGTCCAACACTTACACCCGATGGCTACCGGCCACAGGTGTAGAGGAAATGCGAACTTCGGCATTGGTCGGCGCTCTTGAGGCGATCGAGAGCGGAGTGACTACCATTATGGACACGTGTGAGTCTTTTCATTCTGCCGACCACGCTGAAGCAGAACTCCAAGGCTTGAAAGACTCGGGAATCCGCGGATTCTTCTGCTACGGCATGAGCGGCGACCAGTATGGAGACGTCCCTGCGGGCAAAGCCGGATGGGAGGCCAGAATGGCCCACGTGGAGAGGATGGCACAGGAGCAGAAGTCGCAGGATGGGCTTGTTCGTGTGGCTCTGCACCTCAGTCAGGGCGGTACGATCCCATTCTCTTGGACAGGCGATGAAGTGAAGCTCGGCCAAGACCTCGGGATGCTTTGCTGTTCCCACACCAGCGCAGTCTTCAACTCCGTTCTCACCAATGACCTGGAAGTCCGCGCGGACAAGGGTTACATGCTTCCAGGACACGTCTACATCCATTGCACAAGTGTGAACGACCACGAAATGGGTCTCATCGCCACTACCGGGGGCAAAATTGTGCTCGCGCCCGACACCGATATCCAGATGGGTATGGGGTACCCTCCCCTGAGAGGGGCTGTTGCACACGGCCTGAAGCCTGCCCTTAGCATCGACACTTCGAGTGCTACTCCGCCTGATCTGCTCTCCCAGATGCGGCTGCTACTTCAAGTGCAACGCGGATTGGACCACAACGTCGCCCATCTCGATAAACGCATCTCGTTTGAGATGGGGTTTGGGGCCCGAGATGCTCTTATCTGGGGGACCCGGAATGGCGCAGAGGCTGTCGGCCTCGGAGACCAAATTGGTACTCTTACCCCTGGGAAGCGTGCCGACATCGTCATTCTTACCAGCATACGCGCCCTCAGCGGATCAGCCAATCATCTTGGGACAGCCGTGCTTCATTCAACACCTTCCGACGTCGATCTGGTCATGATTGACGGGCGTATTCGCAAGAGAGATGGAAAGCTGGTGGGTGTCGATGTCGCAGCGATCCGGGCCAAGGCGCGAGAAGGGCTCAGGCGCATTCAAGATAACCTGAAGAAGATGCGCGCAGAGATGTCTCCTGAACAGGTTGAGAAGTTCTTCAGAGACGGTGAGAGGGCCTTCCGAGTCAACATGGCGGACGCATACTCTCAAGGAGCTGAGGTCGGTGACTACCTCCGTGCCTAAGCCAGCTGCGGTGGAGCACAAAACTTCATAATGGAAAAGGAGTGTGTTTATGATTAATCATCAAGGATTACAAATAGAAAGAAGACATCGTATGCCAAGACGTGCTTAAATATTGTTGAAAAGGTGTCTTTTGACGGGTGTTTGATGAAACAAGGCCTTGTCATCAAGTGCGTGAGGGTCTGGACTCGGACAATTGGCTGCATTCCGTCCGAAGCTGCGGCCCCATCAATCCAGACATCGAGATACGAGAAAACCAGTCCCTCTATAAGTACAGATCTCCGCAGTCTCGGCGCCTCTTAGAAAAGACGGGGACATCAATTTCCGGCGGCGTTCGTTTTCATTTGCATCTCAAGTTCCCTCACAAGCAGCAGCTATGGATCTCTCAAAGCTCACCAAGAAGTCCTTGGACTCACGGGGTCTAACTTACACTTACTACACCTCTTCCGCGTCTGGCTCGAAACCCACTCTGGTACTTCTTCATGGTTGGCCTGATAATGCGCAACTCTGGGCTGGTCTTATCAACAACTTTCTCATCCCGCGCGGATATGGAGTTGTCGCTCTCGATAACTTAGGATACGGAGAAACCTCGAAGCCCACGGATCCCAAGCTTTATGCTTGGAACCACCTCACGAGCGATGTGATCCGTATTCTGGATGCGGAGGGATTGGATACCGTTATATCGGTCGGTCACGACTGGGGAAGTTTTCTCTGCCAACGTCTCTACAACTTTTACCCAAACCGCGTGCGCGGTTTAGTCACAGTGAGCATTGCCTACTCACCGCCGACCACAGCCTTCAACCTGGACATGGCAAACCGAGTCACAAAGGATATATACGGCTATGGTTTACTCGAATATTGGCACTTCTTCACGGCGGACGACGGGGCCAGGCTAAAGAATGAGAACCTCGAATCGGTTTATGCGGTTGCCTTTGGCGACCCGCTGACTTGGCGACAGAACTTCTGCAGCCCCGGGGGCATGCGGAGATTCATCAGCGAGGGTCGCACGCAGCCGACGCTGCCATTCGCCACATCTCAACACAAGGAGGAGTTCATGAGAAGATTCGGCAAGGACGGCTTCGAAGGCCCTTGCTGTTGGTATAAGGCGCAGACCTTTGGTGTCCAAAATGAGGCCGACGCACTGGTGGCCGACAACGCCAAAGTCTTGGTGCCGGTGCTTTACTGGGGTGGCCAAGACGACCAGGTCTGCAAGCCCGAAGCTCTACAGCCAAGCATCAACGCCGGTCTCCTCCCTGAAGTCACTAGCAAAGTTAGGGAGGGTGGACATTGGGCTCTTCTTGAGAACCCGGTCGAGTTTGGTCAAGATGTCTTGTCTTGGCTGGAGAAACATTTCTAAAGTCAACTACAAAGCGGGTAGTCGTCTCGCTGCAGCATAGCGAAGTCCATCAGAAGTCTCAACTCATCCGCCATTACAACTTGCCGGCAATTGTGTCCGTATTGACCTTGTGATGCTCGCACGTAGCCAGAACCAGGTTGTCTTGGACTCTTCGCAGCGTTCCCTTGAGTAAAGACAGGTTTCGCCCAACGTGAACGATTGCACACTCGACTCTACACTGGTCGCCGGCTTTAGCGGGCCGCAGGTAGTTGCAGTTGAGAGCGCGAGTAACACCGAGACGTTGCCAATGACCAGGTTTCTCGTTGACCGTAAGGAGAACCATGGACGTGAGCAAGTCGAACAGCGTGGCTATGCAACCGCCATGGAGTGTTCCGATACGGTTGCAATGGGCCATCTGAACCGCGAAGGTGAAGACGATGTAAGGTTGGGGCTCGTCAGGGAACGCGGATTCCAACTCCACGAACGGTAGAATGGAGAGACCCCAGTCCTGCAGATGTTTAGCGGTAAAATGTGACAGCTGGAGTGCCAAGTGTGCCTACGCCTTCCTGCCATTCATTGTCCCAGTTCTTCTCCATCTGAAGCCATGCTCGCAGACGGCCTTCGGCAGACGAATTGCTGCTGTAAATGTGTCTCAGGTGCACCGGCAGATGCTCCAAAGAGGAACTGACTGATTTTTCATTGGTCATCGCGTAGAATGGTCCTGATTTGCGGTTTCCCAGGGATGAATCCGACAGGGATTGATCGGCGAAAGCATAGCTTTTCAATTGCGAACGCGGCACGCACGCCAGCCGAGGCTCCGGCAGGTCTCCAACTTTTACCGGTTCACAAGCTCGGCTAATTTGGGCTTTCGCGCTAGGGGGATGGCCTTCCTGATCGGGACAGTGGAGCCGCCGGACGCCGGAAGTCCCGTGCAGGTGTGGGGTTAGTGGGGTAGTCCCACGGAGAGTTGCCGTCTCCGAACGCCGGGTCGAACCCGGAGGAGGAGGGTTTCGCCACTCCTAAAGCGACGCTGAGTGACAACAAGGCAAGGCTTTTTGACGGAAACGGGCTTACCGCGTGCATATACAAGGCATCGTGAAGCGATTTCGGTGAAGAAGAATAGGAATTAGACCCATATTGTGTGCGCAAGTTACGTCAATGTTTCTATCCGATGTTACTAGAACCAAGAAGAGCAAAATCAATATACGACTTATGACCTGTGACTGCTAATATATATCTCCTAAACTCTCCGCCGCGTTCATACTCTCACTTCTGGTCGTTACTCTTGTCCTGCATCAGTTGGCACCGCTCAACTTTGTAGCCCCCTCAATAGATGGCAGCCAGCTGTACTTCGTAGCACAGAACATCTCAGTCGTGGGCTTGAAATTCGTCTCAACCAAGTCCCACCTGTCGATGGTCCCAGTCTTCACAATCACCACACCAGCGGCCAGCTCGCTGGTAACGTAAAGCGGGGAGCCGCAGTCTCGACAGAAGTGCGAGGAGCCGTCCTTGCCTGATTCTCCTTTGTTTGTGTACTTGGCAGGTTCCCCTCTTATCAGCTCAAAGGCAACAGCTGGAACGATAATATTGGTGCTAAAGCTGCTGCCGTTGCCGCGTTTGCACTTGAGGCAGTGGCAGAGCGCCTGGTTCTTGTTAGGTTGAATGGCCCCTTCTCCTCACTTCATTCATCTGGAAGTTGGTACTTACCGACGCCAATGGCTGGCCCCGAAAAGCATATTTCACCTTGTCACAGGAACAAGATCCTGTGGTAATCGAAGTTGCTGTTTGTGACGACATTTTCGTAGAATCCTGGAGGGTCGTAGTGATGATGATAAGAATGAAGTTGCCCAGACATCAAGGTTTCCAGCCGAATCGTTCCCAGAGGACAAATTTATTGCCGGCTTCATCCGAGCCATGGACGTCCCAAGTCCAACATCTTGATCCTGGCCGCTCCCCAGCCTGTTCGCGGACGCCGCGAAGTCCGTAGACCTATGTCAATTTGGGCGAGCTATACCCGGCCCCTGCTCGCTGATCCGGAATCACAGTCTTTGCAAATCAACAAGTGTTCTTTTAGCCCCTTGATTCGTCCCGTCATGTGAGTTCTTTGTGGCTTTTACAGAGCCACGTCGACCATAATGTTCAGCGAAGTTCTCAACTCAAGTCATAACTGCTTTGCTCATGCAACTCGGTGACTCGACGAGGTCGAAATCTCACTGAGTAAATCTCTGAAGGTCCTTTTCAGCTTTACTCAATGTACTAATTGATCTCTTTTGTCGATGAATCAATTTGACCAGATCTATGTGCTCCACATCACGCTGGCAAGGCGACAGAATGCATTTCAGAAATAACTGAGAGATGGACGTCTTGCAGCGCGAAATGTGTCGGGGAATGGACGGTTTATCGTATTCATACTGACCAGGGTCAGTCTACATGATTTGAGACTACTCTCTGGGTACGGCCGCCGCAGTTCGTAATTCCCCGAAGAGTCCCATTCCTCCGCACGGGATCTGCGCGGGTACGGGTATGCTCCGCTGGAAACCGGTCACTTTCAATGTTGTCTTCTCCATCAACGGGCGGCTTACTGGCCGTGAATGCTAAACAGGCATGAATTCAGGGCGTGCTGGCCGCAATCGACATGCCGGTCATTGGTCTAGCGTGAGATGGCGGGGCATCTGCGTACCAGGTGCGGCCCGCAGACGGTTCATCGGACTCCGGATGGTGCTAGGTAGAGTACTAGGAACTGAGTCAACTTGGATTCAGTCTAACACGACACGCGCGTATTTCGAGCCACGTTGCTGTCCAGCAAACCGTTGAAATCATATAAGAACGGACCTCATCAACTCAGAATCACTCAGCTGTGACTTAAGTATTCTACAGACAAGTGAATTTCTCAGCAGCATCTCACGTTTCTTGAAGCGGCCACGACAAAATGATACAAGTAATTTCCATCATTCTACGGGCACTGCTCTACTTCTCGTTTCTCGTAAGTCATGACCCATCTCTTTCACGATTTCTTTCTTTAATTAAATTAATAGAGCTTCGCATACCTCGTTTTCAACTCCGTTTACAACCTCCTATTCCACCCCCTGCGCAGATACCCAGGGCCGAAGCTATGGGCCATGTCTCGACTCCCCTACGCACGCATGTGCATCTCTGGCAAGCCATACCGCAAGATCCTGGAACTTCACAAGCAGTACGGCGACACCGTCAGAGTCGCCCCCAACGAGCTGTCATACCTCTCTCCGCAGGCGTGGACCGACATCATGGGCCACCGGAAGGACGGGCAGGAAGAAAACGGCCACGATCCCGAGTTCTACTCCCCTACCAAGGCGGAGATCTTGTCGTGCGATCGGGAACGGCACGGTAAGATGAGACGTCTGCTTTCGCACGGTTTCTCCCGACAGAGAATGCGAGAGCAGGAGCCCATCATCACATCCTACGTCGACCTGCTGATCAAGCGGCTCAACGGGCTGTGTGAGTCCGGCAAGAACCACGTGGAGATGACTTCGTGGTATAATTTCACCACGTTCGACATCATCGGAGATCTGACCTTCGGCGAGCCCTTTGGCTGTCTCGAGAACTCCGGCTACCACCCCTGGGTGACTGTCATTTTCGATAGCTTGAAGTTCGATGCGTTCCTGGCTCACGCGAGGCGCTTCAACATCCTTTCGAAGCTGTTGCAGAGATGCATCCCGACGAAGCTAATCAAGGGCAGGCTCGAAAGCTCAGCTCTCACACGTACTAATGTCAACCGGAGACTGGCGCTGGGGACGACTCGTCCGGACTTTGCTGATGCGATGATGAAGGAAACACCATCTTTCGTAACTAAGCACTTCTGTGAAAAGTATCGAATGCATCTTAGCTGACGGATCCCGTTTAGTCGCTCAGCCGCGAGGAGCTATACGAGAACTCCAACATCTTGATCAATGCCGGGTCGGAGACGACTGCTACCGCTCTTTCGGGCGCCACCTACTTCCTCACCACGAACCCCGCCGTACAGGAGAAACTAGCCGCTGAAGTTCGAGGGGCGTTTTCTTCGGAAAGCGAGATCGATATGACGAGCACGGACAAGCTGGAATATCTGAAGGCCGTGATTGAGGAGACGCTGCGAGCCTACCCGCCTCTTCCCACCATACTGCCGCGTCGAACTGGTCGTCAAGGCCAGAACATCCTCGGCGAATGGGTTCCTCCTGATGTGAGTTGATCTCCTTCACCTCCTGTATCCGTGGGTAGCTGACGTCATCCCAAGACTATCATCGGCATATGGCAGTGGGCCATGTACCACGACGACAGGCTGTTCACCAAGCCGGATGAATTCCATCCTGAGAGGTGGCTCGGTTCGGAAGACTTCGCTAGCGATCGCAAGGAGGCCATGAACCCTTTCCATGTCGGGCCCAGGAACTGTCTTGGGATGAAGTAGGTTGCACCAGTCACATTCACCTCTTATACAAGCCAGCTAACCAACGGGCGTCTTCCAGCTTGGCTTATTCGGAGTTGCGCCTGATATTGGCAAGGATCATCTGGAACTTCGAGTTGAAGCTGGCTCCTGAGAGCCGAGGATGGCTTGACCATGAGTGCTACTTGATGTGGGACAAGCCGCCCCTGAACGTCTATCTGTCTCGCAGGGTGTGACTTCGACCATGAATTTGCTTCTTATCTTACGTAGAGGGTAGATGGGTTTCTTACGAGAGATACAGAATCATTTGGCTTTTGTTGTTGGGAAGGACCTGGGACATGCGTTGACAAGACGAGGCCATTGATTCAACAACGCCGGCACACGTGTTCTGAATTACTCTCTCACAATCGACCTCTTTCTCCACGAGTTTGCATTCAATTTGTTCCTCCATCAAAGTATTCCAAGAAATATTGCCCAAATGAATCCGCATATATAGGAAACGTACGGATACAGGCCTTGTAACCTTCAATATAACCAAAGTTGAGAGGAGGATAAGAGAGAAGGGAAACGTTTCGGGAGATACGCAGCTAACCCGGCGTTTGATGACGGTAATTTGGTTTTCTTTCTTCAAGGCACGCTTTTGATACTCGCCGTCACTCATTTCCTCTGTAGTTTGCCTATTCCGGGAGCAGAATACGCCGTGGATGAGTGCCCTCTCTTGAAGTTCAAACTTGCGGGCCACGCCCCTATTCTCGCGAAATACAACATCCATGTCCTGCTGACGTTTAGAAACGTAGAGATAAGAGTTTAGGCCTTCCAACGGATGAAGTCCTCTAACACACTGGCTGCAGGTTGACCACACGAAAGGCTTTACCATGCGAGAACTTCTTATACTACAACCACCACGCCTCAAACCCTCACTAATGACGTTCTGTATGTCTGTTGAACTACTTCGGCGCAGAGTGTGATGGCATGATCGATCGTGCGAGGTGCACATCTCGGACATCAACACGTGGACGGAACCAAATCTCCCCGCTTCAAGCGATTCACGTTGGTATTTAAGGATACCATCGCACCACAAGAAGTGAGCTCGAAACACATCCCAGTGCATCAAATTGACCGGTTTGATACCACTGAAACAAAACCGCAGTGGAATCTACTTGAATCGATGATGCGTCCAGCATAGTTGATCTAATGCTGACATTGACATGCACCTCGCCTCGCCTATCCCGAGGGTATTGTGACCATATACACCAGCAACAGCAACGACGAGCAAAAGCCCCGTCGGGCTACGATCAAGTCTTTCTCATCTCATTCTCAACAACGTCACTCACCCTTCTAAACCTAAGTTCTTAGCCATCGGTAGTGGAACCGAGCGCATTAAGTTCAAGCGATCTCCGTGATGAAATCCAAGAGGCGTTCAGGCCACTGGTGTATTATATATAACATTTGAATGCTGACACTGACTACGCAGAACTGGAACTGTGTTTGAATACGATCTGTTGTTTCCCCGGACTCTCGCTCAGAAGCCAGACAATTCTCAAGTTCTGCATTCCTCTCTCACGAATGCAGCGGAATGGCGGACTCCAGGCCACAGCCACGTCATCTCGTTCCCAAGGCTCGTGACGCTGATATGCGTCGTGAGTAACATCAAACTCGAGCATCTGCGCCTCTAAAAGAAGACGTGTCTGAATAAATCAGAGACAACGACAAGAAAGGACGACGGGAGACGGTCGAGTCTTTGAACTGTACCTCGACATCGTGGGTTGTTTCCGAGTCGCAACGGCATCATCGCGCCAGACAACAACGACCAAACCTCCGATACTATTGGCTCGTGGCAAATGCCACAACTGTCGATGCCATTGCTTCCGTACAACTCCATGCTGGCTGATGATTTCTTATATGTACACGTGTTTCAACCAGCAAGCCAGGGCTCACTAGCTTTGCAAACCGTATTGTCAACACATGCCGAGACTTCAGAGGAAATGACTGTATAAGAACAGCGTAACATCGAAGATCTTCTGGGGAGTAGCTGGACTCAGATGAGCACCAAACACGACGCTGGCTGTCTCATCAAACCTCTCACGGCATGGTGTACGAGCTTCATTGTCAAAACAACTCATCTTCTGGTAGTTCGAACCATAAGACAGGCCTTTTAGAAAGAATAGAATCGGCTTGTAAAGGTGTTGTCATTCATTCTCACTGCCCTTGCCAATACTCGAATCTAAACGACTTAGATATGAGTTAGCCGGCGCGACCAAGCTGATTGAAGCACCGGAGACTCTCGAAATCGGCGCGCGGCCGAGAAGAAAAAACAAGATACCCAGAATGATCCAAAACCGCAACTCAGCGCCTCCAACGAAGAAAAAAACTCCTCAAACTCCTCAAACTACAACCGGTGCGCTGGCCCGCGCTGGAGCTGCTCACAGCCAGGACCCCCAAAACCGCCAGCTCGAAAAAGAGGGGCTCGGCACCCGCTACTTGGGCGCGCTAAATGACATTTCCCTCACAACCAATCACTGGCGTTGTGGCAGAGTGGTCTAATGCGCAAGACTAGAAATCTTGTTCCTTCGGGAGCGTCTGTTCGAATCAGGCCAACGTCGAGATTCTTTTTTGCATTTTTGTCCCCGTTGACTCAGACCTACCCACGAACGAAACACATCGTATTTTTTTTTTGCTTTCCGTCGTTGAAAATCTTTTGCTCGTACATGCACCGTACTGAGTCAGTTCCGATTGGACCCCCTTCCGAAGCTGCACGGCACAGGCGACGCAACGACGGGAGAACGACAATCAACAAAGAGGCGAAGAGGAGGGAGGGGGTTGATCAGCCGTGTCACAGTCGCAGGTCTGGAGATCTCGAGAGGGAGTTTCGATTCCTGCCAGGGATGATGCCCGCGGCGTTTTGGGCTCCGAACACAACACACAACGTGCAACTCAAAGTCTCGGGCTGAAGAAAAGGAAGAGAGGCGAGACGGCATCAAGTCGCGTCCATGTTCCGACGTCTCGAGTCCAGGGCGGGGGCGCACATTACGCTCGGAGCGGGCTGCGGTGTGCGGCTACGTCTTGAGCCGCCCTGACTCGAATTTTCGTTCAGGATTCTCTCATTCCATCTCGAATGCTAGAATTTTCTGGGTTACGCTTGCCAAGAGCAAGCTATCAATGCGTAACTTTCTCTTTACGGTTGAGTTGAGTTCCTTTTCGGCAGGTGCGTTTGCTGGGAAAAGGGGCAGAGAAGCGATTTGTGAGTGATTATCGATATGACTACCGGAGGAGAGATCTTCACCTGCGAGCTAGACAAGCTGTAGGATGTGGTGGTATTAGAAGGCTGCGCCGCTGACCACATCCGTGTCGGTGTGTAACGGTAACCAGCGGCCGCCTGGAACTGGAAACCGCATTCCCGGAGATAATCCCGAGCGCTGCAGTTAATAGGGGGTTATCCGAGTGAAAGAGGCGTGTGGTCACGCGGGTGCTGTGAGATTATCTTCGAGGTCGAGGTGATTCAATGATCTGTTAGCTCAGATTGCAACGTGTCGCGCTCTTGGGCTTGAGGAGTGAGCACGTCCCAATGAAACTAACGTGCGTGATGGCTTAGTGATGGCACGCGGATAGCTCGAACTAGGAGCGTGGTCTGGTTCCTAAGACTGACGGTACTGGCGTTCGCTTGATAGCAATTCGGCCAAGGGAAACTTATTGGACGTAACAATTCCCGCTTGGTCGGATGCTTGGGTCAGATCTGTCTCTGCAAATGACGAATAATAGGAACGGGCCTCTGACAGACGGCCAAGCGCGATTTCAGAGCCGGTGTCATTTCCCGCACGGCGTCTAACAAAGCCCCACGATGGGGTTGAGGCTCGTGGGAGTCGATCGATATCCTCCGTAGCAGGTCTCATGTGCCGCCGAGGGTCTGTCCAGACGACCTCGAGAGGGAGAGGACTCGAGGAGGCCACACTGAGATGAGCCTCCACTGTGACTTGCGTGCCGTCTCGATCGCCAAGTGCCGTGCTTCTTGATTCGACGCTGGACGAGGCTCGACAATCTCGAATTTGCAATAATGAAATAGCTTTGAGGAGGATCTTCGGCCAGTGAAGAGACAGGGAGCCTCTTTTGGGATGCCAGGCGGAACCAGGCCAGGGGTGCGAGGACTGGGTGGGTGGTCAGAGCTGATAGAGTCCAGACCAGCGCGAATCCGCAGGACGAGATGCTTCGATTGCGGCGGTGGGTTTAGCTCTTGTGCGATGCTTGCCTGCCGCGGGGAATGGGACTGGATAGTTCTTCGATCCGACATTCCGATGACCCCTCCATCTTGGGTCTCGCAGCAGCTGTGCTCCTGCAGCAGCAAAAAGACGGTGTGGCGCTGGTTCATTGCATCGCCAAGATGCACCGTGGACAAAGTCGAGTTAGCAAAGCGAAGCCGCGGCAAAACCACGAGGAGTGCAGAGCGCTTCAGAAAATTCGAATCACTAGTGCAGACGAAAGAGGCGTGTAACGCGGCGAAGGGCTGCAGGTAAATTGCGGTGAGGCGGGTGAGTCCCTGGAAACTCGGGGTGTTGGAACGTGTTGGCAGTTGCCAGTTCTGAGGCGTCGAGTTCCGAAAAGGCCTCTCGGTAAAAGGCTTCTGGTTCTTTCAATACTGGCGAATTGGCTCCGTCAGAGTCCGGGGTTCAAGGGCTCTGGATTTCTGGAGTCTGGGCCGAGACACGGCGGGAGAGAGAGTCCACTTTCACCCACTTGCTCCCGCTTGGCGGTCGAGTGGACGGCGGCGGTGCTGTGGTGCATGAGCATTGAGGAGCATTGGAGTTGCAGTATTGAATCGGGCATCGGGAGCATTGCTCAATGCCGGAAGCTCTCCATACTATGCGGCCACATTCCATGCTACGCAATGGCCATTTGCGACCCATCGACAACGAAGCTTCTCGGCCTTGCTTATGGCGATGTCAACGACGCAGGCTGATTGATCCGGGCTGGTTTATTAAGTGAAATGATGGGAACCAGTGTTCGACACGCGTCTGCCCACCGAACCGCTTGGGTTTCAACGATGAATGGTCGTCTCCACGACGACTGGCAGGTTGAGTCCATGTTAAGAGGTGCCCGATATAGCAGAACCGCATAAGAAACAATCTAGAGCAACGTTGCGAGGGTTCGGGGACAGCGAGAGAGGCGAAAGATCCCGGCACGCGGCTGATATGTGACGGATTGGCGGATGTGTGGTGACAGTGAGGGTTGACAGGAAACCGCTGTTTTATCAGAAAGAGCTAAGGCTCGAGAGGATGATTTGAAGGATGAGAATGACGAGCTTAAGCAGCATCCCTGGAGTGGTTAGTAGCGTCGACGATCGCGAGTAGTAGCGCCAACTTGTCAAGCCGCCAAAAGCGCAGGTGCCGCTGTGAGGTGCAGCTTGGGCGTCAAACGTGCGTGGGAGAGCGAGGAGGAAATGCGAGGATGCTGTCGACTGTCCACTTCAAGTGGAAGTGCAGTCGGGCAAGTGCGGGTCGAGGAAGTTGAGGTTCCAGTTTTTAACTTGGTGATGGCCCTGGATTCTGGAGTCTGGAGACTCTGGAGACGAGGTTCGCATTCACATTGCGAGGATGGCATTGGCAAGTGAACCGCCCACGTCGGGAGAGATCCACCAGTTATCTCAACTTGGGTTGCTGTGAACCAACTGAATCGAGTTGAAAAAGCAGTCGATCCGTAGAATGTGTTGCTGACTACTCCGTTGAAAGATAGAAATACACCAATGATGAATTGTGCTCTCCTTCTCTCCTTCTCTAACAAAATAAAATAAAGGGTGCCCGGTCGTTATTGCCATGTTGCTTGCACTTAAAGGCCCGTTTAGCCAGGGGCAAGCGAGGCCGCTAACAACGATAGGCTTCTGGAGGACAGTGGAGGCCACGAGGACCCACAGGCGCCGGTCCACGTCCTGCAAGCCTGCAAGCCTGCAAGCCACCTAAGGTACCTGGCCAGGCACAGGGCAGCCAAGCAGCCTGCAAGGTACCCGGCCCTCCAATTCCAATTCCAATGTCCACGTCCCCTCGTCCATTTCCATTGCCATTTGGAAGGAACTGCCCGCGTGAGGTGCCTTAGGTAAGAAAGTGTAGGGAAGAGGGAAGGAGGAAGGTATTCATCATGGAGGGTTGCATTCTGCGCCGTTACTGGTCAGCAAGGAAAGAAGAGGAAAAAAAAAGGAGAGATGCGCCCCAGCGGCACGAACTCGTTTAGGCGGCGCCGTTCGGGTTGATTAAAATTTGGCTGAGATGAAGAGAACCATATTCGGTCATGTACGGTAGGGTCATGTCGTATTGGTCGCTCGTTCGAGTCGAGACCACATCGTTCATGGGAAAGGGGAACCCGCAAATGCTTCTATTCTTTGCTTCTTTCGTCATGGTCATCGTGGCCGTTGCCGATACACTTTTTCCTCCCACCTTATCCCGAACATGTTATTCAGGAACAAGTGTTCATATTTAGCATCTCTCGCCGGACTCCGAAATCTTAACTCATGCCCGAATGCTAATTATGGGACACCTGCTGATACTGCAGGCCGGCTGCTGCTACAATACTGTATGGATGGATCCAGATGGATGATGGAGGGCAGAGCAGGTATCACCATGATTGCGGCCTCACCTGAAATGCACCCGCCGCGCCCGGAGCAATCAATTGTGAATACCTCCAACTATATTGCGGCGTCAGCTTGAGTGATGCAGATGCAGTTGAGGGATGATGGATGCTCGCCGTCGCCTGGGCAAGCGCGTCTTCTGACCGCAGCGCCCTTCATTGTTGCTTGTAGATTACTGCAAAGAGTACCTGAAACATGCAAATTGCTGGGGAAGGCCGTCGTCGGTTTTTCCCTCAGAATGCGGTGTGTCCTACGGCTACTTTTTGTGTGTTCCCTCTTGCGGTGTTTTCCATCTTCGATACAGATTCGCTGCAAATGTCGTCTGCACCACGGGCAAGAGCGCTGGACTCAGTAAGGTGCAGATGGAAGAATGCCTCTCCAGGGCAGGTACGCCGTAGAAACCCGATCCACCCCGCCGCCTTCCACTTTGCCCAACGGTCCTGTCCATTTTGTTCTGCATCTCGACACAGCATTCGATGGACCCTCGCCGGTGAAATCTGTCGCAGGTGAACAGGTCTGCTCCTGGTGTAATCCGGCCTCACAACTGATGCTCAACAAGGGCCTCACCACTGCTTGTTCCGACCTCCAATGGATCTGATCTTATTCTTCCCTGCCCTAAACCGTACACCGTACCTTGCGCAAACCTCGTGGTCACACATCACACGTGCAAAGTCTAAACACCGGAAAGAAAGGAACTTCGACATCATCAACCTCATCATCAACCCTCGACCACAGGGCATCACCCCTCCTCCAAGAGCCACCCTCACCACCGCCCACAAACCATCCACCACCAGTCCCCTCCGTCCATCTCCGTCCGGGCCCAGCTCCATCCTGTGCCCTTTGCGCGCATCAACACCAAGCAGATTATCCTTGTACCCTGCCTGATGCTCGTCAACCGCCAGGCCCAACCTGGCATGGACCGGACAAGGCCGCCAGGGGTTCTCGACAGCCACTGTCTGTGCTTCACTCTGACCACCCACACCTTGCACAGGGGTCTCTTCTTCATTGAACAGCACCAGCACGAGGACCAGCAAGCTCCAGCTCCAGGTCAAGCACCACTGGACCACACTGAGACAGACATTGACTCTCCTCTACTCCCCAACTTCGCCAAACATCCCGACACCCTCTTTCCCAACTTCGAGACGCGAGACGCAACACATCGACTCCAAGCGACTGATCCTCAGACCAGCTTATCCCGTCCCGTTTCTCGTCTGTTGCTCACCGTCTAGAATCCGCTGCATGTTTCTCGCATCTGCGCTGGTCCCAAAACACGCTCCAACACTGCATCCTTGACAGCAACCAAGATCCCGGGACCTCGTGCGACTCTGCAGCAAAGCGCTTCGCCCAAAGTCGAGAAAAGGAAAACCAAGACATCACTTCCAGACCGAGCGGCGCCTGCTGAAGACCAAAAGGTCACATGCTCCAATTCCACTGCGCCTACCACCCGGGATCCATACGAGTCCTCGACCCCGTCACATCACATCAACATAGTTTCCGATCTTAAGCTGGAAACAAGGCGCGATCGTGCGTCCCCCCCGTTAGCCCTCCAGGGACAACGTCAGTTCACGTCACTACCGCTCTGGGCTTTCTAGAAACACTCAAGAGGAGCCCTACATCCTCATTGCTCCGTGAACACACCTCTTCTCCCGCCACTTCCGCTTCTGGACCGTAGCCCACGCGACGGATATCACCTTGATGCGGTCTGGAAAGAGTATTGGGATACGGACGATTCGCCTTCAGTAGACACCAGGACCTTGGCCGCGAGGCCAAGAGAATTTCACAACAATGGCTATGCCACGGGAGTCGAGCTTTATGCCGACCATCAAGTGCTCGTCATGTGCTCAGCAGGTCGAGATCTCCATGATGGGAGAACACATTTGCGGCGGTGCACCTCCAGAGCGTAGGCAAACCTCACGCAGTAACCCTTCGGAACAGGCACTTACACTCATCACAGCCATGCCGCCAATGCCAGAGCGTCCAGACAGTCTCGGTTCATACGATCAACCTCCGCCGCTCGACAACAAGTATGGCAGAATGGCACCTCCCACTCTGGATACGAGTGCAGCGAGTAAGTTGGATCTTCGTGGTAGGCTCAGTGTATATGTATCGCTAACCAAGCTAGATATACCATATATGCGACAGAGCCAGCTCACCCCAATCAGCACATCGACCGGATCAATCAGCGTTTCACCGAAGACGCCCAACAGTCAAGCTCTGGGCCGATCAGATGACTACTTTCAACCGCAGATTGCCAACGACTTTGGCTCCAATCAGCAGACTCGTCGACCTGGAGGTTATGGAGCGTTCGACGAAGGAGATGAATTTGGGGACCAGATGTACCCGACTGAGCAGAAGAAGCAGGCACCGAGTCTCCTTCAACGCATGAACACCATCGCACCGGGACCATTCGAGATGGGAAGGAGGGGAGGAGCACCACCCGCGGCCAAGCTCGCCTTGAGACCATCGAGGAAAGAGTCGCTTACGCCCGACGACAGCTTCGGTGACCGACCGCTAACTTCGGCCTCTAACAACTCGTTCATGTCTTCTGGGAGCAGCAACGCCGGCGGAATCGCGCCACCAAGGCTACCGAGGAAGAACGGATATGGAGGATTTGGGCCTCCGGGAACGACGCCAGACGAATTCGAACCGGAACCTTTCCAAAGCCGAGCAGGCACCTTCCCCCGCCCCAGCGAACCTATGGAACCACCTGCGAGAACGCCTTCGGCCCCTGGTCTTCGACCTGACAGATTGAGCAGGCCGTCGAACGGACCTGACCACGAGAGAAAACGATCAATGGGACCTGATACATCGAGACCGCCGCCACCGAGAACAAGCCTTCTCCGGCCTACAACTGCTGGAAGGGACCGTGTGCCGCCCGTTGACCTAGCCAGCGAGTTTGGAGCAAGCAACCCGTACCACACACCTTCAGCCTCTACATCGTCCGCGTCCGGGGCTTCAATGTTCAGCCATGGTCGTCAGGCGAGCTCTCAAAGCTCACAGTCTAGCGCCCCACGCTCAAGGCGAAACCCCTCCGACACGACAAACTTCGATCATCTGATGAACGACATTGAGTCGTCGATGGCTGCCATGTCCCCTACCAAAGACATGGCTCCTCCACCTCCGCCGAAGCCGGCGCCGAGAGACCCTTACTCCGGTCGTCGTGGACCCTCCGAGGATCTTCGCAACGACCCCGCTGTTCAAAGTGGACGACCTCGCCCAAGATCACCTCTCGCCAGACCAGATTACGATGCTCGTGACCCCAGGGACCGCTACGACCAGGGCCACGACCGTCGTCCGAGCGATCTGCGCAGCGTCTCATCTCCGCCCCGCAACCGTCGGCGTGACCCTGCGACTCAACCTTCTCGAGGAAACTGCAAATCCTGCGGCGATCCGATCAAGGGTAAGAGCATCTCGTCCGCCGACGGCCGTTTGACTGGCCGCTACCACAAGGCCTGCTTTGTATGCACGACCTGCAAAGAACCCTTTTCCTCTGCCGAGTTTTACGTCCTCGACGACAAGCCGTACTGCGAGCAGCACTACCACAAGCTCAACGGCAGCCTGTGCGGTACCTGCGGACGTGGTATTGAAGGTCAATACCTGGAAGACGAAGAGCGGATCAAGTACCACGTTGGTTGCTTCCGATGCGGTGATTGCGGCATGTCTCTGTCCAACGGATACTTTGAGGTCAACGGCAAGGCCTACTGCGAACGGGACGCCTGGCGCCGCATGCAACAGATGACTCGGAGACCTCCGCCTGGTGGTCTCGACGTACCCGGTGGACCCGGAGGACGCGGTGGCCGACGACCGAGCAACGGGCAGTCCGGCATGAGGCCCCCTATCGGTCTCCCGCGCGGACAACGTGCTCCTCCCGGAGGCGGCCTTGCCCCTCCCATGCCTCGCATGAACAAGCGCATGACGAGACTCGGAATGATGTAAGCTGCGAGAGACACTGACGTCTCTTGGGAGGCAACATCTCACTGCACATTCACTTCGTCGTATATGAATCGTCATCTACTGCATTTTTAATACCCACGACACATTTCACGACCACGATATACCACCACCCTCACCTCGCAACATACATTTCTCTTTCTGCCGTCTGGAGTTTTATATACCCGGTCCCTAGTGGACTCTGTTGATACCTGCATAGAGTGACGACGTTGGATGTCGTCTTGTTTGTCTGGCGATGATCGGGAGGTCCTTTCAGAAGGGCAGGTTGTTCGCATAGGACTCAAATGTCCAGCCACAGCATGGAGTTGGAGAGGAGGCTTTGCAGGTAGCAGGGTGCACGCGGGTGCTCACAGAATACTGATCCGGTGATCAGACGGCTATAAGGCCGAGAATACATAGCAAACGCCAATTCAAACAATTACTTCAAACTAGCCTTTTCATGTATGCGTGTGACGGACGAGTATAGAAGTAGCTCTCATGCTGGTGATTTGATGACACAATCTGCAGTGTCGAGTTCCCCAACAACATGACGAGTGAACACACGTATATCAAACTACTTCAGTCTGGAAGTTCGTAGTTCACGGTTCCATGGTATCGAGACGTGGCGTGACGTGGCCATGAAAGCCAGACGTAACAGCCAAAACCCGGCGATGGCAACTCAACTCCTCTGTCGTAGGTACCGAACACTTAGACGACAGACACTTGGCTGCGACAAAAGCGGATGTCACGTCCCAGTTGGCAACGGTTTGTCTCGGACACAGCCGTCCGAAGAGAGAGGCTTGAGACAATCCAGTTGCACAAGAAAAAAAAAACGGTCCGAACGGGAGCAAGCGTGGTGCTTCCATTCTTTGCATGAGAAATTTGGTCTTACGGGAAAAACGTTGCCGTCGAGGACGTGGCATGTGAGTCACGTTCAACGCGTGCAGCTCAATGAGTACGTACAATGCAGCAACATTGGATTGCTGGGTTGATCGATTGAGCGAGAGTAACGCATAGAATCACCAGTGTCAACTTATCCGGTTGGAAAGGTTCGGATAACTGAGGTCGATTCACATTTTGGAGAAGAGCCGTGATCACCAGATGTACTGAGATTGGTCGGTGGTGATCTTTATCTTTCCCCACGAGTGCGAGAGTCCAGTCCAGGGGAAGGGAGGCCGATTGGCGCGTGGGGGGACTTTTAGTTAATCGTCATCACCGCCTTTTTAGGGGCTTTGTCTCTACGTGCTATCTCGCTCTCTAACTCTCTAAGGTATATAAGTAAAGCGTATTTATACGCTATATAACTAGTATTCTAACCTAATATAGTAATAAAATTAGTATTATTCCTAATACTATATATAAATAGGTTCCCTCTTAGTTTAACCTAAAAGTAAATTATTAAAATTTAAACTTTAAGTATATAGTTTACTTAAAAGATAATTATAAATAGCTTTATTTATTTAGGTCTTTATACTCTATTTAATAGAGTTATAAAGTAATAAAGCTTAATTAAATTCTTTTTATTAAATTTAGGGGGTATAAGTTAAGATCTTATATAAGAGTAATAGAATAAATCTATCTAGCTTTAGGGGTAAATCTTATTAATATTAAGATCTACTTAAGCTTTTAGAATATTTAGAAGAAATTTCCAATAGCTCTATAGATAAATAAAAGAATATAATATAATTAATTTAATAATTAATAGTTTAATATATATTATTAAGTAATTTATATTAATTTATTAACTTTTTATTAACTAAACTAATATCTTTTAATAATAAGAATATTACTTTATAAACCTTATAAAACTAAGTTATTTAGAGAGAATAAATAAAAATACTCTTTAAGGCTTTTAAGCTTTAAGAGGTAGCTAACTAAAGAAGATATAAAGCCTATTAAGCTTAAAATAAAGATATCTATATAGCTCTTTTAAAAGGTCTTAAGCTTTTATAGCTTTAAAACTATTTAATAATATAAAATATATCTATTTAGGTTTTTATAGAGAACTTTAAAGCTTTAAAAGTAATTAATATATTAAATCTCTTTAATATAAATAAGATACTATATAATAAATAGAAATAAGATTATTTATTTTATATAAAAGAGTATTAATAAGTACTTAAAGCTAATATTAAGGCTTTTAAGTATATTAAAGAGATTATAGCTATTAACCTCTAATAACTTTATTATAAAGTTAATAAGAATTTAAATATTTAGATTTACTCTCTAAAGAATATTATTAATATAAAAATTAATAAGAAAACTATAAAAATAATAATAAATATAAAGCTATATTTAACTTTATCTATAAGAAATATATTAATATCTATAAAGACTTTAAAAAGTAATTAAAATATTAAAAAAGAGTAATATATAAATAGCTTAAAAATAGTATTTTAAATATTATAAAGTTTAACCTTTAGTTTCTAAAGATTATTACTACTTTATAGAGTATTTATATATTTAATTAAGCTAATTTATATTTTAATTTAACTATTAATAAAGCTAAATAAAGTAAGCTTATAATTAATAAAGTTATTAGAGATATCTATAGATAACTATAAACTATTAAGGTATTTATTAAAGTAGCTTATAAAATAGAGAGAGATATATTTAACTTAGTTATAACTAAAGATAAAACTTTAGTTTTAACTTAAAGACCTAAAAATAAATAAAAAACTAAATAAAAGCCTTATAAGAGGTCTCTAGCTATAAGAGAAAATTAAAAGTATATTAATACTATAGGAAAGACTTAAAACTTAATAACCTTAAGAGAAACTAACTATAAGATATATTAAATAAGAGACTATTTACTCTTTAAGTATTTCTATATTAATAAAAGCTTTAGATCTATTTACTAAAAGCTTAATAATAATATTACTATTTTATTTAAAAAGTATATAAATATAAACCCTGAATTTATAAAATATATTTAAAAAGTAAAAGAGATAATATTTACTCTTAACTAACTATATAATAAATTAAGAAGCTCTATATATATTATATTTCTTATTAGCTATTATACTCTTATAAGCTTAATAATTTTAAATTTTAAAGTAACTCTTTATATTTTTAATAATATAAAGTAATTTAAAACCCTTTAAGTAGCTCTTATAGGTAATTTTATATAAATTAAAATAAAAAGAGTCTCTATTAAAACCTATAAAACTATTATAATCTATATATAAAGGCTAATAAGACTTAAGCTACTCTAATTATATAATATAGCTCTATATAGGGACTTTATAAGTAACTTAATATTTCTCTAGAAGCTCTAGAGAATAGAAATCTAATAGGACTAAAGCTTAAGTAATAACTATATATAAAGAGTAGATTATATATACCTCTATATCTTTAAGTTTATTAATAACTAATATATATTTAATTACTAACTACTTAATAAAGCTATTTTTATTATAATAATTTCTTTATCCCCTTTAATAATTAATAAGCTCTCTATATTAAAATAAAAGTATTACTATATAATAAAGACTTAATAAAAACTAATTTTAAAATCTCTTAAGCTTTAATATTAAAGGTTAAATTATTTTAACTTTAAGCTTATTATTTAACTTATAAATTTAGCTAGAGGAGTTAAATTATATAATAATTACTTAAAAGTAATAATAATAAACTATAAGGTATATAAAATAAATAAAGCTTATAAAATAGTTTAAAGATCTTTATAAAAGTCTATTTAATATTTAAAACTAAATAAAAAATTAATATTAAACTTTTATAACTATAAAGAAGGATATAAAAGTTATATTTTATTAATAATCTATATAGATAGAGCTATAAGCTTTTTATAAGACTTTTATTTAATTAATTATAAAATAAATATACTTCTTACTATAATTAAAGAGCTTTTTATTTATTTTAAAAATATTTATAATATATATATATAAGAAATTAAAGCTAATAATAAGATTTTTAAATATAATTATATTTAAATTAAAATTTATTTCTATAGTATTAAACTTAAACTATTTATATTAAATATGTAAACTTAAAATAGAGGAGTAAAATAAATAGCTATTATTATTAAGAAATATATAAAGGTAATAATAATAGGGGTAAAATCCTAAATATATTATAGCTAGAGATTATAAAGACTATAATATATTTATATAATTAAACCTTATTAGTCTCTTAAAGCTAAAAGATATTATATAAGCTTCTCTATAGCTACTTCTAAAAAGAAGAGAGCTTTTTTATTAGCCTAATTAGACCTTATTTACCTCTAATCCTATAGATATAAAGTATATATAATAATAAGAGATATTTAGTTAAAGTAAAATTAATATTAAAAGCTTATATTAAAAGCCTTTATTAACTTCTTTATAAGATATATATTAAATAACTTATTTTAAATTTAAAACCTATTTAAAAGTAAAGTTTTTATAATAAGAGATATTATCTTTAATAAAAAGAGCTATTATAATAGTAACTTATAGTAAATAATAAAGAAATTTAAATATATAGACCTTAATATTATTTAGAAATATATTATTTAACTTATTAAGTAGTCTTATAAGCCTCTTATAAGGTAGGATATTAATAAAGAAATAAATAAAGTAATTAATTATATTAATTTTATACCTTATAAACTATAAGAGGCCTTAAATATTAAGGGTAAATTAAAAGAAGTAGAACCTATATATATTATAATAAGGTTTAAGCTCCTTTTAACTCTATTATTAACCTTAAAGCTTATAGCTTTTATAATATAGCTTATAAAAGGTCTTAAAGATAATATAGATATAAAAGAGTAAATAGTAGCCTTATTTAAAAAGATATAAATAACCTAAATAACCTTTAAAACCTTATTTAAAATAGCCTTTTTAATAGAAAGCTAAATATATAAAGATCCTTAAGCTTAATATAGATTAAATAGTTTATTCTATTTATATAAAAAGCTTAGTTAGCTCTATATAATAAATAAAGTTATATAAAAGATATATAAAGAACTTCTAGCTAATAAAATAGTATTAGAGGGCCTTAAA